ATTAGCTCTGGAATGGTTGATATAAATATTTTATGACAGCAAATCTACCAGGCACTGCAAGTTGAAGCCTTCATGTTTGTGTGTCCTGACGGGGCTTGGGCAGTGAGCAGCTATAGAGAACATGAAGATAGGCCAGCTGTAGTCCATGTTTATCTCATTGAGGTGTGAGCAGTGAGGACCTTTCCTTATTCACAACATGAGATAAACATGCTATCTGCTAGACAGGATGAATGTTATATATATTATCATACAACTAATGTCATTGATAGTAAATGGTAAATGGTATATGTTTCGATCTGGCAAATGTCCCAATGTTTGTTGCTTGGATATCCATGTGTGTACTACCTGTTGAGTCAGGTTGGACTGTTTGTGTTGTGATGTGGTGGAAATGTTAGACAGGATAAAATGGTTTACAACAACTAACAAACATTAGGGAGAATGGGTACGATGTGAACATGGTGGAAACGCCCACTTCTGATGTCCTGGCTGGTCCTGCTGTGATATAGAACCAACCTCAAGGCTTAAGGTGTTGCTGGAATTGGCCCACTGCTGTCTTCCCTGGCCTACTACACAAAGATTATTGACATTAAATATTGTCTACTATGATCACCTTAGGGGCGGGCGGGTAGCCTAGTGGTTAAAGTGTTCGCTTGTCACGCTGAAGACCCAGGTTCTGTTCCCGACATGGGTTCAATGTGTGAAGCCCATTTCTGGTGTCCCCCGCCCTGATATTGCTGGTATATTGCTAAAAGCAGCGTAAAACCATACACACTCACTCACTATGATCACTTTAGTAGGAACATCAGTATTTTGGGACCAACATTCATGGTGAAGTCACATTTCCAAGGCAACATTTCATGGTGTACACATATTTTATTAACACACAACATGAAAATATTTTGTGATTGTGTATTTGTTTATATTTTGCATGTTTGCAGCAAGACATTGTGTGGTGGGTCCTCTGATTGTATGTGCGGAGACATGTTTTGTTCATCTTAACAAAATGGAAGGTTTTCGTACAAGATGATGTGATGATACTAGGGAATGAGTATTGATTCAATCATGCTGAACCGTTTTAGAAAAATCTTCCCTAAAAATGTTTATGTAGATTGCAAACGTGGTACAACATGTACAGTGGAATATAACTGCACCTCAGACTAACCAAAATATCAATATGAGGTGTATATCGTGATCATATTAGTACCAAAATCACATATATTCCCTTCAATAAACCAATCATCAAGTTTGCAGTACATTTTGATATGTATCTAAATAATTCATATTTAGAATTTATTTTCTTTCACTTTGTCCGCAAAAATGTGAGTTCGTAATTGACTTAGTGGTTGTAGTGGTGACTTTAATTCACAGGGAATTGTCACTACCACTAATAAACTTTGTTAATTTGGAACATTGAATTCATTTCTGTGTAATGCAGTAAATTGCAATACAGTGTTAGCTGGCACTACTCGTCCTAGTGAATCTACAGTATGATAAGCCACACCAGCCAGTAGGTTGAGGAAGTTGCCAGGTGAGGAATGTGTATACGTTTGTCTTTACAAGTACGTGGTATATCAGTGACATTTCCTGTACAAGACCACACTAACCAGTTGGAGGAAGAATATATTGGACTGGAGCGGGTGAGCATGTTTGAGGAGTCGGTCAGTGTTTGTGCACACACCGACTGACACAGCCCTCCTAAAGGTGTCACTTTCCACTTATCACACCGCCACAAGCTGACAGTGTCATTTGACAGGCGTGTTAACACAGTCCCACACTGGTGAAGGTTCTTGACCCAAGAAAGACCATCAAAGTGGTTAGGATTTCCTGTTTCAACTTTACATGTAATCTCCAAAACTTTCATTATCTGCCAGCTTGTGAAATAGGAAATAACTTATAATTCCTCGGGAATTCATAATCTGTTTGTAAGAATGTGATGTGTTATATTGAAGCTTCCTGTGTTTAGATAGCTTTGTCTATCTTGAACAATGCAGGGCTCGATTTAAGGAGCTTGATTTGACATGAAAACCCTGTTGCACCAGACAAAATTAGGTTGAACAGTGGTCCAATCAAAGCTGAAAATAGTCCGGTCTGCTAATGAGTGTCACATAAATTAACAACGCATTGCTGTAAAACATGTGCACATAGTCTTGAAATGTCCACAGTTTGATGATGTCAAGCCTAAGAGAGTATGACAAATTACACGTAACATAGGGATTAGTGATGTAGTGTGGTAAATAAACTTTAGAGGTACTGAGTGTGTTCAAAGATAGATTTGTGTGGACAAGTAAGGGTTAGTCAGAAATTATGAAATTATTAATATTAGGCTGCTTTCTTCACTAGTAGGTTGCACTTATGCATGTTTTGTATAGCTGATGGTGGAATGGTGGTCACAGTTCCTTTTTTTCTCCCTTTTTTCTTAAGATATTCAAGGATTTGCAACTAGAATTACAATCACTGCACACACCTCAGCATTGTTCACTGTCAGCACTTGGTGGCATCAAAATAAACTAGACATACCCCGGTTTGCTGCTGATGTTTCTGGGGCTGGTAGGGGGATATTTTGTCCCCAAGTCATGTGAACAGATCCTTAATGTAGTGGAAGATTTTTTAAAGTAGTTCTGTAATTGTTATGTTCTGACAATTATTGTATTTGCCATAATGAGGGCCTGGGTCCTTAGAAAATTGGGAGGTGCTTATTGAAATCGTACACGTTAACTTTTTGGTCAAACATTGATAAAATTATAACCTTTTCGGTAATATTTACTAGGCAACAATGTACACATCTTCCACGCTGCAGTTTTCGGTGAAAAAATCTGTAATATGCACAAGATGGACTGTGAGGTTATTTTCTGTCTCAGTAGGGGGTAATGATTACTCTACAGATTGGCCTGTAAGTCGGTCAGGTGGCACTTACTGGAGCAGGCGTTTCATATGAAGAATACAGTACTTACTATATGCCGTCCTCCTGCAGGTGTGTGACTATCCTCCTGCAGATGTGTGACTATCCTCCTGCAGGTGTGTGACTATCCTCCTGCAGGTGTGTGACTATCCTCCTGAAGGTGTGTGACTATCCTCCTGCAGGTGTGTGACTATCCTCCTGCAGGTGTGTGGGTGTGTGACTATCCTCCAGCAGGTGTGTGGCTATGCTGTGGGTGTGTGACTATCCTCCTGCAGGTGTGTGGCTATGCCGTGGGTGTGTTGCTATGCTGTGGGTGTGTGGCTATCATCCTGCAGGTATGTGGCTATCCTGCCAATGTGTGGCTATCCTCTTGCAGGTGTGTGGCTATCCTGCAGGTGTGTGGCTATGCTGTGGGTGTGTGGCTATCATCCTGCAGGTGTGTGGCTATCCTGCCAGTGTGTGGCTATCCTCCTGCAGGTGTGTGACTATCCTCCTGCAGGTGTGTGGCTATGCTGTGGGTGTGTTGCTATGCTGTGGGTGTGTGGCAATCATCCTGCAGGTGTGTGGCTATGCTGTGGGTGTGTTGCTATGCCGTGGGTGTGTGGCTATCATCCTGCAGGTGTGTGACTATCCTCCTGCAGGTGTGTGGCTATGCCGTGGGTGTGTGGCTATGCCGTGGGTGTGTGGCTATCCTCCTGCAGGTGTGTTGCTATGCTGTGGGTGTGTTGCTATGCTGTGGGTGTGTGGCAATCATCCTGCAGGTGTGTGACTATCCTCCTGCAGGTGTGTGGCTATGCTGTGGGTGTGTTGCTATGCTGTGGGTGTGTGGCTATCATCCTGCAGGTGTGTGACTATCCTCCTGCAGGTGTGTGGCTATGCCGTGGGTGTGTGGCTATGCCGTGGGTGTGTGGCTATCCTCCTGCAGGTGTGTTGCTATGCTGTGGGTGTGTGGCTATCCTGCTAGTGTGTGACTATCCTCCTGCTGGTGTGTTGCTATGCTGTGGGTGTATGGCTATCCTGCGAGTGTGTGGCTATCCTCCTGCAGGTGTGTTGCTATGCTGTGGGTGTATGGCTATCCTGCTAGTATGTGACTATCCTCCTGCTGGTGTGTTGCTATGCTGTGGGTGTATGGCTATCCTGCGAGTGTGTGGCTATCCTCCTGCAGGTGTGTTGCTATGCTGTGGGTGTGTGGCTATCCTGCTAGTGTGTGACTATCCTCCTGCAGGTGTGTGGCTATGCTGTGGGTGGGTGGCTATCCTGCTAGTGTGTGGCTATCCTCCTGCAGGTGTGTGGCTATGCTGTGGGTGGGTGGCTATCATGCTAGTGGGTGGCTATCCTCCTGCAGGTGTGTTGCTATGCTGTTGGTGTGTGGCTATCCTGCTAGTGTGTGGCTATCCTCCTGCAGGTGTGTTGCTATGCTGTGGGTGTGTGGCTATCATCCTGCAGGTGTGTGGCTATCCTGCAGGTGTGAGGCTATCCTCCTGCAGGTGTGTGACTATCCTCCTGCAGGTGTGTGACTATCCTCCTGCAGGTGTGTGGCTATCCTCCTGCAGGTGTGTGACTATCCTCCTGCAGGTGTGTGACTATCCTCCTGCAGGTGTGTGGCTATCCTCCTGCAGGTGTGAGGCTATCCTCCTGCAGGTGTGTGACTATCCTCCTGCAGGTGTGTGACTATCCTCCTGCAGGTGTGTGGCTATCCTCCTGCTGGTGTGTGGCTATCCTCCTGAAGGTGTGAGGCTATCCTCCTGCAGGTGTGTGACTATCCTCCTGCAGGTGTGTGACTATCCTCCTGCAGGTGTGTGGCTATCCTCCTGCTGGTGTGTGGCTATCCTCCTGAAGGTGTGAGGCTATCCTCCTGCAGGTGTGTGACTATCCTCCTGCAGGTGTGTGACTATCCTCCTGCAGGTGTGTGGCTATCCTCCTGCTGGTGTGTGGCTATCTTTCTGCAGATGTGTGGCTATGTTCAAAGGGTCCTTGTGTTAGGGACAGTGTTCCCAGAGTCCAGTTCTGTAGCAGAAACATGAAGGAGGTCATGTAATAAACATGATAAATAGGCTATTTGTTAATAAGAGTGTAATGTTATTGTAATGTTTGCTTGCAGTTCTGGACACAGCAGGTCAGGAGGAGTTCAGTGCCATGAGAGAGCAGTACATGAGGTCAGGGGAGGGCTTCCTTCTTGTGTACTCCGTCACGGACATCAGTAGGTAGGTCTTCCTTCTTGTGTACTCCGTCACGGTCATCAGCAGGTAGGTCTTCCTTCTTGTGTACTCCATCACGGACATCAGCAGGTAGGTCTTCCTTCTTGTGTACTCCATCAAGGACATCAGCAGGTAGGTCTTCCTTCTTGTGTACTCCGTCACAAATATCAGCAGGTAGGTCTTCCTTCTTGTGTACTCCATCACAGACATCAGCAGGTAGGTCTTCCTTCTTGTATATTCTGTCATGGACATCAATTTATCCTTTCTTGTATGCTCAAGAATAGCATAATACTTGACTTCAGAATACACATCATATAAAATGATGTAGCAATAAAAAGTCATACTTGTATATGAATGGACAAATTCCGATTATATGATACGTATGATACATAGTATAAAACTTTCATGTATAGTTCTTAGTCTCATGTTTTGAATCCCACCTTACAATATGGATTATTATTGAAACTTAGGAAAATGTTTGATAACATTGATGATTATGTCTGTTTCAGTTTTGAAGAGATTTACAAGTTCCACAAGCAGATATTGCGTGTGAAAGACAGAGATGAATTTCCCATGATCCTTGTAGCAAACAAGTCCGACTTAGAGCATCAGAGGGATGTAAGTCTTACGGAATAACACCATGCTGGAAAACAGGTGGTCTGTCAGGTGGTTTCTGTGAGATGGTCTGTCAGGTGGTCTCAGGTGATTTCAGTCCGGAATCTCAGTGAGGGGTCTCTTTGAGGTGGTTTCAGTAAGGTGGCTTTAGTCAGGTGGTCTTGGGTGATTTCATTGAGGAATTTCAGTGAGGGGTCTCTTTGAGGTGGTTTCAGTAAGGTGGCTTTAGTCAGGTGGTCTTGGGTGATTTCATTGGGGAATTTCAGTGAGGGGTCTCTTTGAGGTGGTTTCAGTAAGGTGGTTTCAGTCAGGTGGTCTCAGGTGATTTCAGTGAGGGGTCTCTTTGAGGTGGTTTCAGTAAGGTGGTCCTGGGTGATTTCATTGAGGAATTTCAGTGAGGGGTCTCTTTGAGGTGGTTTCAGTAAGGTTGCTTTAGTCCGGTGGTCTTTGTCGATTTCATTGAGGAGTTTCAGTGAGGGCTCTCTTTGAGGTGGTTTCAGTAAGGGGGTTTCAGTCAAGTTTGTCTGTCAGGTGGTCTCAGGTGATTTCAGTGAGGGGTCTCTTTGAGGTGGTTTCAGTAAGGTGGTCCTGGGTGATTTCATTGAGGAATTTCAGTGAGGGGTCTCTTTGAGGTGGTTTCAGTTAGGTGGCTTTAGTCAGGTGGTCTCAGGTGATTTCAGTGAGGAATTTTAGTGAGGGGTCTTTTTGAGGTGGTTTCAGTCAGGTGGTCTCAGGTGATTTCAGTGAGGGGTCTCTTTGAGGTGGTTTCAGTCAGGTGGTCTGTCAGGTGGTCTCAGGTGATTTCAGTGAGGGGTTTCAGTGAAATATGATGGCAATATGATGGCAGTCTGTAGTTAATCAAGTCTCATTGAGGTGGTTAAACTTATAATGCAATTAGACACCAACTTACAAGCACTGAAGAATTAGTCAATTTTCTTCCCCAACCAAACACATTCATTCACAGGTGAGAGCCCGTGGGTGTTCTGAGTTACAGGTCTCCAGCAACCCATGCTGGTCACAAGAGATAACTTCATGGATCACATGGTCAGGCTGGGTCGACTTCATGGATCACATGGTCAGGCTGGTTTGACTTCATGGATCACATGGTCAGGCTGGAGGCTGGGTTGACTTCATGGATCACATGGTCAGGCTGGAGGCTGGGTTGACTTCATGGATTGCATGGTCAGGCTGGGTTGACTTCATGGATCACATGGTCAGGCTGGGTTGACTTTATGGATCACATGGCCAGGCTGGGTTGACTTCATGGATCACATGGTCAGGCTGGTTTGACTTCATGGATCACATGGTCAGGCAGGAGGCTGGGTTGACTTCATGGATCACATGGTCAGGCTGGAGGCTAGGTTGACTTCATTGATCACATGGTCAGGCTGGGTCGACTTCATGGATCACATGGTCAGGCTGGGTCGACTTCATGGATCACATGGTCAGGCTGGAGGCTGGGTTGACTTCATGGATCGCATGGTCAGGCTGGGTTGACTTCATGGATCGCATGGTCAGGCTTGGTTGACTTCATGGATCACATGGTCAGGCTGGGTCGACTTCATGGATCACATGGTCAGGCTGGAGGCTGGGTTGACTTCATGGATCGCATGGTCAGGCTGGGTCGACTTCATGGATCACATGGTCAGGCTGGGTCGACTTCATGGATCACATGGTCAGGCTGGGTCGACTTCATGGATCACATGGTCAGGCTGGGTCGACTTCATGGATCACATGGTCAGGCTGGGTCGACTTCATGGATCACATGGTCAGGCTGGGTCGACTTCATGGATCACATGGTCAGGCTGGGTCGACTTCATGGATCACATGGACCTCATGGATCACATGGTCAAGCTGGGTCGACTTCATGGATCACATGGTCAGGCTGGGTCGACTTCATGGATCACATGGTCAAGCTGGGTCGACTTCATGGATCACATGGTCAAGCTGGGTTGACTTCATGGATCACATGGTCAGGCTGGGTTGACTTCATGGATCACATGGTCAGGCTGGGTTGACTTCATGGATCACATGGTCAGGCTGGGTTGTTGTGTCATCGTACCCCGACAGCATGGATTGTTGCTCTAGTATCACTCACTGGTTTGTTTGGTCGAGACTTGATTATTACAGACTGCCGTGTGGAACATTCACAGACTGACAACAATTCTGTGTACTGCATTAAATAACAACAAACTAAAAGCAATATTGCATTATATAGCAATGATGACATGCATAGATGTGCTCAGTTGTGGTGAATCGTCTACAGTTAATAATTTCTTGTGCATGTTTTACAACTTCTTCTTCATTCCCATATTGGAACTCAAATACATACATAACAAATAAGGGGCGGTCGGGTAGCCTAGTGGTTAAAGGGTTCGTTCGTCACGCCGAAGACCCAGGTTTGATTCCCGACATGGGTTCAATGTGTGAAGCCCATTTCTGGTGTCCCTTGCCGTGATATTGCTGGAATATTGCTAAAAGCGGCGTAAAACCATACTCACTCACTCACATAACAATTAATGTAGTACTGCTATCACTATAAGAAGACATGGGGTTTCCCCCCACTCATTCGCCAGATCGTGGTCACACACATTCATTGATTACCTCCCTTTCAGGTGTCCCAGGATAAGGGAATAGAGCTGGCCCGCAGTTTGAAAATAAGTTATATTGAAGCAAGTGCCAAAAATAGAACAAATGTGGACCAGGCATTTTACGAATTGGTTAGAATTATCAGGTGAGTAATTGATACAGATGTAAAACAGTGATGTGGTCATACTGGTATACAACGATATCCAATCCAGCTGCTGCCTACTTGTCATTTTCTGAATCCATTGTCAACTTGTACTTAACCCAGTCAATAGTTTTAGTGTGCAAAATGAACTCTTATTCCTGCCAGTCAATATTTTAGGTGCAAAATAGGCCAATAGAGTACACATTTTGCTATTTTTTTTTCTTTAATAGGCCTGATTATAGATATTGAATGTGTGTTGTACCTTTCACCTCCAAGATTCAGCAGCTGAAATTGCTTTATAATTATATCCAAAGACAAGCGTAGGCTAGTAGACTCAATCCTTCTTGCCACAGATAGTAATAACTGAAATAGTAGATATACCCAGTTGAATTAAAGTCTTTAATTATTCTTTTTGCAGAGTTTACTAAAGTTCAAAGTTTTTTTATTTCATTTTTCAGGAAATTTCAGGCTGAGGAACGCCCCCCTGTGAAACCCCCAGGCAAAAAGAAGAGGCGATGTTCAATACTGTGATAGATGTCTTGTCATGAGCAGCTAAACAATAATATTACACTGATGGACATCATGGATGCATTTGATTCCCCGTTGCCATGGTAACGGTCGCCACGGTAGCTCTGAATGTTTGTGGTGCTTGAGCCAGGATCGAGAGCAGCAGACATCCAGTGACTGAGACCACGCTTCCACTCGACCTCCGTTGACCAACCGTGGGACTGACCCCAAATTTGTGCTTGTATTTTTTCATTTACCCCCAAATCAGGTTTCTATATTCGAGGCATATTTTGTACTTTCTTAAGTTGGTATGCAAGGGAAAAGTGAATTTGTCATTCCATTACTACTATATTAATGATACTAAGGTAAATATGTAAAAATGGTGTATTTTGTTACTGAATGAATAGTTATGCAGTGATTTGGAGTTAATATAATACATGTCGAGAATGAGAGAACAGCTGAGTGTGGGACATTCACAGACTAACAAATGCATAATTTTGGTGTTCATTTCCATGAATTGTTCCACTTGGTCCTCATTTCTGACTATTTTGTAGAAATGAGATTTTGTACAAGTGCGCTGAAAGACCGTGCATCTTCACGGCATGTGTCCGTGACACACCCAGTGTTTATTTGAAGTGAGTTGAGTACATTGTGTTTAGTTACCAGCTGCTTCCAAAGCATGTGAATGCATCTGCATGATACTATTATATACTACAATGTAATTGTATGCCCTGAGTGAAGCTGTGTTTCTGTGGCTTGTGGGGACTGGGTGGGGTTGTCATGTTAGTATCTTTCTTAACAGAGGGTATCTGAAAAGTGGGATAAACTAGAGATGGTGGGTGGGTGGAAGGGTGGGTGTCAGTATTGGTTTACACGTTTACCAAATGAACTGGTCCTTCTGTAGGGTCCGAGGGAGTTTTTCATCAACGAATAGACTTAAAAAACAACCCACCAGAGCATCCTTCTTTTCATGGCTCTTCTTTGTAAATTGTATTTTCATGACCAAATATGACATGGAGTTGGTTGAAGATGACACTGATGAATAAGGGGCTATGTTTCAGGGTAAGTCTTGCCTTATAGCATTGTTACCAGGACGATCACAACATTTTAACTGTTTTCATGACTCTCCTCAAATAGATAAGTGATCAGTTCTGTATAAAAGGAAATATTTACATCCATCTCATTGAGAAAGTGATGAGTTCCAAATGTCATTCTTATACAAGGAAACTTGTAGTTATTGTTGGGAAGTGCAACAGTGTCACTCTACTGTTGATTTAACAGGAAGTTAAAAAGGGAAGACTATGTGCCAATTCGGCAGTTAAGTTCTGGAGATTTTAGAAAATATGTATTGATCGATTTCATAGGTTTTTAGATTCAGTTTAAGAAGATGATAACTATTGTATAGTTTTGACTACAGTGATAATCAAAATGTGAAAATGAGTGAGGCATGAGGCAAGATCTATGTATGAGAACAATATCTTTTCAGGAGTAAAATATTGTCATTTCCTGAATGAAATATGAACCCTGAATAATGCATGATCTAATTTAGGTATTGAAGTCAAATGATATGCTTTATCATATTAATCACTCTCACAAAGCTTTTCCTATACTCACTGATGGTATGACTAGGCAGTAGTTATCCAAGCATCGACACTTTGATATAGGCTTATGCTGTGCTCTTTGTATACTCAAGTCTGTCATGTGTAGAATACATGCAGTTTGCTTTGCTGCCTCTCAGACTGTTCTAGGACAAACTAGTTGATGTTCAGATGTGATTGTTCCTAGAAAAGGCCATGTATGCCTAAAAACTATTCCTACTCAGGCTAAACCTTCACCAGTAAAAACAGATACCGATAATGGCCGTACTTCAGTTTTGAGACAAATGTTTCAGATGGTAGCACCAGAAAGTGATAACTAGTCTGTGACTGTCATTTACATTTACATTTACATTTACATTTACATTTACATTTACATTCACATTTACATTTATATTTCACATTTCACATTTCACATTTACATTTAGATTGTACATGTACATTTACGTTTGACATTTACATTTTACATTTAGATTGTACATGTACATTTACATTTCACATTTACATTTAGATTGTACATGTACATTTACGTTTGACATTTACATTTTACATTTAGATTGTACATGTACATTTACATTTCACATTTACATTTAGATTGTACATGTACATTTACGTTTGACATTTACATTTTACATTTAGATTGTACATGTACATGTACATTTACATTTTACTTTTACATTTTAATTTACATGTACAATTTACATTTACATTTTACATTTAGATTGTACATCAGTAATTGCCTCAAAAGATTTCGAAAACAAAAGTATCAGCCAAATATCTTCTGTTTAGGAAATACAGATATAATACAGGAGTAGTATCCATTATTATCATACTTATTGTTCAGTTATGAGGGAACGTGAGATATAAAGAGAGCCATGTCTAAAGTACATATGACTGTTTCCTAAATGAGGAAGATATTTCGGTGGAATATTTGAATTTGGACAAAAGAGTTCCTGTACCAAGGAAGTTTAGCCGTTTGTCTAGGTAAATATTGGCTTGGGAAGTACGCAAATAAAATTTTGATCAATTCACTTGATGATGTCACAATTGATAGGGAAGTATTGGTTTAACCGGGGTGACGTTAATGAAGGAATGAGTCACACACTTGTTATAATGCATGTTGATCGTCAGTCATGATTGATTAGGAGGACTGATGATCGGTCGATCTGGCAGAGCTGACATAATGCTTCCTGTAAAGTCATCCTCAACAGAATAACACTGCAGAGAACCTTCCCTGTGACCTTAGTGTGAGTTCCTTAGACAGGGTGAGAAATTCAGGGTGAAACAAGAAGTACCATGTCTCCCAGTATAAAAGTATTGGAAGGCCTCCAGGATCTTCATCCCTGTTACGTTTCACTCACTTCTAAACTGATCAGTCAGAATGCTTGTAAAGGTTCATCACTGAACATGGGTCATCTTATAGAAAACATTGATGATTGGTTGAACTAACCATTTGTAAGAAATGGGTTTTGTCAAGGATAGAACTTAGGCTAAAAGCCTGCTAGCCTGAGTGGGATGCTGATGGTAGATATGTATGTATTGAACAAACTGATGTGTATGGAGATAGTTGGGATGGCCCTTTCTAGTCTTGTACTTCAGGCCTGCAACTGGGCCAATGGTGGTTCAAAGGCATGCAATTAGTTATGCAGTGTTGCATCCCTTAATTGCATCAGGATCTGCTGAATGGTTTGTCATCACCTTATCCATGCTTTGGTTCACCAAAGTGAAGGGTCCACAACCTTCATCCAGGGCTTTCTCTGACATTAAGCACACATGCTTGTATACCGGTAACTGAAATACTGTTCCAAGTGTTTTAGATTCAACTCTGTAATGACAGGGTAGGTAGAAGGATATCCCCAACTAGGAAATGTAGGTGGTGAATATGCTGGTGATTACTGAAGATGTGAACTATTACTCAATACATTTCCAGAACACACTGGTCCTGTGATACTATTCCGGTAGACTGGATGTTAGTGAGTTACATTGTACAGAGGAGGTAGATATGTAGAAACATCACTAAGAAATGGAAACGCTTGATCATAATCACTGTTACTTCATTCTTAAGAAATAAGCAAACTCTGTATGTAATAGTTTGTTTGCCATGTTTACTTTTACATATAGGAGGGAATTTAAGAAGTAATTATTTGAAATTGGTTGTAATATTGGTTTTTATTGCGATCATTGCTATCAGAATTTCTTGCTGAATATAAATGTAATGCTGAATGAAAACTAGTCTCATATGATTGTCATATAGGTTTTAATTAATCAATTTAATTGTTATAAGTATTTGAGTCAGTCAACACTGACAATGTGACACATCATATTTTAAATATTGTAGTTATTTTCCATACCACTACATTCTAGGTTTGATTTTGTACAGTAATCAAGATATATCAGTATTTCAAATTTCTAACTTAGACAAGGGTTTCCTCAAAACTTGCTATCATTCTTTGCTTATACTGTCTTCTTTGACGAAATACAATATTATAAGTATATTTCCATATAGAAGTTAATGCTCATTTAAAGGGAATCCTGTTTACTACATGTAAATTCATGTCCAACACTAAGCCTCAGTTCAAGGTGACAACTACTGTATTGAGTGTAATCAGAGGTGTGGGCATGCATAAACTGGCACTTATGATTGAATGAGATTAGTTGCTCTCTTACTATATTTAGGTCCCGCAAAATGATACTTCGGTGTCTCTTCACTGCTGGAACTAAAGTCACCTGGAGCCAACGCTGTAGTCTGTGTAGAAACTGTTCAATGACAAGTTCTACTTGAGTTATCTTTTTCAAAACCACCTTTCTTTAAATGAGATTTCTTAAAAGTACTGTAAAAACAGAAAAATTGAAATGCAAGAAAAGACGTTAATGACAAGTCAAAGGGTTACTTCCTTCCATTCTTTTGATTCCACAGTTTTGAAGTCTTTGGTGCGTAGATCCATAAACACATACTTCAGAAAATACTTGTGTTTACATGGCACAAGGGATGCTACTTATGTTTGTTGTAAGAGGTGGCTCAGTGACTCGGTTATTGTGTGTCATCATACCCCTCAGGGTGGATCGATGCTCATCATATCAATCTCTGGTCTGTCTGGTCCAGAGCTGATTATTTGTGGGCTGCTTCCCTATAGCTGAATTTGGTGATACACAACAAACAAATGCTAATTTCAAAGTTACAGCTGTGGAAAGAAATATTTTGGGTAATGACGAAGTGGAGATGAGAAACAAAACACTGTTTGTAATGGGCCTATTTTAGAGGATGAAAACTGCTTGGAGCTGTATATATCACCACTGAATGATACTGAGAACTGCATGCATGGTTATAAAGTGTGTATTTACAACTGGAATTAAGCTAACCTAACAGTTAATAAAATGTGTATTTGATGATAATGAGTATATTTTGTAAAAACATTTATTTTTATGTTTACTTTTCTGTATAAAAGACATTTTTTCAAGGGAATGAGGCCTGTTTGAAAGGCCTTTAGGTTTAAAGGGTATGTTTTTTTCTAATTCTAATCCATTTCATACATTGTTGGTCTGTATTGCATGGAATTGAAATGGTATATGTACTTAAGGTTGCAAAACGATGGACTATTCATCCAGGTATAAATTAACTTAGGGCTAAACTGACTTATGTTTTCATGTTTGGAGATGGGTTCTCAGAGGTTTCCTGGTGGCCCAGTGGTTTGACACTACAGCATGCTGTGCAGAGTTGTGTCCATTTGCCATGTCAGAAACTGCTGATCCAAGATTTGCCCTTATTATGATCCTTGGTCTGTCAAAAAATATTCTCATACTTATGGGATTCATGAAAGTGGTAAGCGTACATGAACTGCATCGTTTTGAAAATTTCCATCTACATTAAGCTGACAATATGATATATCTGAAATAAAACTGTCCCAAGTGTTGTAACCGAACTCGGTCACCCCAGTGGTTGCGTAGATTGTTTGTTCACATATAGCATGTTTATGCACTTATTACCAACTGCTAGACCTGGTGGGAGGCAGTTTATCATTAGTGTCGTGAAAATACATTTTCACCAAATTCATTTATCTAAGTTTAAAACTCACAAATGTTCAGTTCAAGATACTGTACAAAGAAACAGAACATGATGTGATGATCCAAATTTTTGTGATGCAAGGGAGATAAACCTGTCTTTACTCAGATAGGGAAAGTGTCAATGTCGGTGTTGAAAGTACCTGCTATGCCAAATATGCATGTAATTGTAAGTGGCTGAAAACACTTCATTGTGGGAACACTTGATTAGCTATTGTGATAAAACACTTTTATAATATTGGACATGTGAGATATTTATACATTGCTATATGAACTTAAACTGGTATTTTCTGTCTTTGACATTGGTTATGTTTGATTGATTTTGAAATATCAGCTTCATTGAGAAATTGTTTTGGGTATGTCAGCCTGCTTGTATGGACCTGCGCACTATTGTGAAATAATACTGGTTGAATATATAGCATGTCATTAACAAGGATTTATGTCAGAAAGATCTGACCTATTCAGTAGGCTAATGTTAAATCACAGGAGTTTTATATTGTCCAACGCTTTCTATAGTGTTGAACTATTTATGATGAAATTCCACCCTATAGAGTAGTGTGTCTTAGGCCTTGTGTTTTATATGACTGTCCTGAGAGACGGTCTGTTTAAAATTACCTCACAAAGAATTGGTATCCACAGTATTTTTCATAATATAATGGAGATATTGTGCACTGGATATTTGACCATGGGGTAGCTAATTCACTTCCAGTCTTATTATGTCTGGGTTTGTTAGGTTTTATTACCAGGTATATACTGATGGCTAGATTTGAGTAGCATGTGTTGCTGATCCGTACCGATGCAACAATATTTAAAAATACGCAAGAAAAATCACTTGGAATTATATTTATTTGATGATGTTGGAGTATTTTCCTTCATGTAAAGCAAAGAGAGAAGAAATTTAAATGGATGGATAAGAATAGGTTGTTTTTAAAATGAAAAACAATGAAAGAAATCCTTGTAATTTAGATGTCAGTGCAAAGAACCCAAGACTGTTTACGTCAGTAGAAATAACCCTGTAAGGCTTTTCAATGAATGCAGTTAGCATGTAAAATGAAATCAGATATCAGCAGTGGCAGCATTTGTCTGCATCATGTGATGATAAGGCAATGATACTCTCCTATCAGACTTATTATCTAGCCACACATCAGATCCTACGACACACTTTTCCTATGACAGTGTGAACCTTGCATCAGCACCCACACATTGGCTTTAAGTAGTTATTTTTTCAATAAATGATGCATCTAGTCAAGTTTCATGGAGGGTTTGGTGAAAACATTGATGAAGCTGAAGAAAAGTTATTAGTTTATGGATGGTAGAAACGCTTTCGTTTCTCTCAGTAATCTGACAATAGAATCTGACAATTCTCATAACCAGACTGTATAAAATTCAAAATTTCAAAATTTCTGTCATGCATTCCCTTCAATTTCCATAGTATCTGTCTGTAGCGACTTTTGTAGGGATAATAGATTTAGAAAAATTGCCTCACTTTTTCAGCTTCATTAAACTTTTGACATGCTCCTACATGTTGTATATACAAGCAGGTATTTAATTTGCAACAACAATCATATATCAGCTTTCCAGTGTGAATTAGTTTTGCTTATGACAGTATTTGCTAATGATACTACACACCCAAAACTACTTATGTATGAAGATCATCTGCTGTGAGTTTACTTTGCTTGTAATTATCTGTTCTATTCAGCCAGCAGACATTGCTGCACTGAGCATAGTATATCCAGCATGGTTGTAATCTGTGGATAATCCGGTACGCATATAGTCATTTTTTGTTCTACAACTCATTTATTTGAAAGATAATCAGTTGTCACGCACATAATTTTGAAATAGACTTTTGAGAATTGAACATTTGTAGTGTTGGTAGGTATGAATTGTAAGATGCAGTGACTTAAGTAATCATTTTTCCACCATTGAATTTTTTTCAGATTTATAATTTGTCAAATTTTAAACAAACCATATGCATTTTTCAGCAATACACATATTAAATTGCCAATAAACTGTGTTAAACTTCTTTGTTTGATATATTGTCTGGTATTTGTTTTGCTTTACTTGATGTTTCATTTTCATCATGCAGATCATTTTGGAAACATTTAGTGGTTTCTTTTACAGTAATGTTCTATAGGATTAAGATCAAATTTGTGTATTATTACGGATGAGCTGACCTTTAAATTTTACCCTTTCATTTAAAACAAGTATTGTACAGTATTTGATAAAAGAGCAAACAAAAAAATTTAAAAATTGCATAGATGTATGTTGCTCTTACATCTTATGTGTGTAGTTTTATAAAAACTTTTATTGTGAGATTGGTATAAAGGAAGTTAACTAATACACTACGACATTTGTAGTATATTTTTGACCCCCACCTCTCGGTATTCTGACCAAGAGTACTTGTGAAACAATAACTTAATGTTTTCATAAATATTGTTCACTTTGATCTCTAGAAAACATAAATAACTTAAATTAATGGCAAAGTGAAAAAATAATAATGTCTTATTCCTGTGTGAATGAATAGCATTGATGTTATGTATAAAATTTGTGGCTTTAATTGCTTGCCATAGATAATTGTTGAAACTAGACATAACTTTCTTTTCAGTTTGGAGTTTTGGGTGAAATGTCATAGTTTTGTAATCTTTAGATTTTGACTTTTGATTTTTATGGAAGCTTTTGTAAACAATGTTTATTTGGAGCATGGTGTTTCTCCATGGCGTGAATATTGAATGCTGGTAAGGGACATGAGCAGGACTGGGCAGGCTCCCGATGTAATAGTGAGTTTTGGAAGTCTTTCAGTAGTGTTCTGAGGCCACACCAATCACAGCTCCTGTTGTACAGATAGTCTTGGTCAAGATGTAGGAGACCGATGAAACAAAACAAAGTGACGATTCAATAGAGAATAGGTCAATGACAATAGTCTTTGATACGTATTTAGAAGTTATTATCCATAAACATTTTCATGTCTTGAGTTAAGGATTTATTTCAGGATGTCCTAATGAAAATTCTGTTGAGCATTAGTCCTGTATTATTTGCCTTGAAATATAAGTTACAAAAAGAATCATAGCAAAATTGGACGTCACATTTTGTCTTATACTTTTGACAGGACCATCTGTAAAATAATGAAAATGATTGGTTGTGCTGAATTGTAATATTTGTCTTTATATAAAGTATTCCCACATTTTGTATCTTGGAGTTTGGAACACTAAAGGAACTACTGTAACCATGGATCGAGAGGATATTAAGAATGGTGTTGGAACAATTACACTCTTTTCTACCAACACCTGTGTTACAGTGATATTTTCTTCATATTGTAATTAAATGTGTAATTAAGCATTATTATTTTGAAAATTTATCTTGTTTATGACATGAATTTTGTAAATAAAAGCTACTGACAGTAATCGTGTTCATTGTTATTGATGGATGACGTTTTGTCCCCGTGCAAACACTATAAGACCTGCCCTTTGAAGATGAATGAAAACATTGAAAGTCAGTATCCGGGAAAAGGGATGAAACGTTGTTGTAAATACTAATTCTCTGCAAAAACTTCTTGTGTTGAGATTTCTGTGGTTCTGCTGGTAATTTGAGGAATTTGGAATTTTAAACATTTGTCTGTAATCATGCTTCTTTCATATTTCAAAACTTAGAATGTAGAATTTCAGTAATATCCTGGAAAGTGCAGAATTTCAGTAATATCCTGGAAAGTGCCACCAAGAATGGCCTTCATATACTGAAAAATGAGGGATCATAAACATTATCCCCAAAAATATTCATAATCCCCAACATTTTTTGCTCAGTATATGTTCAACCCACTGTGTGACTTATTCCAGCTGTGCATGTTGTCCAGTATGTGCAATGGCACCATCATCCAGGTCACTTCCGTAAATCCTCACAGCAGCCCTATGAGTGCTGAACATAAGCAGCACAAGATATGTTCTCAATTGTGTGTTTGTGTTGGTGTTTGTCGACCTCTGTAGGTGTGTGTAATGTTTGTTTGTTGTTTAACGCTGCACTCAGCAATATTCAAGCTATATGACGTCAGTCTGTAAATAATCAAATCTGGACCAGACAATCCAGTGATTGACATCATGAGCATCAACCAAGTCAGCGAGCCTGACCGCCCGATCCAGTTAGTCGCCTCTTACATAACCATGCTGAAGACCTATTCTCTACCTGTATCTTCACAGGTCGGGTGTGTACAAGGAGTCTGCTGGGTTAACTTTCTTGTTTAACACCAGTCAGCAATATTCCAAACAAGTGACTTATATCTCCAGCACTCCATATCTGACCACAGAATCCACTCAGTCGCCTCTTATGACAAGCATTGAAGGCTATTTTAACCTGGAATCTTCACCAGAGTGTAAGGTTTTGAGACATGCATCCCTGGGGTAAAGTAATACAGAAAACATTTCCAGATGTACATTATATTTTATTACCTGCGATAATTGAGCCCACATCTCATCAAAGACAGAAGGTTAAACCTAGCTGATGTTTCATCACTGGGACTGGGCATCAACATTGGCAAATCAGTAATATATATTTACAGACAGTATATTACACTGCCATGAACTTGGTGAGAAATCCCACAGTGAATCCATAAATATGACATTCACTTGTACACATGTACATCCATAATTAGACTGAAATGTATAAATGTGTGTTGTTTAACATGGCACTAACAGTATTCAACCTATAGGACTGCAGCCTGACAAACTAGTGATTGATACGTCATGCCGTTGTGGTACGACAATCAACAGTCATTGCCTGATCACCAAATCCATTTTGTCGCCTCCTCTGAGTTGGTGGGGACTGATTCCAGCACAGAAATTCATATAGTTGCATCGTATGACAAGCAAAGGTTCCTGGAGACGTATTCTTACCCAGAACCAAAATCCAAGCAACACATGGGCCTACAGCCTGTACTTGATAACATCACACACTGTACAATGTAAGAGTAATCACAACTTCCCCTGTGAATGTTAGTGCATACACTAAACGGGTTGAAATCAAGATTAAATATTGGAATAACTATTTAATAGTTTAACAATTTCTTGCACATTAAAAATAGAATAATTTGTAATTCTCAATGCAACTAATGGCTTCCCAGAAGATGTTCTGAACATCCAGTGATGTGACTGCCAGGATTATGCAGCCATTGGTTTCAGAGATTTCTTCTGAGACAGGTTGATCTTGTCTCCCATGCTCAAAGCCATACCCTGAAAAGAACAAAACAGTAGCTTAATAAACATGGAGCTTGTTACTTTACAAGGTTGCATGTAGCTTGTTACTCTGCATGTAGCTTGTTACTCTGCATGTAGCTTGTTACTCTACAACGTTGCATTTCAAGAGATTTGTTCATAGTTAAAAATGGGATCCTCATCACCTCTGTGTGTGTCTGTGTGTGTGTCTGTGTCTGTGTCTGTGTCTGTGTCTGTGCCTGTGCCTGCATGTACTAGTCTGGACTAGTCTGGTTTAATAGTGCTAGCCCTCTGAGTTACCATACTGCAGTTTAACTCGCTCTGACACATGATGCTGACTCCCAGCCTACCAGTCCTTGTTTTAGCCCCTTAACAGGAGTGTCAAACAGGATAACAAGTACTATCTGTTAATGTCTCTTGGTATGACACGGCCAGGAAATTAAACCACCAACCCGGGCAGTTGCTCTGTCCACTAGAGGCAGTCTCCTACCCTGGAATCCCTGAACTACCCACCTGACTCTTGGCTCTAATCCTGATGTGACCTTGAACAGAGGCATCCTTGCCCAGGTGGCCTGGCTTCTCGATGCTCAGATTGGCCAGCACGTCCTCCCCGAAGATTGACCTGGCGTACAAGTTGGCCGCCATGAAGCCGCAGCTGCCTGATATAGCCTGGGGAAAGAAGGAACAAGTTACAACATGGTCAACTCAGCAGCAACTATCCACCACGGACACCGAGTGCTCCTAGTGCTCCGACTATCAGAAATCCACACTCCTACATAGACCTTCTGATAGTATTGGACCCTTCTGATCACAGTAAATATATGATGAATCATTTTCATTTAACAGACCACACCAATTCATTCCATATGATGTTAATAGGTGTCACTATGTCAAAAGTTCACCTTACTCATCAGTGTTGTCTTCACACTGGCCATTAACAGCCCAGCCAGTTGAGCTACGGTAATACCACATTGAAACAAGATTACAAATTCTACAATGCAACTGAGGTTTGTGAGATAAGGAAGATATGAGAATTCACCATGTTATTCTAATACGAACAGAATATAACTGGCTAAAGTAATAAACAACAAAATAATTCATGCAAACAACACTAATACACATGCAAAATACAAACCAATCGTGTTAATGTTCAACAACATCAAATTACAGTTCAAGACACATTTTTATTTCTATGAGAGAAATTTGAAAATTATTCAGGGAAATCTTTAACCAATTGGAATGAAATTAAAAACACAACAAGGGTTACTATACTCCATGGCCCATTTGTTCCAAGTGTATAGACGTTTACCTCAAGGAGTTTTGACAATCGTCATATACGTCTTGATATCACTGGTTCAAGTTGGTGAGTCAGTGAGCTATGTTTACTGCTGATGTAAACAATATTTCCATGACATCACTGCATCAAAGACAAACGTCATAAACGTCTACCACTTGGTGAAACTCACAAGGACCTATAGGAATAGGTGATATGGTGCCATCAGACTAATGATGATATCATAATCTGAGATTAGAAACCTCTCTTGGCAGATCCTGGGTCAATATTCTATACAGCAAATATCAGCATCATAGGCCTCTGGGCAACAGGTGCCCCATGTTGAAGATACCACAAACCTTCCAACAGGGTTCAAAAAGAATAGTAGCTTTTTTTTAAAAAGAAGTCCACAGTATAGATAGTGTGTGACACTGGCAGAGGTTTTAAGCTACTGGGAGTGGTTGAGGGTTTTGGTGTACTCAATGTAAGGTATGCTGGTCCACTGTATAGATAGTGGGTGACACTGGCAGAGGTTTTAAGCTACTGGGAGTGGTTGAGGGTTTTGGTGTACTCAAGGTAAGGTGTGCTGGTCCACTGTATAGATAGTGTGTGACACTGGCAGTGATGTAAGCTACTGGGGGTGAGTGAGGGTTTTGGTGTGCTCAATTTAACAAACACAAACATGCGAAGCAAAGGAACTAAAAAAATCTACCCAACAGAAACTATACTTCATCAACATGCTAACTCACTTCCTGACTTCTTAACTCTTCTATGCATAACGACATGAGATTGTTATGGAAAACATCTTCCTCAATGTTGGTCATGATATTTCAGTGGAGAGTAAACATCTACCCACTCAACAACTCTACACGGCTCACAACAGAACACTGTACCCATGTGGGGAGTGGAAACACCGGGCATTGGAGGGTGCAAGTAAACAGCTACCCACTCAACAACTCTACACGGCTCACAACAGAACACTGTACCCATGTGGGGAGTGGAAACACCGGGCATTGGAGGGTGCAAGTAAACAGCTACCCACTCAACAACTCTACACGGCTCACAACAGAACACTGTACCCATGTGGGGACTGGAAACACCGGGCATTGGAGGGTGCAAGTAAACAGCTACCCACTCAACAACTCTACACGGCTCACAACAGAACACTGTACCCATGTGGGGACTGGAAACCCGGGGCATTGGAGGGTGCAAGTAAACAGCTACCCACTCAACAACTCTACACGGCTCACAACAGAACACTGTACCCATGTGGGGAGTGGAAACCCGGGGCATTGGAGGGTGCAAGTAAACAGCTATCCACTCAACAACTCTACACGGCTCACAACAGAACACTGTACCCATGTGGGGAGTGGAAACCCAGGGCATTGGAGGGTGCAAGTAAACAGCTACCCACTCAACAACTCTACACGGCTCACAACAGAACACTGTACCCATGTGGGGAGTGGAAACCCCGGGCATTGGAGGGTGCAAGTAAACAGCTACCCACTCAACAACTCTACACGGCTCACAACAGAACACTGTACCCATGTGGGGAGTGGAAACACCGGGCATTGGAGGGTGCAAGTAAACAGCTACCCACTCAACAACTCTACACGGCTCACAACAGAACACTGTACCCATGTGGGGAGTGGAAACCCCGGGCATTGGAGGGTGCAAGTAAACAGCTACCCACTCAACAACTCTACACGGCTCACAACAGAACACTGTACCCATGTGGGGAGTGGAAACCCAGGGCATTGGAGGGTGCAAGTAAACAGCTACCCACTCAACAACTCTACACGGCTCACAACAGAACACTGTACCCATGTGGGGAGTGGAAACCCAGGGCATTGGAGGGTGCAAGTAAACAGCTACCCACTCAACAACTCTACACGGCTCACAACAGAACAGTTACATAAAATGGACAAAGAAGTCTTGATATCTCACTTTCTATGCAACACATTAAACCTTTTACTGAACCACCTGGTTGACAGAGGAAGATATAGTGGCTGTCTTGACATGGGCTGCAGTGAGTTTACTGAACCACCTGGTTGACAGAGGAGGATATAGTGGTTGTCTTGACATGGGCTGCAGTGAGTTTACTGAACCACCTGGTTGACAGAGGAGGATATAGTGGTTGTCTTGACATGGGCTGCAGTGAGTTTACTGAACCACCTGGTTGACAGAGGAGGATATAGTGGTTGTCTTGACATGGGCTGCAGTGACTTTACTGAACCACCTGGTTGACAGAGGAGGATATAGTGGTTGTCTTGACATGGGCTGCAGTGAGTTTACTGAACCACCTGGTTGACAGAGGAGGATATAGTGGTTGTCTTGACATGGGCTGCAGTGACTTTACTGAACCACCTGGTTGACAGAGGAGGATATAGTGGTTGTCTTGACATGGGCTGCAGTGACTTTACTGAACCACCTGGTTGACAGAGGAGGATATAGTGGTTGTCTTGACATGGGCTGCAGTGAGTTTACTGAACCACCTGGTTGACAGAGGAGGATATAGTGGTTGTCTTGACATGGGCTGCAGTGAGTTTACTGAACCACCTGGTTGACAGAGGAGGATATAGTGGTTGTCTTGACATGGGCTGTAGTGAGTTTACTAAACCACCTAGTGGACAGAGGAGAAAACAGTGGTTGTACCAATCCCACAGTGCAGCAACAGGAAACAGCCATGCACCATGCTCCAGGAAACAAGAACAGCGTGCTTAATAGAAAGATTTCTACTTGCATTTGGCACCGGTACCTTCTCAGGGGTGAGACACTTCATGTTGGTGGTCCTCATCACGTGTTGTAGGAACTCGTGAAGGTCAAGGATGTTGGTGTTGACCGCAACCTTGTTCTCCCACTCAAACTCCGCCCACATCTGGCGGAACTCAGAGTCGGTGCAGCTGGCGGGCACGATGTAGTCCATGATGTCAATGTGGATGTCGTTGAGGACTACACAGTTGCGGTCACTTGCTGCACCTGTCACATCGTACACTGTGGATAGGAAAAGGAAAAAGGTCAGATTAAACCATATATCACTATCAGTTGTGTGATAGTGGATCTAATCAAATTTGTCACAGGAAAAATTAACATTCATTTCTTCTTTACATCATGACAATGTTAGATTCATCTGGAAGCCTTGTTGTTTATACAGCTCATAAGGGAACTCTCACTTCAATTTGTTGGATGAATCATTAACCATGAACAAAGACAAAAATACATCAGTAAAACAAACACCTAACAAATCACATGTGAACAACAAAAAGCCTGGAAATATTAGTCTGCACTGAACAACACCAGTAACATATCTCACCAATATTTCCAAAGATGATTCCATTCTCTGTAGAGGCGACCTTGACATTGGCCTTGATGTTACAGAAGTCGTGAGGAGCCATGGTAAGAGGTTGGGGTTTTTCCACCAGCTTCAAGTCACCTGCAATGTGGGGTAGATATTACAGTCAAGTCTCGTTAATCCGACATTTGTTAATCCGACACTAATGATGGGAACTGTTTAAATCAGTGCTATTTTGACCCGTTAATCTCTCACTCCCGACTCCGACACACGTAATTTGCAACAAATTACTGAAATCACTCATATCTTGTTAATCCGACATAGTGATCAGTGTACTCCTCGGTCATCTGCCTGCGAGTACACAGCCCATGTTTTGAATAAGTCATAGAGTCCGTAACAGTTGTTTTGTGTTAAGCTTTAGAGGTTGCATGATTAGAAAACATATTCTGCTAACAATGTAACATAACAATATGAATATTTATTTTTTTATTACGTGTTTGTATCATTAGCTATTGTGTAGTTCTCCGATTTTATATCACGAACGTTGATACTACGTAGTTTCGTTAATCCGACATAATCACATTCAACCAACTATGTCAGATTAGCGGGACTTGACTGTACATGGTGGCGGTGAATGTTTCTTCATACTATTGTGGAAGGGAAAACCTAATTATAGGTTTCTGTAAAGGTTGTTCTTCCTTGTTCCCCCAGTGATGACTAAATAGATCACCCAGATGTAGCATACCAAAGAGGAAGTGGATGCATCTGACAATTTTCATCACCCAGCAGACAGGTGTATTCTGCCTCTATCCTTGAACTACTATTTACACTGCATGTTTCCAGGTGCAGTGGGCGTACAAAGAAAGTGATCACTCTATGGCACATCCTACTTAAACACATACACAACCCTGACAAGACAAGTTCAGGAGTTGGCCCCTGGGATTCTGGCGATCTTACCAAGAGTAGCCAGCTCCAGGGTGAGGTTCTGCAGGGTGTCTGACGTCTGGTTGACAATGAGGACGTCCAAGACAATGTCGTACTGGTTCACGTTCACGTATGCCTCCGCGTACACAGGGTCGGAGAAGCCAGTCAGCTGAGTCACCTGGAACACAAAAGCTACTGCATTAAACATCACGTATCAGTGTTTCCTTGAATACTAGCTGGACACAAATATCAGTATGAACTCTTCATATGATAAGACATAGCATGTACTGATCAGATAAAGCATCAATCGTTGAATGTGATATGCAGCAGTCAGCAAAATATTGTACGGTGCAAACATCAAGCCTGGACCAACCAAACCAGTGACTGACAGCATGAACAACAATCCATTAGGAAACAAACATTTGTACTTTGTTATCATCTGATCCCCATATTATTCAGCATTGTGTCTCTTGCAACATCACAGCCGGTGTGTGTAATGTTAGAGGAAAGCTCATAGTGATGCAGGTCTTGAACCTTTACCTCTGTGGAGAAACTAGCGGGCACAATCTGGAAATTGAGTCCCAATCATAGGTGCATCGTGATTTGTAGCATGTTAGAAAGCTGTGCCACCTGAGCCTGCCCTACTGAAGAAGCCTGAAGTGTAACGTCACCTTGTTGAGCTTTGACGCTCCGGCAGGGTCGGCATCCTTCTTGTTGCTCATCCCAAGAGCCTGAGACAGGGTCAGCTCAAACATGTTCTGAATAATATAAAAATGATTGTTGAAAGAAAACATCATGTATACTAAGATAAAGAAAATACTGGAATCAGTGACAATAGTGGTGCAGGATATCACCAGAGAGAGGTAGTTTAAATATCATCCAAATTCCTAACATCTGGAACATGTCTTACTTACCTCCCCTGTGCCAAGTTCAGCCCTGTTGACGAGCTGGGTGAAGGAGATGGGGTCATCAGCTTGAACCTTCACCACTTTCTTCTGTGCAGCCTGAAAGATGAATTCCACTAATGACTTCCACAGAATGGCTGGATGTATAATGTCGAATAAAGTAAATGTTCAATTTGATACTGCCTTTTCTCTGAGGGCGGTTGCCTAGTGGTTAAAGCATTCACTTGTCATGAGGAAGACTCAGGTAAGATTCCCCACATGGGTACAATGTATGAAGCCCATTTCAGCTCCTACGTCATGATATTGCTCTGAGCCAGTGTTCCTTTGCTGGGATCATTATTTGCCATTGACATGATCAGTGTTAAATTTTTGTAAATTATTCTCATAATATCTGAAGCACTTGAAGATTCCTCTGTACATATGTTCAAGATATTCAGGATATTTGTATGTTCATTACCTCAATGTAGTCAGATCAGATCAGCCACATCTATTACCTCTTGCTGTGCCCTCTCCTCTTCAATCTTGGCTGCCAGCATCAGTGACAGGGACCCTCGACACTGGTTGTTGAAAATGTCGGTCATGAGCTCCGACTTCTCAGCCAGCACACGCAGGCACATCGCAATACGATCAATGTCATCATCTGTGATGGGCTGTAACACACAAACACAAACAACATTGATTTCATACAGAAGACTCCTGTCAAAGTTAGGGGAGCAAGGAAGACCTTGATATAAACAAATATCCTCTTTGTTTGTCTGACGTTGATATTTCCATGAGCCACGTCCGAGTCACAGGATGAGATAATGTTATTTAACACGAAAAGACATTGTGGTACAGAAGGGAGTGGTGTCATTCACTCAAGTGATATATCCATTTTATATTTTGTGACATATACATTTAATCATTTAATCACCAAATACATGATGAGTAAAGAAGATTGTTCATTGACTCAGGCTGAAAGTTATGTGACATTGAACATTACTTTCTTGGAAAACACTGACCTTGGTAGGAAGTCCTGATTTGCCCAGATGGATGATGGTTGCCATGATGAGCATGGACTCTGCCACAAAGGCCTGCACAGAGAGAAGTAGTTACAGTCAGGCTGGTGGAAGGGTCAGTATTAGGCAGGTTTCTTAAAACTTTCTGCACATCACTGTCCATACTTCACATACAGTATGATTCTCCATCTCAATTAACTATGTATGCTACTCACAACTAGTTAAAGAACACCCAGTATTGGAAGGCTGTGTTGCAATATCCACCAGCCATGACAGATTAACTATAGACATATGGAAAAATAAGTAAGGATAAGAATTTATGGATGAACAACTTCTTTTTTACAATTAAGAGCGACGTTTCGGTGTAGGTTCTAACACTGTTATCAAGCAAGTGCAAGGTGTTAGAACCTGCACCAAAACATCGCTCTTAATTGTAATAAAGAAGTTGTTCATCCATAAATTCTTATCCTTACTTAGTACTCCAACTTCTAAATGCCTATCAAAGAAGAAAAAAAATCAGGTGTTGTTTAACTTCTTTTCAGCAGTACATATATGTCCGCTTTGTGGTGTAGTAGCCACGTTTGTCTGTTTTAACTAACATAATGGAGCTATTTACAACACATGGAAATCCCCTGCACCCTACTCCTTGGGCAGCTCATGACCACTGCCTGAAACAATGTGTAGAGAAGATGTCTGCCAGGGTATCACTGGGTATGGCATGTGTTGCCATTTGTGTGATGCTGATGCAATCAGATCACTCACTTGTTTGAGCATTCATTGGTTTCACTGTCACTTGAACCAGGCCAAGCCTTGATTTGTTGGTAAAACTGCTAATCAGACAAGTGTATTCACGGGTGCATGTAAAAACCTTTGAAGTATTGACGATGTCTGCAAAGGGATCAACCTTGGACCCATTCAAACATCCCTCCTCACCTGAGGAATGACTTCAATAGCCACTTCTCTAACAAACACTTAATACAGTCCATCACGAAAACTGCTTTGTGGATTGCTTCTCACCAGGAGTGAATGAGTGAGTGAGTGACCTTTCAGCAATATTCCAGCAACATAAATGGGCACACATTGTACCCATGTAGGGAATCAAACCCAGGACTTCGGAGTGAAGGGTAAATGCTGTAACCAATTGACTACTCTACCATCCTTTCTGATAAGGAAGATGTTCTCACATTTTGTCTCTTGACATCCTTGTTGATGTTGATGTATCGGAGACACAGCTTGGTGAGAGTTGTGGCTAGGGCGGCACCAGTGAAGAACTCTCCATCCATCAGATACTGCCGCATGGTGGGTCTGGGAACACAAGCATAGGCTCATCACTGGTGCAAGCCAACTGAGATGTAATGCTGCAGTTTAACATGAATACCTCACTCAGACACAGTATACTGACCCCGAGCCGACCAGTCCTTGTTTTAGCCCCTTAATGCCGAGTGCCAGACAGGGTAACAACAAGTACCATCTTTTAACGTCTTTTGGTATGACGTGGGGGAATGAACACTGGACCTTCCGCTCGTCCAGTGGACGCTTTACCACTAGACCACAGAGACGGTCTTAGGTATAGCAGTAACATAGAGTTATTAACTATTTTCAGGATTCAACCCATCCATATTACCTGCATTAAAAACTAATGATGAAAGTTCTCAATTTTGACGGGTCCTCAATTCACTAATGTTAAAACTTTAGGGTCCCTAATTAAACAAAAGCTTAAATAACCACAGGACCCCCAAATGACTGACATTGACTTTTCAGCAGACTTTGATAGGTTAAATCACTTCACTGAATGCCATCGAAACAATATTTAAATGTGACACGAGCCAATCCTATGCTACCCTACCACCCCTCAGTGAATTCAATATTAATGTTGAGATATACATTTGGTTGCATTAGAGCAGTGTCTGCTGAAGGATATCTTTCAGTTTGATGATGATTGGTGTTCCCTAAACTTCAGTTTCTGTGTTACCTCTCCTCCTTCTTGGAGCTGGATGTTGCGCTGAAAGCACTCTGGGTGGCGTACGTCCCATCAGCCGTCACCAGTCTCTGTACTCCACCGCCGGTCTGCATCTCTACACGGGGGAACAACAAGGGAAAGTGAGTTGAGATTAATGTTGCTTCAAGCATGATTTACTTACTTACTTAATTACGATGTCAGAGGAAAGTGATGTCCAAAGTGATGCAGGTCTTAGACACTTGCCACTGGGGAATGGTCCTCACCATGACCACTATAGTACATGAGGACCTATTCTGCCACGACTGAGTGAGGAGATATCACAGCTTTGAACAGTATTTCAGTTATATCACAGCATGTCAGCTTGATGTGGGAGGGCCTGAAATGATGCAGGTCTTACCACCTTGGTGAAATCAATGAGCACAAGTATGGCGCTGACAAACCAAGAAACAGTCATGATGATCCAGGACACAAATCCCAATTCACATCCAATGCCAAAGGGATGCAACTCTGTGCAGCAACTTTCAGGGCCTCAGATGTGTGGGCCACCCATGTCCCTAAGCTGGCCAGGAACCTATACGAGGAACATTGATGACACATCTGTTGCAATATGGAGGCTACAAGTTTCCTCACCTTCCTCCTTCACTTCTCCAGCAGCCTTCTTGATCTCATCATCAACAATCGGGATCTACAACACAAACAACAACACAGATAACAAAAGAAGACAGTCATTTCCATGAGGAGGTTACGAGTTGCCTTTAGCAATATTGCAGGTATATCATTGCCTGGTGGTGGACAGCTGCTACAGAGAAGCAGGACATGTGAGGGCTGTGTGTACATACATCTCCCAGGGCCTGTCTGATGAGGGTCATCACCAGCTGGATGTCCTCGGAGCTTGTGCAGTATTCTCCCAGGATCCACAGCGCGGCTCGGTGAATCCTGGAAACACACATACATCCTGTTCAGCGACATCTTGTACAGCATTAAAAAACTAAGAAACCTAAGCACTGAGAAACCTGGTCCTATGACATGAAACAACCTAAATTCTCAAACAGAAGCTGATATATATGATAAAAATTTGCATTATCAGATAAAAAAGATGACTCAGTTGGAACATATGGTGAGAGTTGTACATTCTGTCGCGACCATACTTTACAATATAAACACGTCACTGACATTTTAGCAAAGTCAGAACTAAAAAGAAAGGCACATATTAAAATCTGCAACAAATATTGATATATTGCAAAAAACATCAATTGTTACCCCCCTGCAGTGGTATGGTAATAAAAAATGGGAATAGAAATTTTCTGACTTCAGACCAGGGCCCTGTTCCATAAAACCATCTCAGTGTTAAGACTTGTATCTGCGACACTCTAAGCCAGACTTCCATCTAGCCGTGGAAGGGGGCTGAGGGGTGTTAGTTACAGACAGGGACTCACTTCATGGCCTTGATGGTGGGGAACACCTCCAGGAGCTTGCTGATGATAAGGGTACGCAGCTGCTCGAAGCGCTGGACAGCCTCTCGGACAAACACCAGCACGTCGGCAGCAGCCAGCTCGTTTTGGTCACCCAGGAACTCCATCAGCTGCAGGAGAGGCACATTACAGTCACAGTGCTCCAACAGGCATTTCTTATCGTTATCTACAGTAAACTACGGTTATGACCAACTCAAAGGGACCACCAATCTTAGCTCGATATAACTGTAGTTCATGATAAGCATTTTGACCTTTTTACTATTGTTAATTGAGGGTAAAATTGAGGACAAGGTGTTGGTACTTAATCCATCTAATCACTTGCCTTCAATATTATTGCCATTTTGAACAACCGTGCGTGACCATGGATGTTTTGATAGGCTGACTGGTGACACATGAGCAGCTCAGAGATTAACAGTTTGTTTTAAACTGCATTGTCATCGAAAAAACAGTTTGTTATATCTGTCAATTCGTTCATCATAAACATTGTTTACTGCATATTAAATATAGGATGTCATAATGCTGTATACAAATCATTTTAATATACGTTTGCTACAGTTTATATTAATGACTTAAACTTGAACTTGTTTTCTAATTTCAATTAAACAATGACCTGAAATAAGGGAACTCATTTTAGACGAGAGGTTGAAAGTTAACTGATGACAGCTGGATGAACAGAATGGACATTGTGCCTTGCAATAAGGTTACTTTGATTTTTGTTCCTGATGAGCTCAAAGTGCACATCATAAAGCAGCATTTACTCTATCCTTTAACTCAACTAATTACAAAAGTGAACAGTTGTATAAAGAGCACCACTGGTATGACTGCATGAGATGATGTTTGACTCACCACTGGTATGACTGCATGAGATGATGTTTGACTCACCACTTATATGACTGCATGAGATGTTTGACTCACCCCTGGTATGACTGCATGGGATGATGTTTGACTCACCACTGGTATGACTGCATGATATGTTTGACTCTCCAATGGTATGACTGAATGAGATGATGTTTGACTCACCACTGGTATGATGACTGGAGCAACATCGGGGAACTTGACGCTGCACTGATGGAGCGTGCGGACGAGGAGCTGGCGGTACTTCCCCGTGTCCTCATGCTCAACATTGTTTGTCTTCACCACTTCCTTCTTCAACACCAACACCATCTGACAGACACAACATACAGCGCGTTACAACCTCTACACCAAGACATCCGGGTGTGACAGGGCGGGTACAGCAACATCAGTCAAACAGATATTCTGTAGCCTTGTTGTATGAAGTAGATGCCAGTGCAGTTGCATGGCAAGCTCTTGTACAAGGTGACTGTAGGACTATGACATGCTATAACATAGGCTTGCAATGACCACAGCACTCCAGTTGCTATGTGCAGGTGGTCAATGAATGTAAGTCATGACATGATAATGGTGTTTGAATTGTTTTATGATATTTGTATTCAGTCAGAGGTCAGATTAATGAAAATGCTTAGGATTACCAAAATATGGTGTCTCATCTAGCTTGTAAGATAAGGGTGCGTTGCAAATCACCAATCACTTGCAAGCTATGTACACCGATTGACCTTACCACGGGGTGACCAACTTTCGGAGGCTTGCAATCTACCAATTGCTGGCTGAGGTGTCTTTGATATCAAAGCAAAATGGCGACAGAGTTTGACAGTGGAACAAGAAATTCTTGACTGGATCAACTGTCTGCTCCACATCTTCGAAGTAGTCACAAATTCATCAGCTCCTCATCAAGCATCTTCTATTATGTTCTTCATTAGGTCAAGGCAACCAAGCAGTAGTTGCGCCACCATTTTGGAAGAGTGTGCAAGTGCTTCGAGCTGTTGCAGACCCTAATAAATAATTTGCTTACTCTAAGCCATTCATGGCTTGCAACGTGCCCAACATTCCTTGTGAATGTCTCAACATTCCCTTTTGGAACATCCTAGTAACCTTTTCTTTTCATTCTAAATAAAAAGTCTCCTGATTCTAGACTTAACATTAAGTATTGACGTTGATGTCAAAATGCAAGATGTGAAAGGTGTTGTCACAGAGTGTGAACCATTCATTCCGCACCACCTCTCACAGTCTATAACCATGAGAAGGAACTGAGGCTGACAGACTGACCTCCTCGATGGATCTGGATGTGACGAGGTCGAGGGCAAGTCCGAGGGTCTTCTTGCGGACCTCCTGGTCTGGGGCGTTCAGAACACGCAGCACATCCATCACCAGCTCCTGCAACAATCAAGAGGATTCGTTTGTGTCGTGAGGAGCCATGTCTGTTGTGAACAGTCAAGTGTTGTAAGGAGCCATTTGTGTTGTGAAGAGTCATGTGTTGTGAAAAGTCATGAGTATATTGAGGAGTCGTGTGTGGTGAAGAGTTTGGGTACAAATGCTACTGACCTGCAGGACTTTCTCATGTGCAGCGACATCCTTAAGGTTGATGAGTCTGTCCAGGACAATCAGCTTGACATTGTTGTCACTCTCCTTCACAATCAGCTCGATGTAGCAGCTGGCGGCAGCCTACAGTTGGAAGCCACAGTATAAGCATCTTGTAGCACATTACAAATTACATGAAATTAAGTAAATATAAAATATAATAAATATAATTCACCAAAGAAAATATATAACATTGGGTTTTGATACAAATGACACCATAGCAACAAACATAACACAGGAATTGCTGTGGATAGTTCCCGAATAATTGAGATTGCACACACTTGCCAATCTGTTAAAAGGAGGGAACATAAACCTAAAATTTGTAATCAAGTCCTCTTTATTATGTGCTACTAATGAAACTGAATTTGAGACAGTCCACTTTTTCATGTAACTGATACAATACATGATACAATCAGAACAATTATTATCACAAAGATACTGGCCATGTTTGAGACGGAAGGACAGCAAGCCTCACCTTGATGGCCGTGGGGGCACTGGAGAGTGTGACGAGGGTGCCGGCGGCCTCGTACCTGACGGCGGGGCTGGACGAGTTGAGAAGGTTGTAGATGCAGCGGATGAAGCGGGCACGCTCAGAGGGGTTGGCATGGCAAACCTACAACACATACACACTTTCATGCACACCAGATGTCTTGAACGTTATCTGTGGAAGAAGTCACAGAAACTTCATCTGATTCATCTTACATTCAGAATTTCATGTGGCATTTAATCATATGAATGTATAATTTGAACAAACATCTGCTCAGTCATTGCTTCCTCAATACCAGGTTGGATAGTACTTAAAAAACATGCATGTGATAATGACACCTCGGACACTGACACACCTATAACATACAAGGGAGACATTTTCTTCCACTTAATCTATAATTTCTTTTGTGGTCACTTGAACATCCATTAGGACATTCACAAGAGACCTATCAATATAACTAGCAGTATGACAGCAAGTCTACTCTTCAATGTCAATATACATTCCCAGGCTGTGGCCTTACCTTGTAAATAAGTTCCACGATCACCAGCTGAAGGATGTCCCCGAAGGAGGTCACTTGGTCAATACAGCTGCTCAGGTAGTTAAGGGCACGCTCCTGGGGTAAAAAGAATCAGTAACAGATCATCTTCCTGACAATCACAGTCACCTAGATCACAATGACAGTCAGAGATCACCTAGATCACAATAACAGTCAGAGATCACCTAGATCACAATAAGTCAGAGATCACCTAGATCACAATAACAGTCAGAGATCACCTAGATCACAATAAGTCAGAGATCACCTAGATCACAATAACAGTCAGAGATCACCTAGATCACAATAACAGTCAGAGATCACCTAGATCACAATAAGTCAGAGATCACCTAGATCACAATAACAGTCAGAGATCACCTAGATCACAATAACAGTCAGAGATCACCTAGATCACAATAACAGTCAGAGATCACCTACCACACAATCAGAGTCAGAGATCACCTAGATCACAATAACAGTCAGAGATCACCTACCGTAATCACAGTCAGGTGAGGTGAGGTGAAATGAGGTTTAACGTCGCGTCCAAGATTATTGCACTTATATAGCGACGTGTATGCACATGTGTGTGTGGCTGCTTGTACTAGTCCGGACTGATACCGATTTATAGTGCTAGCTCACTGAGATACCATGCCGCAGTTTAACATAAAACCCCACTCAGATACAGTATACTGACTCCGAGCCGACCAGTCCTTGTTTTAGCCCCTTACTGCAGAGCGCCAGACAGGATAACAACAAGTACCATCTTTTAACGTCTTTTGGTATGATGCCGCCTGGGGATCGAACCCCGGACCTTCCGCTCTCCGTGCAGACGCTCTACTATTAGACCATGGAGGCGGTCCAATCACAGTCAGAGATCACCTAGATCACAATAACAGTCACATATCTTATACCTCACAACCACAGAGATCATCCACCTCACAACTGCAGTCAGAGCTCATATATACATCACAGTTACAGTCAGCCAGTTTCTACCTGCTTACCACTTGTGGATTTCAACCCACGATTAGCAGATCCAGCCAAGGTAGCAATGGACCTCTGTACAACTAGTTGTATCGAGATATATCAGCATAAGACAAAGATATAAATGTAACAAAAAATGATTTATTGAAACAGCAGCACCAACAGAAACTTCCAATCACTTTTACTGAATATAAAACTTATCAATTAGAAATAACCAGTGCTTTATTATAAACAGTGTGTGAACATAAACTGACCTGATCAGCATGGATCAGCATCATGAAGGCATTCCTCTTGCAGGACATGTCCTGTTCCCCCTCCAGGAAGTTAGCAATCAGTTCGGGGGCATCCGGGATCAGGAAGTCAAAATTCCTGAAAGAGGGATTTGGGAGTCAGTTGGGTATAATGCCATTTTCAGCAGTAGTTCAGTAATATCATGGGTTTGGTGAAACCCCTGAGTAGGACCATGGTGATGACAGACAAGGGATCATAACTGTCAACTCTGCAGTGCCAGTTGCACCACCTTACAATGACATACAATTCCTGAAAGCAAACCTTTCATGTCCGTATATTTTGTTTCCTTAGAAGTCTCCTGCAATTTTACTGACTGTAAACAACCTGTTAACAGCATTGCAATCTTTTAGTCAGTTGGTGAGGTTATGATTTTTTTTATATCAAAGATAACTCTCTACCCCAATAGGTAACTCTTATCAAGTGTTGGGTTGCCTTTATTTGTGAGCATGCTACACATGTAATTATCTTGTTGTCATTTAACAATGAACTCCTCAATATTCCAGTTGTATGGCGGCGGTCTGTAAATAATCAAGTCTGGAAAAGACAGTCCAGTGATTGACATCATGAGTATCGACATGCATCAACCAACAGCGAGCCCAACCACCTGATGCTGTTAGTAGCCTATTACGACAAGCATAGTTGCCTCTTACAGCAAGCATGGGTTGCTGAAGACCTATTCTCTACCCGGACCTTCATGAAAATATAGAGTGTCACTGTCAGTATGGAGAATGTATGCTTCATCTGCAGTTACATACCCTACTCCCAGAATGGTATACTTCTGGAAACTCTATGCATTTAACCTCAGTTTCTGAATATTTTACTAAGTGCATCATATCATCTATGTAAGTAACAGTGTTATATTAGAATTGAAGCTAAACGCTAACAAAATGTTTTTAACTTCAGCGCAATAAAACAAACAGTGCCTTTCAGATCAAAATATCTAGGGTCAGCTGGTGCTGTTCCCCATTTGTAGGAAGACTAGTGATACACAACAAACGCCTGTGACCTGACCTGCAGGTGATTACCATCATTACATGGGAAGTAATCACAGTCATAGAACTAGGTCCTTTATTACTTCATTTAGATTTATTCTCCAAACATAAGGTCAGTTGTTAAAATAATATTTTGCAAAACAATGTTTCTATGAAGCAATATCGAAAAAGCATAGTTAAAACATACAATACACGACCTATTTTACAACTTTTAAAGCAAACTATTTGGAAACCAGTTGGCAATGGCAACAATTATTGCATACATACTCTCTTTTATACCATTTATATTACCATTTAAAAATGATAATTGCTGAAATTAGAAATTAAATGTATTTTCAAGTGTATGTGCTTATGTCAAAATTGTAACACAACTGTTCACAACTCCACCCTCAGAGTGGACAGATAGGATTTCTTTTTTCAAGTTACCATTACTTGGACAAGAAGATCTATGTTTAATGGTGACATTTGATCTCACATCAAGGTTTTCTCTACCAATTTATTCATTCATTCAGCTTTATCATGTTTGACAGATCCTTCAATCCCTGAACACAAAGCCTGATGACAGGGGTATACTGTATCATGCTCTACGTTACATTTCCCTATCTACTGGGGAATTACAAATTTGCAAATTGAAAAAGGATAGGTGTCTGTCTGCTTGACTGATATAAATAAATACAATTAAAACAATTAAAAATAAATAAAATATCAAACACTTCAAACAAGATAACAAAACAAACATTTTAAAAGAGATGAAAGAAATATTTTAAAAAACTATGTCTTTCCCTTGAAACCACCGAGTTATGGATAAAAATATCTTTAAGTCATAGTTAAAAGTAATTTTCTCCTCAAATCACTAATAAACAACTGTTACACAGTAAAACTGTCAGGCAGCCTGCCCTGCCTAACATGAGCCTGCAAGATTGAATCAATACTGATCATGTGACTTAAGCTCAGCACATGATAGGGCTATTTTTAGATTTCCAGGAAGACAGGGTTTTCCAGGAAGAAGCTACTTTCACTTTTCAGTTTGCCACGAAGTGACGACACAGAAGGCTATCAACAGGATCAAGTAGGAGTGTATGCATATGAAATGAGTATTTGATCCAATATCTTGAGAATTTGACGTGTGAGATTACAACACACAGGTTTCAAGGAAAGGATTACAATCGTAACATATAAGATAGATGCATTGGGATAGATAATGCCAATGTGAAGATAACTGCTGTTTGGTGAAATTATGGCCACATCAAAATCAGTGAGTACAACTTCAATCTTATTACCACAAAGGTAGTTGCTGAAAAAGGATATTACAATTATCAATTGACATTTATTCAGAAGATCACTGTGTAAAAGATGTTTTTGTGCTCCAATTACGTGTGAATTGCACTCATGCATTGCATTCTCATCACAACAATTGTACTACTGAACATACAACACATAGACATTGAAATAAGGATCAAGGCTAATTCAGTTTTTAAGTGTGCTTAAACAATTGCATTTTCCCAGTTTGGTTAAAATTCCTAAAGGTTAAACATACTGGGTAAGCAAGGATAAGCTGAGTTATGGCCTCACAATTAACCCTATGAGGTCTGCCCACTGGGGCATACCACTGACTGAAGAAAGGGGTAGCTGGTGGTCCTCCACAAGTAGTATGATGGTTACGTGAGTGTACTATTTTGGCTAACAAGTTCTAGTGGAAAGTTCATTAACACATAATCATGATAATAGTACATGCTGATGTCAGGTACCCCATGACTGGGTAAACGGTGACAGAAAAGGGAATTCATTTGCTTTAAAAATGGAATAATATTGTTTACACCAGAGAGCTTTAATGAATAGTGTTATGTCATTCATCAAATGATTGTGAAGGTTTAGACCTTAACATAGTGACAGTTACTCAATGACATACTCCTAATTAATCCCATGTGATTGTTTATGGGGCTTCAGCATACTGTATGTTGCAATGTTGAGATAGGTGAGGTAAAATTGGGTTTAACGTCGCGTCCAAGATTATTGCACTTATATAGCGACGTGCATGCACGTGTATGTGTGTGTGTGTGGCTGCTTGTACTAGTCTGGACTGATGCCGATTTATAGTGCTAGCTCACTGAGATACCATGCCGCAGTTTAACATGAATACCCCACTCAGACACAGTATACTGACTCCGAGCCGACCAGTCCTTGTTTTAGCCCCTTAATGCCGAGCGCCAGACAGGGTAACAACAAGTACAATCTTTTAACATTTTTGTATGACGCGGCCCGGGATCGAACCCTGGACCTTCCGCTCTCCGGGCGGACGCTCTACCACAAGACCACGGAGGCGGTCCAATGTTGAGATAACTGGATTACCATAGCACATCCACTGTCACATACTGATGAGGTTTCTGTAGCTGATCCACTTGTCAGACTAAGTGCGACAATGATCATGATGCTGCCCATTTCTCTTCTAACCGCTATTCCCCATTGCCTGTAGCCATCTTCAACACATCGTACATGCTTACCTAGCTTTGACATGTTTAATTGTTGTAATTAATTTCTTTCAAACAACTTTTACAGAATTCTGGTATCGACTTATCACACCAACCTCTTAATAGTCAGTCTTATGAACAACTCATGTTTCCATGGGGGTTGTTGTCAATTTCATTGTCATGACCTGCACATGCACAACATGAGTACACCATCTCTACCTGTAACAAAGCATGTTTCCCCTAATTCTGTGCACTGCCTACTTGTCTCAAATGCATTTTGTGAGCAAATAAGATAATCAATAAAACAATAAACACAAATCCTATTTTCAAGGTTTCAGGGTGGGATAAATATCATGAAACATAAGATTCAAAAGGAAACTTTCATTTTGTCTTAGCTTTATTCAAAAAGTATTGTCAGCACAAAATAGATTTGTAAGTTCTGGTATGTATTTACATTCTTATGTAAAATCAGAAAGAAAACTTAATAAATGATATGATTTCTGTCATATTCAAGTAATTTAACTGACTATTACAGATGAGGAAAGCTGTATTGAACTTCGCTACTGCAACCTCCAAGAACATTGTCAAACAAATCACAGTGGAGTGGAGCAAAAAGAAAGTGAAGATCTGCAGCCTGTGTGTGTCAATATGTACAGTAAAGACTGGGGAAGTAGTCCTCATGTTCGTGACCTTGCAGCCAGGGGAGACAACTGTGGACCTGCCACTACAGCTGGGAACAGAGGCAGGCACGGTCAGGCTTGTTGTCCATGGTCTGGCCGAGAAGGACTCAACACTAAGTCAGTACTACACCATTGCAGGAAGTTGTATCAAACAGCTTACCAAGACTATAGCAGGTACAATAAACAATAATTCTTTGGAAAATGCAGGAAAAACATATATTTCTTGCCTCAGCTTTTGCTGAAGATTGCTTCTAATGTTTGCAAGGACATAATATTTTCCCTTCAACTGACTTTCATTACTAAAGCAGCCCTCATTTGACATTTTAATGAAATGTACATGGGTCATGGATACCATTTCACTTTGATAGGGCTTGAGATATGACACTAATTACATGTACATATTATAAGTAATCAGTCTTGTACATCTTCAAATAAAAGAAATATCTCTATGAAAAGTTCAATAGAATAAAGATCCATTGCTACTTAGACAGCTTCAGTTGTAAGAAACGTTTTATGAGAACAATATTTCTTGAGAATTACTATTTTTAACCAAAAATGTTTCAGAAACATCGGATGGGAAACTGACTCTCCAGTTATCGAACAAGCACACACTAGATGCCACATGTACAAAACTTCAGGAAAAAGTGGTAATTACATGTCGTTTTTCTATCTCATAAACAGTCACCACATGTATATAACTTCCTACATTAAGTTGGTAGGAAGATAGAACGAAGGAGTTTTGAATAAATTGCTCATATGCATAAAAGTGATTATCAACGCTGATTGGTTAGTTCAGGCGTTATGGTTATGGTAAATAAATTACAAATATTACAAGTGATTACACAGCATTTGATTGACTAAGCATGCAGTTTTTGGGCAATTATGATGCTCTAAACCTAAAACAAATTGGTCCACTGCCACTAGTGCCCCTGTTGCATTATTGCACAGATTTTGTGTTGTTGTCTGCAGTATTTGTGTTAATGATTAAATTAGCAGTCTGTGAAGTTACTATAGTTGACCTATTGGTCCATCATTGTTTATACAAGGGGTTAGACCGTATACATGCTGGTTCCTTTGTTCATACTTCCATAAAACATATTTAAGTCAGTTATTGATAACATCATCCATTGATCATGACATCACAAATCGCTAACTTTATGTCATCTAAACATGTCACTGGCAAAGCTTGAGCATTGGTAATAAATGACATTACTAGTGAAAAGTACTAGCAGTGAAACGATACAGCAAGGTCACGATACAATGAGATTCACAATACATAGTTCACGATATAATATGTATCGCGACACACATATTTACATCAAATCACATGGAAACTTCTTGACTTTAAATATTTCATAGCAGGTTCAAACGAAAAGCTAGCTGTAGACACATGTTCGTAGTAGCTATTTTTTGTAGTGTCACTAATCATGCTAATTACAACACATTTTGGGATATTTGGCTTATTAAAATGCTGGGGGCGGGGGGATGTGTGTGTGTCATTCAACAAGTAGTAAGTTACAAATTTTAGCAAGTGTATCGTCTTGTATTGATACAGGAAAATATGTATCATGTATCATATCGTGGAATGAATACCCCCTAAAAACTACATGAAGCAACACCTGTTTCCTTTCATCAACTATTGACACACGTATCCCCCCACAACTGATTTCCGTTATCATGTTTTGTGGCCTTACAGGAGGAGTTTCAAATCGGCATCAAACAGCAACCGCCATCTTGGTACTACGTATCTAATCTGCCAACAACAGGAAGCAGACAAAAGCCATCCACACGCCAGTTTCTGATAGTGCTTCAGCAGCGAGAGCCATTTGAAGAGTCACTTATGCTGCAATCAACAGCAAGCCCCTATGTCCAGATTCCTGTAGCACTGCCATCGCTGACTGACTTCGCCACCAAGGTGTACTGGGTGAAGTCAGTGCTACAGACCCAGAACTACGCACTGTACACAGTCTTCAGAAAGTCAGACACGCCTTGCTTCAGAACATGTGAGTAGGATGCCAGCAGTGTCAAATACACTTGCCTTATATGGCAACAAATAGTCTAGCTATATCACAGCGTGCTGCAAATAGTTGAGATTGGGACTAGCAGACCATTGGTTGATGGCATCATGTGGTACAGGGGACCCATCTTGCCAGGAATTCCAATGAGAGCGGGGGTGGGGCCAGTGATGGTAAAGTCCTGAAAGTGACATTCATAGTCTTAAACTAATCTACAAGACATGTAAGTCATTAAAATTTCACAATCTATTTTCAGATTTATCCTTAGAAGAAATGACCACACTTCACACAAGAGCCACGTCTTTGGTGCCCAAGAACAAGAAGAAAGACTTTTACTATGTCATCCCCTACTTCTACAGAAACAAACCCCCGGAATACTACAGCAACATCTTCAAGAACCGTGGCGGCATCATGGAGACATACCGCAAAGACTACAACGGTGACCGAGGCTCGCCAATCAATGGCAACATCGATGGTTTGTTCTTCGGGACAGGTCTTGATCCCAAAACACGTCTTCCTCCTGCATTTTCCTACTATGGACGGCAACGTCTCTACATTCCAGCTGACATAATCTTCCACGACGCTGCCAATCTGTACTTTGCTGACTTCTACTGCCACTATGAAGTGCATTATGTAACTCTGGTTCTCACTGAACCTGGTTCATCTGCTGATGTTTTCTGCCAAAACCGCTTGTTGAAGCTTGATCCCTACAACAACCCATTCCTGTTCAAAGAAGCCACGGTCCTCCCACTGTCCCGGCCCGAGATTTGTGTGACTCATAAACTACATGTGGAGGTCTTCTATACCGAACATGTCAACATTGGGGCATTGCAGAGATCAAAGCCCATGGATGTGTTCTTCAGAGATGTGCAACCCATGGGGGCTGGCAAGAGCAAACCTAGTGGAATCCCCAAAAATGCAAATTGCAAAATATGCAATTTGAAATGAAATATCAACTAAATTGTTATCAATTGATGTTCATGAAAAATTTCATATATTTTGTAATTCTACGATGAATAAGCTTTAAGAAAATACTAAATGTAAGATTCTGAAAATATATACATGGGAGAAATTTGCTGTAAAAAACAATATTTTGCTGAAATCTCGCACATTTTTTCACGTCATTCAATAACTGGTTACGTCTTCTACAGGTTATACATGAAGACATTTATAACATAAGGACAAGAACCCATTGACTTTATTTGAACACCGTGACTGTCATGATAACAGTAAAAACAGCAATTCATTCAACAGTGGTTCATCATTGTGTTCTCTTCCACTCATCCAAAGTGCTTTATTTCATTGTTTTATTGGTTTGACAGTGGTTGACATGTTTCAAACAGGTGTTAGTGTTACATTTATAATTGTAAAAAGGTCAGGATCTGAAACAATCCACAGTATGATATGTAAAACCAGACTTTATTTTGTGTAAGATTTTAGTGCATTTGTAGGAATATTTTATCGTGGGTAATAATAACATGCAATAAAACACAACCAGTGCATCTAGTAAAGTGAACCTTCATTTTGATTGAGTAGTCAGTGTTAATCTGTTACATTTGTGTAAAATATCTGATTTTAATGAGATTGAACATAAATAAGCTGGCAAAATATACATTGTGTAAATGTGTCGCAAAATATACATTGTGTAAATGTGCCGCAGATTGCCAAAATGCTCATATTTTTACAGATCGTCATTCAATTGATCTCCATTTAAATTAATCACACTTAATATCTTATTAACTGTAAGTAAACAGGCGGCGAAACCGCATTATCAAGGGTTCATACTGGGAAAGGGAGGTCACTCTAATTTCAAATGGGAGCCATCTCTGTTGTTTTCGTATTTGCGAGAAATTTCATCAGTCACGCTGTACGTTGTTGTTGGTCCAGCTATTAAATGCACAGCTTATCCCTAAGGTAAAACATATTCTTAATTAAATGTTTGAATGCATTATATATTTATGTTTCCATCCGTACATCTTCTTAGATTGGTTTAGTGCTGATAACCATTTTCTAAAATGTGGGCCCACATTGTTCCCGTCATATATGGTGATCGAAACAAGTGGGGCCCTATATGTATATTCCCCTAGCTTCATTAGGTTGTTTAATTAGTGCTGATAATCAATTCCTAAATGTGGGCAGACGTTCTTCCGTCATATTGATTGCAACAGGAACGATCACATTTATTAATTGGGAAATTCCACTTAATCATTGATAACCATTTTCTAAAATGTGGGCCCACATTGTTCCAATCATATATGGTGATCAAAACAAGTAGACCCACATTTGTATATCGCCTTGTGGGCAGACGTTCTTCCGTCATAGTTATTGCAACAGGAGGGACTACATTTATAAATTGCTAAGCTTCATTAGCTTGCCTTACTTATAACCATTTTCTAAAATGTGGGATCACTTCTTCTGTCATATAATGATCGAAACACGTGGGCCCACATTTGTAAATCGCTGGGTTGACTAAGTCGTTCAGTGGGCTCACATTTGTCATTACCTTGCACGGGTATGTAGCATTATATATTATTCTCATGTTGTAACATTGATGGAAAATGTCTTTGTAAATTATTTAGTGTGACATTAGTTCCACGAAAGGCACACAAAGTCTTTGAAGTTTGAATAACGTCATTATAGCTGACCACATTCGTTCCATAATAGTTTTGCAAAAATAGTTACAAAGCAAGAAACTTAGATCTACTCCAAAATACATTTACAGAGGCAATACAACTCATTCTACTTTTTCCAGTATAACAAATCAATCTAATCATAAGTTTTTGTGGCGATATAAGCCTGAAAATATGTCTACACTTGAATTGAACTCGGACATGATACAAGCCTATCACCTCAAAATTGTTCCATAAACATGATAAAAGGAATTACTCATGAATATCAACGATCCCACAAACTAGTTTTGCGATGTTCGTAGAAGTGAGTTCTGCTGTAGTGTCTTCGCAGTTGTACATTCAAATCCAATTATAAGTCATAATACTTAATTTAAATAGACAAAATAGCAGTTTGTTTACGTTGTACATATTCTCAACAAGTGCGTTTAGTTTCGAATGTGGGCCCACCTAGAACTTTCGATAAGGCAAACAGAGTTAGCTCCAGGCAATGTGAAGCAGCTGAACATACTGTATTTATATATATCAGCAAAGAAAGTGCTGTCTTGTAAATAAAACTGTACAAACAGACGATTTTTTCTTTATTATAGTTTTCTCCTCATTTAGTTTCATCACAACGGGGTAAGATATATATTGTGTCCTGTTACCATGGTTACTAATCTCTACTGGCACAATTAGGTGGCAACATCCCTGTCATCTGTCTCCTAATAATGCATATTACAATACATTCTTACTTCATTTTTTTATATGTGGAAACAACGCCATGCACAGTCAAAGCTCACTTATCCAGACACTAGCATTTTCTCAAATAGTGTCCAGATAAACAAGTTTCTGGATATCTGAATCCCTGGTAAACTGACCAGAGCTACATCCCATACCCAGATTCTACAGAGGATTAAAAAACTATAATCCATAAAATCTTTATTTAATACACTGTTCATCCAAAATCAATAAATGAAGAAGGATAAATTGAATATACATGTAGTATGTTCATTCGTGTGCACATCCAAGAGTCTTACATTATTGTCTGCATTACTGCGCAATTGCTGCAAAGCCAAATTTCCACAAAAATGCATCTTTCATGTTTTGATGTTTAAAATCTAATGAACAAGAAAATTCTGACCAATCTTCAGATAAGTTCAATCGTTTTACTTATAAACATGATAAAATGTCACCTATCATTGATTTTCAGATGTTGAATATTTACTCAAATATGCTTCAGGATTAGTATTCTTAAACTGACAGGATTCCTTCTTTTCACAAGCTCTAACTGCATGTTGTTTCTGCTTCACTGGTTGGCTCGTCCTGTTGACCTTGATCCTATGTACCAGTACTGTGTAGACACTCACATTGTTTTGTTAATTGATGTGATCATCTGAAACCTCACCTCAGTGTCAAATGACAATGACTGCTCAACTAACTATCGAGACATGTAACTAATCAACACTGTGATCACATGATACCTGCACCCTTTGATGGTGGCTGTCGGGTGATGAATTGCAACACAGACATCGTCAAGTGTGGCTGCTGTCCGTTAAGACGGACACAATGGTCTGTACTTCCACTGTTGGTAAAGGTAATTCAATGTCCAGATCCAGAAACTGGATTTCCAGATAAAAGCAGCATTTTATGTTGAAAATATTTCGTATTATGTAAATATTGTCTGGTAGGCGAGGTTTCTTGGTATCTGTGGTCCAGATAAGCAGGGTTTCACTGTAGTCAGCTGAGTAATGGGAATCACATCGTCTTTTGCAAGCAATACACAACATGATTTCTCTTACATTATCACTACTTTAACAATTAATGAATTGTTTCCATGTAATGATAAATGAAGGAGTGAGGGAATATTGCTTTATTCCTGCAGTTATTCATAGTGATGATCAGATCACTGTCAGTCCAACAAGTAAATAAGGAGTAACTTATGCCATTATTAACAATATTCAAACATTGCTAGGAGTTTTTTTTAAACGCCACCTCACTCCCAGCAATATTCCAGCTATAAGATGTCAGTCTGTAAATTAGCAAGTCTGGACAAGGCAATCCAGTGATACGATGACAGGCTATCAACCAAAGGACCTACCCTGACCACTTGATCAATTTAGTCCTCTTTTGACCATCAAAGGTAGCTGTGCAATTCTAAAATTCCAGAATCTGGAAATTCCAGGACATCAGTGTGTGGAACACCACCAGTTTGAAAATCATGTGCTGTGTTCACTAGCAGTATCCTACCTGTAGATGGTGTAGATAGCCAGCACAGCATTCCGTCGGACATACGAGTGCCTATGCTCCAGACACTGTCTGATGGCCGGCATGAGAGGCTCCACCAGCTCAGGCTCCTTCAACTTGCACAGGAATCGGAGTGTGGAGCCACGAATGAACTCATTTGGATGTTGCAGGTCCTGTACAGCCAAAAGAAACACTAAAGATTCTGCCGTGCAGACAAAAACAATAATCAGTATAATTTTGGCAGGAGCTGGCAAGCTGGTGATCATGAGACTCTTAAGGATAACAAGGGACTTAACTTATACTTTTCTTATACACAAATATTCTGATATTTCAAGACACTGAAAGGCATTAAAAACTTCGAAATTGAAACATGTCATGGGTTTCTTAAATTATAAACAATAAGTCAAGAAATAAGAAACTGTCGGAAGTATGACTGTCACAAGTCTATGTTAGAGTATCAAGAGTTACAATGGTTGCAGTGTTGGTGAGCGGCAGCTTGGGACACAACTTGAAATCGTAGACCACTGGGCTACCTGAGGGCAAAGGCAGGTTTAACAGTCCTCAAGAACATTAGTGACTGAGTTAATCATGTCAATGATGCATTCTACCATGAATTTGGAAATTTGTCAAGTCTGATTGGTCAGTCAGAGGGGGTTAAATCACAATAACCCCGTGACTGAAACAGCCGATTTGACGGACGCATCACAGCGTAAGCCAATATTCATAGATTAGTACTTTTTTAAAGTCATTGGTTCCAAATTCAATTTAGCGAGGTTAAATTTACAGGTAACCTAGGTCTAGATTGAAAGCACAGTATGTTTATCTCCTAAGTACCTACACTGTGTACATAGGCCTGCAGCAAACAGTACCGATTTATCAGCCACAATACCAATACTGCAGCAACCTCATCCCCATCTTACCATACAACATCATCAGAACCCACATCAGGGATCCAATCAGGAATGACCCAGTGAGTCAATGCTGCATTAGTATAGCTGATATCCAAAAGGTTTACTCAGCTTCTCATCATGCTCATGGACATTCCTTATTTTTTCAAATTGTGTCTTTGTTACAATAATGCAAACAGATTTCAGAAAAATGAACTGTATCTATGACTGAAACTGTGCGCACCTTTCTGTAGGCATCACAGACAAGGATCATCTCCTGCATGAGCTTGCCGTCGGGCGTGTACTTGGGCACCACCTCCCAGAAGATGAGCAGCATCTTCTTCACCATGTGGTCCTGCATCGGCATCACGAAGCGGATGATGGTCATCAGGAGAGATGGCATCTTCTCCCCATTCAGGATCTGCTGAATTGTCTTCTTCAAGGCTTCAACTTTCGTCTTTGTATCGCCCTTTTCTGAAAAAAGATGAATATATGCAAATACTGATTTCTTGCATTATCAGCCCTACAAGTGAGATTTAAGTCTTATCTAAGTGTGTCTACTTTGTGTTGGACATGATGGAAGAAAGACAATACTAATTCTCATCAAACAAGACAAGCACCCATATGATGCTGACAGACCAAAGACCATACTCTTACATGTCTAAGATTCAAAAACATAACTAATTTTTTTACATGCAAATCAGCAGTTGTGTGGACATTATAAAAAGTTTACAAAACTTTCATTAACAATAAATATTTCAAAGCGTCTTGAGTAACAGTACCTAGGTCCTGCTTGAGCTGCAGTTCTGTTGGAGGCTCAGAATCCGAGGGGATGTTGATGAGCGTGTAGCAGCCCTGGTCAGACATCTTGCCTGATGGTTCCTGGAATGATATTAATGGGATATTATACATCATAAACCAGCTTTACAAAGCAGCCAACAATAAGAAGGGATTATTAACAAAAGAAGAAATGTTTATTATCTTAATTTACATACTTCACCAAGTTCAAGCATAAGACCTTGTGGAATAGTTCTTTACCAAAGTTATAACTAACAAAAGGAGAGAGACTCACATGAAGCTTAAACGTGAAAATTAATTAACAAAATAGGAGAACCATAGGGAAGTGTATAAACTCAAATATGGATCTGATTATATCTTTTAAGATGATCACGCATGTCAATTCATATCTTTCATTAAACTAAGAATATCACACATTTATGAACAGGAATGAATCGATAGGATTACTGCTCTGAAGCTGGGTTTGATATAAGACAATATGGTAGCATGGTATACCATTCATGCCAACCGTCAATGCTACATGCACCAAAGAAACGGTGGCTGCATCAGCAATAACCATGATCATGATGATACATGCAGCAACAGCAAATTAAACAAGGCAGCTTTTGATCATAGTTCTTATTGTGATAACTGTTAGACAACCATCATCCTAGCTTCTTAAACTCAAAGAGTTGATACATGCCAAGTTTCAGTGAGTGACCGATTGGGTGAGTTGGGTTTAACACCGTTTTGAACAGTATTCCAGTTATATCAAGGTGTTTCAGCTTAATGTGGGAGAAAGCTGGAAGTGAAACAGGTCTCAAACAATTACCACTTTGGTGAAAACCACAAACACAGGTGTGGTGCTAACAAACCTAGAAATGCGGCGAACTGGGATTCGAACCCATTGCCATAGGTTTCTGGCATTCTTAAGGGACACAACTCTGCACAGTGAATTGTGTCACCGTAGACGACTGGGCCACCCGTGGCCCCGTCAAGTTTAAGAGAAACCTGCATTCCCAGCGCCATCAACTGTAGTTATTCAGGGCTCGAGATAATTCTTAGCCATTAGGCTTTACTCACGTTATCATTCCTTTTGGGTAGGTTTCTTTAGGTACTCAATGTACTTTTAATCCTTATATTATTAATCCAGTGTATTGGCTATTTTTTAAGCAAAAAACTTTCTAAACATGCTGAACTTATTCAGATTCAAACGCCATTTCAGAATCAAACCACCTTAAATTTCCATCTGTTCATCATGTTCGTGTGCTGACCAAATGGAGTCTCATGTCACATCAGATAACAGCAATACACAAGTTACAAAGTGCTGTTTGTGCATTATTCACTGCAGTAGAGTTCATGTAATCAAGAATTGTGGTGCCTGCATCGGTTCAGTATATAATGTTATGTAAGGACATACAGATACACAACCTGAAAGGCTACAATGGTTATACCATGATATACTAATGGGCTTTAAAATATTGTCATGTTTATATACATGCAAGCAAATAAAAATGAATTGGGTCATGGTGGTTGATCTAGAGTCTTGTATTTGAGAAGTGTGTGCCAGCATACAGGGTGTAATAAAATAGCAATAACTGTCAAGTATCTACAAGGTCTCGGCAAGAGCAAATGTGCAGTAAGTCCTAGCAAGATATGGTCATTCAAACAACACATCACATGTTCTGCAAACTTCTGGGGATTTAATAGACTAACATTTAGTCCTAGAAAAATAGTTATTCCATTCAAAAATATATATCCACAAAATACACAGTAAAGTTTTAATGGAGCCCAGACAAATGCTTAATTTCACCGGAGGCAAATGAAACTTGCCAAATCATTCAAGACTTGAGTTGAATTCTTTTTTGAATATATTCTCTATGGTCTGGGAGACAGACTTGTGTAAGGGATTCTAGGTAAGAATAGGTCCCTAGCAACATATGCTTGTTGCTAGAGGCGTCTAAATGATCAGGTGGTCAGGCTCAGTGACGTGTCTAATTGCGTGTCAATCTGTACCCTGATGGCATAGGACATTTCTCATAATATCAATCACTGGTTTATTGGGTCAATTATGTACCATGTCCATAAGACCCAGTCAGCAATGGTCGGATATAACTGAATTATTGCTGAGTGTAGCGTTACACACACAAAAACAAAATCTGTGGTTTGCATTGTAAGGGCAACATGCTCAGTCTGTGCCAAACACTTTTGAGGCCACTAGCCTGATGTTGGCTCTCAGCATCATCAAGCAACAAAACATGAGAGGATCATGATGATGTCTCAACCATAACCTGTCAACATGTTTAGTTACAGATGGACACTGGAAGTGAAAGGTTTTCTCAAGGTGAATATGCGAGTGCATTGGGTTTCAGGTATTCAGAAACAAAATGTGCACAAAATAAATATCAGGTATGAAACAAGCATATATTATTATGATGGTATAATATAAAAGTACCCACAGAGTCTCAACAGTTAATGTACCAGTACCTAGCAATAACTTGTTGTGTAACTATTATGTCAGTTCCATTACTGGTTCCGTTCATGACATCAGTAAAAGACTTGTTTATAGTTTTGAGACTCTGTGGGTACCTTTTAGTATACTCAAAAGTATCTGTTTACATAGTTGTTAGGGCTGGAACGATATACCAACTGTGTGATTTTATACGTATCACGATACTTGCATGTGCTCATATCTGTGGTGCGAAAGCCATCTTTTTCAAAGAATGGATGGCCAAATACCAAGCACAGAAGATTTACAGTTTGCAGTGCAATGGATGAGAATATAACGTTTTCACTACTTATTTTCACTACTCATTAGTGCATAACGTAACATTATTAAAGTAAACATTTAAGGTAAGAATCAATACTTTATACCTAGTGCGTGACTGTCATCAAAACTTGTTTTGAAAAGTAATAAAATTAGGACCCGACGATGCATTGTCTGACTTCTAATTTCGGTTTGCCGAAAACAACCTCATCAGCCTCGCGACTAATCATGCTAATAATCAACTGATTGAACGGTTTATTTTCAAGTAAGTGCATCGTCCCTTATTATTGCAGTAGCCATCTTAGCCAGAAGAAGCAGACACATGTGGCCAAGAACATGTGTCTGGTTAGCATGGGCACCCAGCATATTTGTCACGTCCAGTCCAGGCTACTGTTATCTTGAGCATCTGTCTAATGGTTGAGTGAGTGAGTTTGGTTTTATGCCGCTTTTAGCAATATTCCAGCAATATCACGGTGGGGGACACCAGAAATGGGCTTCACACATTGTACCCATGTCGGGATTTGAACACGGGTCTTCGGCATGACGAGCGTACGCTTTAACCACTAGGCTACCCGACCGCCCCATCTGTCTAATACCTAGTGACTATCATAATACAAGCACATAGGTCACACAGAACACTTGAAAGTTATACTTGGTTACCTGTACAACTTAATAATATATTTGGATTTTCAACACTGTATGTGTTTTCGATATTGTATGATCAGTGTACTTATTGTCGGTTCTGCTGATGGCTAAATAGATACTAGGGGTGAAGCGAAACTGCGCACCACGAGTTTTCATGATACACTGTTATACGCTTTTTTTCTGTATCAATACAAGATGATACACTTGCTAACATACATTACTTACCATGATTTACAACTCGTTTAATGACCCTAGCGTGTCTGTCAGTCAAATACTGCAAAATGTGTTGAAATTAGCGTTTCAAGTTCACCACTGGAAATAGCGGCTAGAACCCCCTTAAATATTTTAAATAAGGACACTGAATCCATCTCTATGTCAAAAGTGAACATCAGAGGGAAGTTAAGTGGTGCCTGCCATCTTGTCAGACAAAAACCAAAATAGCAGGACTATATACAGTTTACCAAACGTTTAACATGATTAAGATCTGGGTTAGAACCATGAGGACTTCCTCATTTGTCATGTTTGTATTGCTGATTATGAATCAGAACAAAAAGCATCAAAACAAAGATTAAATTCCACATTATCTTAAGATTTATGTATGCATGGTTTATCCATGCAATACGTATGATATATTTATTTATTCTGCATTTCAGAAAAAAACTTATTATTGGCATAAAAAAGAATAAACAAGTTAAATTTTCGTTTTCTTATGACAGTATAAATGTAACAAATGATCAACATTTTCTTAAGTTATGGTTTCACATGTACCATCCATTGTATAGGCATTAACAGATTTGTTGGCATGAGATCAACCTGTGCATTGGACATAATTCACATGCTGAAAGGTAATTCTTCAAGAACACACAACCACCATCACCAATTCCATCATTCATATCATTCCATACGTATATAGCACCATGAGTAGTTTCTTTCCTGAATAATATATACAGCTTGTATACAATAAATACAGCCAGGATGATTACAGACAGACTTTTCATGCTGTCATCACATAATATAAAACAATTATGTGTTGCTTTGCATTTTCATACCAGGGATGAATTTTCTCAGAGAGAAACAACTACATTTTTCAGGTCATTGTAAAAATAATTCTTCTATATAATAAACATTGCAAATAATTGTTAATGTTGTTAAAAGAATATACATGAAAATATTTTTGTTCGAAATATATTAGAAGCACAAAAATTATGACTGCTCAAATATTAGCAAAGTTAACAAAAGTACACGGCATGTTTGGTACTAAGCTTAATAAATGATTGTAACTTCTACTTCATAATACACCATGATAAATTTATATTTAGAGAATCACTGGTTAATATCACCATGGTACAGAAATGAAGCAAAGTCGATGTAAAGCTGGCAACAGGGTAAAATGTCAAAGCAAGTCTATATCACTCTATGACTGCATGGTGCTGCATATGTATGTGAGAGATGCTCCTTCTACTTCTATACCGAAGGAATAAGACCAAGGACCAAGGTGCTAGTATCACACTCATGAGCAATGGTGAGTCTAACAGCTAAATGGCTTTCTCGATCTTACCCCCGATGTCGACATTTTGTTGTCGTAAATAGTATCTTGCTACTGGACATAAAAATAAAGACACACATTATAAGATAACTTAACAACTAATTATGATCATTACTGCTGTACCATGAGAACATGAACATACATGTATCAAAACATACCCAAATCATTATCTTGATAATGCTGTATCATATTTGGACAGTGAGTGAGTGAGTTGGGTTTAACACCGCTTTTAACAGTATTCCAGTTATATCACGGCGTGTCAGCTTAATGTGGGAGGAAAGCTCGAAGTGATGCAGGTCTCAGACGTTTACCACTCCGGTGAAACCCACGAGCACGGGTATGGTGCTGACAAACCTAGAAACATAATCGGGGCGAACCCACAATCAGAGGTTTCTTGCGTGCCCAAGGGACGCAACTCTGCACAGCGAATCGCGGCGCCTTAGACGACTGGGCCACCCGTGCCCCCCATATTTGGACAGCTTTCATTTGAACTTTTATGGCATATAACCATTACTGTCAACTATTTGATGACAGTTGAGTGACATTCAGGCTAAATGACATTAGCAGACTGGAGATAAGCAGTGTATCAGCCTCAGCTGTTTTTTGGGGGTCATGGGTAGTCTGAAAAAATTTCAATTATTTGTCATACACCACATTAATATATTGTACATTCAAATCCAAATAAAAATTAGGAAACAATAACTTCATATTGACAAAATGGTAGTTTGTAAAACAGTTTATTGGACGTTGTATTGGATACATATATTCTCTACAACTAAAATACTTGGTTTAATGTGTGCCTACCTTGCTCTTTTGATTAGGGAAGCACAGATAGTGCACTTTTGCAATTTTTGAGAAAACTGATTGGTGTGTATTGCTCAAGTATGTTAATAGCCAATCATTTAGTGAATTAATTCCTTAGCCTTGCCCTGTTCTAGCTGGCAAATTCCATTCTCCGGTAAGACTTCTGCCTGTATCCCCCCTCAAAAATATATATATATCTGAAACGACTAAGCGTCAATGCATACATATACAATTTTTGTAGAGGGGATACAGGCAGAAGTCTTTCCCAAATGTATTCATAAACATGAAATTCATACAGATGCTTCAAGAGATGGGCCTACTACTGAATACAAACAGCATAATATGCCTGTTATTTCTTTCACAGTACATTCCCATCACAAACTTACTCTAAATTCTTCATCAATCAATCAATCAATAAAACAAAGTACCATTACAACAAAAGTAAGTCTTAAATCAGATTTCACGAACAGATTAGAAACGGAAATAATGAAAGTTTATCATTGCAGGACGAAAATAGTGTAGTTTTATAGACCTAACTTTGATTTACAGAATGACACTCGGCTGCCCACATTGTTTTTAACGCATCATTTAGCAATTCAATACACAATTACTACCATCTGTATCTAAGATAGTAAACCAATGAGCTAGGAAATACTGAAAAATACTCACGAGTTGACAATATGAAGACTGTAATAAACACACTACGTCGAAGTGTCACTTTCTCAGCACGCAAATTACAAGGACGTGGCCGGCTCAAATTAACGCCACCTATATCCGGTTTTGCGTGGTTACTTCCCTTGAATGATCTGCACTTACATTCAGTCTCTTCATGAACCGTGACGTATATAGAAATATTGTAGAAATATACAATATGGAACAGTCATTGGATGTAATGTGGATTAAATTTTCAGTAAAATGTGCCAACCCACAATCCTATTCCATTTAACAAAAAAAAACCAAAAAAAACCCGGATCGTATTTAGGCCTATATTAACTATGAATGCTTGGCTGCTTTAAACAGTGTCCCTTTCGTTGTGAATGATAATATGAGAGATGCACGAATGTTTGTTGGTTGGTTGGTTTGTTGTTTAACGCCGCACTCAGCAATATTCCAGCTATATGACGGCGGTCTGTAAATAATCGAGTCTGGACCAGACAATCCAGTGATTAATATCATGAGCATCGATCCACGCAATTGGGATCGATGACAAGCATCAACCAAGTCAGCGAGCCTGACCACCCGATCCCGTTAGTCGCCTTTTACGACAAGCATTGTCGCCTTTTCCGGCAAGCATGGGTTGCTGAAGACCTATTCTACCCCGGAATCTTCACGGGTCCGCACGAATGTAATAATGTCTACATATATATGGCATATCCTTCAAACTTAAATAAATATTATGATTAAATTTTGTATCGTAATGCTATATTCAGAGACCGTATCGGCATATGGTCTCTACTATATTGAATTAAGGCATTCATTAATAAAGGTATTGTGTATTCAAGTTAGCAGAATTAACCAGGGAAAGCCAATATCTACAGACCAAAACACAAAATTCGGTGGGAAAGCGAAATTAAACACGCTCCACACACGTTCACTGCACTTTTACTGAAGGTTGTGCTTCCGCCTGTCTCACGACATTAGTTTGTAGTTTGTTTCTTGCTTAACGCCGCACTCAGCTGTATTCGAGTCTGGACCAGACAATCCAGTGATTTACATCATGATCATCGATCCATACAATAGGGATTTGATGACATGCATCAACCAACTCAGCGAGCCTGGCCACCCGAACACGTTAGTCGCCCCCCCCCCCCCCCCCCCCCTTCCTTTTTTTAATTTCGAAAATAATCTTTATTTCTGTATAAATTATCACCAAAGACAATAAATAGATCTTAATTGTGCACACACACACACACACACACACACACACACACACACACACACACACACACACACACACACACCCCCCCCTTTTTAAAAAAAGCTGTATCCGCCCATGCGTCACACCAAAAGACGTTAAAAGATAGTACTTGTTGTTACCCTGTCTGGCGACTAACGAGTCTATGCATAGTCCAATCAAAATCGCGCAACGAAATCGAAATCCGGTTCGTAAACTGTCGTGCAGATTTCGGTGGATTGCAGGATTTGTAAAGCATGTGCACCGCCAATTCGTTGTCAACAGATATTTTTCAAACCTTTTCATGTTTTTAATCAAGGTGCTCGCGTGATTTGATGTACTTCGCGATGTAAGACCCGTTTTATTATTATAGATCTTTATTATCGGTCATAGCCGCCGTGATATTGCTGGAATATTGCTAAAAGCGGCGTAAAACCATATTCACTCACTCATATCGTCTTGACTGGGCGCCGTCATTTTGGTTGAAACAAATGCAAGTGATGGAATCGGAATGGTCCATAGGAGTGGCTGAGAAAGGGCATAACTCATAATAACCTTGGTGGCACTACGATCAAGCCCAGGGATTCCAGCCTAGTTCGGGACAGGTGGAAACTGGACTTTTATAGTCAGTTTACTCACTTGCCTCGGGAAGATGACACTTCATGGAATGACAATACTATAATTCTATCAAGGATGTACATCAAGTTTACTTCCTTCGGCATCACCATCAGCCTTCTTAAAGTCGGTGGGCGATCGGGTAGCCTAGTGGTTAAAGCGTTCGCTCGGCACGCCGAAGACCCGGGTTCGATTTCCGACATGGGTACAATGTGCGAAGCCCATTTCTGGTGTCCCCCGCCGTGATATTGCTGGAATATTGCTAAAAGCGGCGTAAAACCATACTCACTCACTCACTCTTAAAGTGGGAAACATACGTAGGATAACGTGGTGAATGACACGACAGTTTCATGGAAATGTCTTTGATGTAATTCCATATTAAGTTAAATGATCAATATTTCGGATCCGCCATCTGTAAATATGCTGGTTTAATGTGAGAGAATTTTCTTCCTAATATATCACGCTTTACAGACAATCTAATATGTTAAACGCCCATCACGCATATTGCGAACGTTGCATTTGCTTACTCACGATGGTGCAAAATATTAATAAATTATTGAACAGGGAGAATCCTCTTAACGTGCTGTTGATAGGTTTTAATGTAAGTTTATGTCAATATTGGAGTGGCTAAGCGTATGATAAAGATCGATCTCGCACCAAACATATCAGTATATACACAGCCTTATAAATACTACAGAAATAAAAATGTTTCATTAAAACTATACTTTGCTCTAAAGATCGTTTAACTCAGTTCCAGATGAACACAGTGTGAACGATTCACCGTACACTCCATAACATGCTTAGGACACTGCAACCCATGACAAAATGACCCTATTAATATTATGGTGAGGTGAGGTGAAATTGGGATTAACGTCGCGTCCAAGATTATTGCACTTATATAACGACGCGCATGTACGTGTGTGTGTTTGTGTGGCTGCTTGTACTAATCTGGACTGATGCCGATTTATATTGCTAGCTCACTAACATACCATGCCTCAGTTTAACATGAATACCCCACTCAGACACAGTATACTGACTCCGCGAGCCGACCAGTCTTTGTTTTAGCCCCGTAATGCCGAGCGCCAGACAGGGTAACAACAAGTACCATCTTTTAACGTCTTTTGGTATGGCGCGGCAGGGTATCAAACCCTTCCGCTCTCCCTGCGGACGCTCTACCACAAGACCACGGAGGCGGTCTATAAATATTATGAACAATTAAGGATCAACACCATCAACTCTACTAAGATCATTCTGAGGCGCATAAATTCAGATATTATTTTTGAAAAAGTAACCTTAACATTTTATTCAGAACACCCGCCATAAGAAATATTACAAATATTTCAATCTCTAAAGACGTCATGTTGGAAACTATGAAATACAGACTACAGTTCTCATGATCCATGACAGTTCTCATGACAGGAAATAGATACTGAAGGAACCATGCGTATAACGCTATATGTGATGGAGAGTGGTGCAACCACGCCATCAACAGCACGCGTACATAGCAAGAAGTATGACCGTAGCAGACTATGGTCATAATTGAGGCGAATACGAAATACCAACCCACAATCAAAGTGAAAAAATTAATCAGGTAGTTTTCACCACTTGGACACTGTAATCTGTTTAAAACAAATAAAGCAAAAACAATAATCGATAAATCGAAATCGATCGATCAATCAATTTTAATTTTGAAACTGTGACTTAACACTCTCATGTTAACATTGTTTAAATCTAATATTGCTCTGAGTATCGGTGTGCATGGCGCTGTTATTCTCCATAGTTAATATCCGCACCCTTTTCTTCAAAATGTGCTTCAGCAGCAAAGGGTTAAACTGACACCTCCTGCATCATTAGTGACAGGTCTAGAAATTGATTTCCAATGAAGACAAGAGCGTATGCATAAGTTTCCATGTACAATTTTGAATTTTTAAAACTAAAACAAGCGGATGTAATCCCCCCAAGTACATCGCTGTCGATATTTCAGTGATGTGTCTCTTGATCATCTCTATGATACTCCGCGTTCGTGATGACAAACACATGCTCCATCTTCACCCTGTTCTATGCCAACATGGAACTAGCACCAACCATTAGCAAACACATGGCCTTAAAAAGATGATAGTTTAAACTTTCCAAAATCAATTGGTGCCATGGCAACATCTGATCTTGGAAAAAGAAACAATACTTGAGTAAATACTTTCTCACTTTGACTCATAACAAGTACGTCCTATGTGCGAAGTAGAACATGTATAATAAATTATGCACACAGCCAGCACTGTCTGGGTAAACACCCTGTTTCAAGAATCGGGCGTGTTCGTAACGATTTTTAGCCTTTGTACGAACCACTGAGAGAGTTCGCCCATCAGCCCTAGGCTAAGTTACTATATAGGGCTTGTCAGTCTGTTTGTTTGGTATCCTTGGTTTCAAACCATATTATAATGACGTACGGGTGTTTGGAGATACAAACTGTTCTTCGATTGGATGTGATTCTGCAGCATAGGAATTTATATGGTGTTAGCCAAGGTGTACTAAGTACCTACATATCGACATCAAAGTCATCTTACTTTGATCGACGACAACTTAAAACATGGAACCTTAAATGTCTACAGACATTATTGGACATTGTTGGTGTCAGTATTTGTACTAATCTGGTTCTTGAAACTTCTACAAGGATAACTGGGACAATCTGCGATTGTGAGTTTTATTTGTGCCAGAAGGTGTTAATCGAGATTGTCAAAATGCGCACACTCGTCTTTCTCGGTTTCTTTGTGATGCAGTCTGTCAACGCTGCCTACGTTGACGACCTTCGACGTTTGCATAACGAAGTGATTGACGTCAACAACCCCTGGCTGCGCCCCTCTCTGAACAGCAACCTCCCCACGAAGGTGTCCATCATTTTCTTCTCGCTGTCCTCCATCTCCCTGGATGACATCACGCAGACGATGTCTTCATCCGGGTATCTTGGTGTCACCTGGCGGGATGAGTTCCTGAACTGGCCAGCGAGTAATTACAGCGGTATAAGCAGTCTATATCCAAACCCAAACAAAATATGGCGTCCGACACTGGCCGTGAAAAATTCCATCGAGAAGGCGACGCCATTCCGGGCCGACTTCATGTACACAACGGTCACAGCTAACGGGGAGGTGCTGTGGTACCCCGGGGACGTGTTTCAGACAGTTTGTGAAATGGACGTTTCAAAGTTCCCATTTGATACTCATGTTTGTAACATAGACTTTACTCTTTGGCGTTCAACACCAACGGAGGTAGACCTCCTCCTCTTAAGTCGTATGAAATTTAATATGGACGAATTCGTCGAGAATAATCTTTGGCAACTTGTTGATCAGAATGCCGAACGAATCAACAATACAAATTCCTACCCTTTCGTGAGACTGACCTTCACCTTGAGACGGCAGCCTCGCACTTACATCACAAACGTCGTGGCCCCCATCTTTGCAATCGCCCTCCTCAACGTCTTCATCTTCCTCATCCCTTCTCAGAGCGGGGAGAAGATCCAGTTTGGCATCCTCGTCCTCCTGGCTTACGCCATCTTCATGAGCTTCTCCGCGGAGACGCTGCCTCAAAGCTGGAACACGACCTCCACCCTCGGTAACTACTTTCTTGTCCTGGAGGTGTTCTGCCTCATCTACATCCTCCTCAGCATCCTCTCCGCCACCATATACGCCCGCGAGGACTTCCACCACGGCATCTCACCAACCCTGGCGCGTGTGGTGGAGAACATGGAGAAGATCTTCCTCTGTAGATGCTGTAAGAAGAGACCCTCTAGCTCATCCACCATTGAAGTCTCCCCCATGGATGAGCCGTGTTCACATAACGGTACAGAGATGGAGTTCGGGACCAAGAGACCGCTTCCAGTCAGACGTATTCCGGAGAGGATTGAAATGAACTGGAAGAGGGTGAGTAGAGCATTCGACATGCTCTTCTTCTGGCTGTTCCTGCTCATCGTCATCTGCAGCATGATTGGTGTCATGACCTACATCACACCAATGATCAACTTCGATAAGGTCGAATCCGTTTTTAAGAACTGAGAGGTGTTATAGAATTTCTTGTTGAAGGTGAAAAAAATGCTTTCTGGTACGACTGTTGATGCTTCATACCAAAGTCACTTGTTTTTGAACGGCGTTTCTACAGAATCTGCTGGTTGTATTGCTTCGTGCTTGATATTCTATTGAATACTGACTGACCTTGGCCTTTGGAAGAATAACTTGTCGGTTAAATGTTGACGGTCTCATACGGATTATGTTAGAAAGACACAGCTGTTGTTCTAAGCCACACGTGACAAGGTTTGTACGTAAAAATAACGTATTTGTATACCAGTTATCCATCTGAAGATTGTAAATTGGCTTCGTAAGGTAGATCTATCAGCTGATGTATCATAAAACATAATTTAGTCACTCTTGCATATGAAAAAAATGGCAAGTAAGAAAGGGACCGACCATTTGCTATTCTGGGGACAGTGGGTTGGGATTTTATCGAAAAAAATAAATTGTCCTAGAAAAATCTTGAAAAAAAACAGAAATTGTCTGCCACAAAAAATTACATGTTCCAAGGTGTTTTTAAGAAATAAATTAAATCATAGTTTAAATTAATTATGACCTATTTTGCAGCTGTAGCTCGAAACCTGCACCCGTTATATAATACCATCAAACGTTAATGTATTAAGTGAGAGGTAAAAATGACTTATCGCTAGGCTTGATGGCATGGCTGTTGAATATACTCTGAATATATTTCGTTTGAAGTGAAGCAGTTTGGTATGACATTAAAATATATTTCTACTGTACAAACATATATTTTGTAGTACCTTAAGGTTTGCCACGGTCACATGACAACTCTGCCATGAATTTTGAAACTGTTCAAATATCAGTAGCCACCCCTGATTGAAACTGCAGATTTGACACTCTCGAAATGCAATATATATATGAAAGTACTTCTTTCTCAATCATTGTCAATCGGTTCGGTTTGAAATTTAATTTTTGACGGTTAAATCTACAGATATAATCTCCTAATTATGCACATACACAATGTTAGTCTTTTGTTTTTTATTTAATTTTGTTTAACGTTATTAAATATGTATTAATAAATGTCTCACTTTAGTTCTGTGTATAGAGTAAAAGAAATATTAAATTTATTTCAAAGCATACCACAATCAGTGCCTCATGTTAACGATTCAACCACGTGTTTTAGATAGCGCTCTTGGGTCATATAGCGAAAATAGTACTTCTAGCTGTCGAGTCATGCACTTTTGCACTATTTGTATATCAATTTGTATATATCATATTGTAATACTATTTCATATATGATGAATTAATGTAACATTCCTTATTGTACATGCTGATTATCTGTCATAAAATGTTGAAGTGAGATTGTGTTACATATTGCTGCCACGTCAGTGTTGTAATTGGAACATGTACATATTTATATTGAATACACGTGGATGTAACTGGACTGGAAGCAAAAAGTATTGTAACTCGCTATATAATGTTGATAGCTAATTATGGGCAATATTAATCCATCTTTGATTGTTAGCTGCGATTTATGTAACCTATTGTTGACCTTAATGTTGATGTCAAGTCCATACTGTTAATTATTATGTTATTTTGTGCCATTAAAAAAATCGATCTACTATGTATATTTTTCTCTTTTTTTTTATCAATGAGAGAGAGAGAGAGAGAGAGAGAGAGAGAGAGAGAGAGAGAGAGAGAGAGAGAGAGAGAGACTTTATTGCCTCAATATGACAGCCTTTATATCCGCTTCACCTATGTACTGATACAGTTATATTTACGCGATACCCTTTATATCCGTAGTACCTGACACCACCCTCTCCGTCCATTACGCCCACGATGACCCGTGAAGATCCGGGGTAGAATATATATAGGTTTAGTAACCCATGCTTGCCGTGAGAGGCGACTAACGAGATCGGGTGATCATGCTCGCTGACTTGGTTGATGCATGTCATCGTATCCCAATTGCGTGGATCGATACTCATGATGTCAATCACTGGATTGTCTGGTCCAGACTCGATTATTTACAGACCGCCGTCACATAGCTGTAATATTTCTGGGCGCGGCGTTAAACAACAACAAACAAACGTCGAAGATACCTTTTATATCCGTTTATCAGATTCTGTCGAGTGAACACGAAATAGAACCCCATTATCCCTTCTTGTACTTAAAGCGACTGATGAGTTTTCGGTGGCTGCAATGTGTGACATTGTACGTAGACATACGCTCATGCTATCAACCCCTGGTTTGCATGACCCAGGCTGGATTTTTACAGGCCACTGTGATTTACCTAGCATATTGTGGAATGCGACGCAGAACAACATTCACTCATCCCTTCGCCCTACTTCCGGAACCATAACTCTACTATTTTGTGGGAATTAAGTGGCGTCTCACATGGAAAGACAGTGCCATGTTCATGGCCATAATTACAAAAAATATGCTTTATATCGTTGAAAAAAATGCCTGCCACCAAACTTACAGTGTGTTGGCTCCTAGTTATCTTTTTGTCTGGTCTCGCAGCTGTAGTTATCTGTTATCTGGTCTCAATAGAAAATACCGTAGTTAACTTTTTTTGACAGGGAGCGTTTTTTTTATTAAAGTTAACTTTCACAAGGAACAATGTTTTCTGTAAAAAATCCACACACACACACACACACACACACACACATTCCTCGGGTAATCAGCTTAACCCGGCCAGGCTACCCCTCCACGCATGTATAACGCAACTGTAAAATCTGGTTGAGGGTAAGGTTATCTAATTCTCTCCGCTGCCCATCAGGAAATTGCTAATGATGTATTGTTGGGATTAAGACATACCAGACAATTCCCAGACAACACGTGCAGAGGTCTCACATCACTAGTCTGACCGACACGTATTGGTAATGTTCAGACAGAACAGCCACTACCCGGTCATGTGTGATCTTGGATAGATGTATCTATACATATAACACTTCTCACATTAGCACGGTAAGTAACAAGTAGTGAATAAATATTGACTACCCACAGAACATTAGCAAAAATTGAGAAATCTAACAAAGAAATGCAGAATTCAGGTCTCTGATTAACAAGGAATGTCGGGGTTTGTAACTGAATCAAATGGCCAATTATCTATGAATTATCACGTGTATACATACGTCTATATATATTCTATTTATCTTTGTATGTGTATGATAAATACACACATTTGGTTGTTTAGTGGGGATACAATCTCCAATCAACACCTCTTTGTTACTCAAACACGTGTGTTTGTCCGCCACGCGTAATGATCGCCGATGCCGACCGGCGTCCCCGTTATAACGCGTCACCGCTGCGAATGGATCCCAAACTGGATTTCTGTGAGCGGAGACGCACATTTGCATGATGCGGTGATATTCGGTACAGTCCCTCAAGACTAGTCGTTACAGCGAGGTATGCATCATGTCATAATGCCACTCACATGTCTATATGCATGCTATGGGTATATATTTACCGTCGTATATGTTTTGTGCGGTTAAGGGACGACACGAACGCAGACACTGCCAGTTGCGATGTGACATTGAGTTTATGTCTCCCATGTGAATATGAGACTACCGATATAAGAGCATTTTTTCTCTCACACATAAAGACAGTGTTGACACGGTAATTGAAATAGATTATATTAACTCATGATGGCTGTTTTTGTTGTCAGCGAAACTCGGCTAAATAACGCTGTTCTGACCGACGCCATTTTTAGAAGCAGTTATCGATCGGCCACTATATTATGTTGATTGCAACCATTGTGATGATGAGGTATCGCCGCAGTGCAGCTGGTATCTAGTGGCTATTTATAGTAACACGTTGTCACATGACTAGACTCATGTGCCTTTAAAAGCACATGTATTCTTGCTGCTGGCTGGAACATCTGTCGCGATGTTCACAATATATAAATAATTTTAAATGTGAGTTTTACAATCATATTAATGTTACATTATATTGCATTACACTCTAGTTTACAATCATATTATAAGATCCAGCTGCATGACTTTCCACTTGACAGTAAATCTTTGAATTATTTATTTCGTAAGGTCCCGATGTCCAGCGTTTATTCAAGGATTTACGATGCTTGTCGTAAGAGGCGACTAACGGGATAGGGTGGTCAGGCTTGCTGACTTGGTTGATGCATGTCATCGTATCCCAATTGCGTGGATCGATGCTCTTGATGTCAATCACTGGATTGTCTGGCCCAAACCCGATTATTTACAGACCGCCGTCATATATCTGGAATATAGCTTAGTGCGGCGTTAAACAAAAAACAAAAAACTATATTTTGGAACTGTCAGGCATTACATATGTATATCCTATGCAGTTCTGTATGGAATTAACGTACATGTATGTTGCACGGTGGGTTGCCTGAACACTGGCAGGGGTATACATGATAGCCTGGTTTGTTTAACGAATCACACATTTCTGTGGCGTAAAACAACATCCACTTACTCACCATTAAGCATTTCTCACGCAATCATTTCAGGAGAATCCCCCCACCTCATGACTGTCACGTCAGAGAAGGAGATCCAAGATGGCGCTCAGTCCTCCAACGATACTGATCATCGCCCAAGTTGTCGTCATTGTAGCGTTCCTGCGCGTGTACTTCTTCCCCGACGAGGATAGCGACCTCAACTTCGGTGGTCCTTCAGCCAGAATCGCAGCCTACATCAACGACTCATACGACTATATCATTGGTGAACTTTAGTCTTCAAAACTTTCTTCGACGTCAAGATTCATGCCTAAAGACGCAATAGTGACCACAGGGAAACATATGGCTATAGATTAAGAATGTACGCAAAGACTTAAAAACTTAAACCTCTTTCGTACGTCATTGTTCCTCATCTCTTAGTAATATCCTCTTGTGGATTTAGGGGCAAATAGGTTCCCAATATCCCATGCTCGTTGTTTGTTTGTTTGTTTGTAAGCACTAAGCTGCACTCAGTTGTATTCCAGCTGTACATGAACGGCTCATGCACTGGGTACATCACCCCATATGCCCCAAGGGATCGGTTGACAACGATTTTATTTATGTCCACAGTTCACTGAGTTTCAACTCGTAGCAGACGACACAAACGAACCGAGTTACTTCCCTTTACCCGGTAAACATCGGTACATATTCGAGATAAGCAAGTTACCTACGATGTGTTCCGATTGACTTCTCAGCGGGCTACATGGAAAATAATTGCCCGCTCCTTAACCAATCAGATGGCCGTAGTTTAATGAAAGGTGAGATAAAAAACATTGTAACTTCGTCTTTTTGCAGTCGGAGCAGGGACTGCCGGGTCCGTCCTAGCCAATCGTTTATCAGAGAAGAGTCACGTGACAGTACTAGTTTTGGAGGCGGGTCCTACAGACCAGAATAACCCCATGTTGGACATCCCGATCGCAGCCTGGCAGCAAGCAAGGACCTCGGAGGTCGACTGGAAGTATCTCACAGTGCCACAGAGACACTCCTGCAAGGCGCTAGAGGATCAGGTATGTACGGTTAGTCTTAGAAGCAGTGCTATGCTACCTGAATGCGTTAGTACACATATCTAAAGGACGTTAATGCTTTGTATTACAATGGCGGAGGTGTTATCACAGAGCTGTAAACGATATTATCGGTCAATCCATTTTCTAAAACGCCAGTGTGAGATTTTATACTTGGTTTCCTCTGCCCCAACTCTAGCACTTCCAAAACCGATAATATGTTCGAAAACCACGACTTAATTGCCGGAGAAAATAAAGTATAAACTTGGAAATTGGATTTTATAATTCTTTATACCAAGGTTATCTTTTCTCGGCTGAAAGTTGCCAAAAATACTGCCGACTTATGGTCCAAAACACTACCGTGATACACGTATGAAATAATCATCTTCGGATAACCATTTCTTGTTTGTTTCACTCTTAGTTTCTATCATTTTGTTTATTTGTTTGTTTGTTGTTTAATGCCGCTTCACCTCATCAAACATGGGAGTATATAATTTTTTAACCGATAGTTAATATTTCTGACAACGAATAGCCAAGTAGTATATATTTTATAACTGGCCGCTGCAGCAATTTAGATATAGTTAAAAGACATATAGCTCAGAATAAGAGAATGTGTGCAAGAGTGAGCAAAATTTGCTTAATGCCGCTTTGAACAGTGATATAACGGCGTGTTAGCTTAAGTGATGCAGGTTTAAGATGCTTACCACTTTGGTAAAACCTGACATTGGTATGGTGCTGACAAACCTAGAAACATAATCGGGAATCGAACCCACGACCATACATGTCTGCCACAGACGCAGCTCCCTTGCACATTAAATTGAGGCGCCTTGGGCGACTGGGCCACCGAATGTGTACAAAAACCTTTTCAATATAAAGTTAGATTTTCACTTAAAAACTTTAGATAATTGTCTACAGTTGGGTTTCCAAACATACCATCAAACACAGGTTACTTTTTATATCCCAAGTTCTAAATGAACCTTGTGTTGAAAATACATGTCAAATCCACTTGTTAATCCTGATGCTGGTTTGTAGAGATCGCGTTGGGTATCTGGAAAGGTCCTCGGTGGGACCAGCCAGTTGAATAACATGGTGTATGCCAGAGGTCATCACCATGACTACGACAGCTGGGCAGCCAATGGATGTTCAGGGTGGAGCTACAAGGATGTTCTACCATACTTCAAGAAGTCAGAGACCATGCAAGACCCTGACCTCGCTAGATATAGTACGTATTTTCTAATAATGTTTACAAATAGTTAAACACCATAATTGTTTCTTAAGATACAGAGTATCACATGTCCGTAAGACATAACTTTACCCGTGAAGATCCGGGTTAGAATTGGTCTCCAGCAACCCATGCTTGTCGTAAGAGACGACTATGCTTGTCGTAAGAGGCGACTAACGGGATCGGGTGGTCAGGGTGGTCAGGTTCGCTGACTTGGTTAATGTATGTCATCGTATCACAATTACGTAGATCGATGCTCATGCCATCAATCACTGGATTGTCTGGTCCAGACTAATTATTTACAGACCGCCGTCATAAAGGTGAAATAGTGCTGAGTTTGGCGTTAAACAACACACAAAACTTACAGTAATCATTCAAGTGATTATATAACTGCTTTATTAATTTTGCTCGCAAACATCAATACAAAGCCATTGCGGATTTTTATTTATGATTTTCGGTACCATGCTATTGGTCAGCCATGCCATTTTAAACTTCATGGTGGAATATGTTTATTTACCCTCCCCCTCATCACGTATTTGTTGTTCTTCCCAGTACACCATGGACGACGTGGGCCCCTGGCCGTGAGGACTGACCGGTTCACATCCCTAGGGGAGGTGTTCGTGAGGGCGGGACAGGAGCTGGGATACGCCCATACTGATACCAATGATGGAAACCAAGAAGGTTAATAAGTCTATGTTACCCATTAGCAAGACAATGACGAACAAACAGCTTGTAGAGCTGCAAAATAATATGTTGCAGATACGTAAAGCCTTTCGTTTCTGGCCAAATAAAAGACATTTCTCTTCTCATGCTTGTGCAGGTGTTCGCGTGATGCCCCTACGTTATAAACTCTATATGTTGGTAAATTGCAAAAGAGAAGATATATTTTTCGCCATAAGTCACTTTCTGCCTATTTTTATCATTCTGTCACGTGTGTGGTTACTCTCTCAGGGAGAATCAGCCCGAGGGTGGAAGGTACACTGGTGGTTTGATCCCGGGCCACGTTATACCACAGATGATACATGCTATTACTCTGCCTGGCTCTCGGCCTTAAGGGGATAAAACAAGAACTGTTCGGCATGGAGTCAGTATACTGTCTGAGTGGGATATCCATGTTAACCTGCCACATGTTATCTCATCGACTTGCACTATAAAACACACACACAAACACACACACGTGCATGCACGTCGCTATATGAATGAAATAGTGTTACATCCCATTCCACCTCACCGCTATTCTGTCACTATGTGGTTCCTGTCTCAGGGTTCGGCTATGGACAGTCCACGGTCAAGGACGGAAGAAGGATGAGCACGTCCAGGGCGTTCTTGTGGCCGGCCATGACTCGACCTAAACTCCACGTCACGGCCAACGCACATGTCACCAAGGTAACCAACTGGACGTCATTGAAGAATTCATCATGATATTTGGGTTGGGTAACGCCATGGATAGTGCTTTTGCTCAGGACCCAGTGTTCACCACAACCCGAATTTCCGTGGAAGAAATATGTGATGCCATGTGACACAATCACTTTTTGTTCTTCGTCTGTGATATATATGTGATATTGTTAAAAAATTCAAGAAAGTTAAGACTGCATGACGTAGAAGGCTTCGGCGTCACCCGCTTAACTAGGGCTATCTAATCTTGCCTGTGACGTATCCACGACTACTTAAACACACTACATCACGAACAGTGCGAAATCATGTCGTTAAGTTGGGGTCATCGTCACTGAATTATGAATGAATCCAGAACGATTTTGATAAATTCTGACAATGTCGGTTAGTTACAAACGCGGTGTAGATGTCTGTGTTAAGGTATGTGACTGAAAGCAATCATGGCGGAAATATCGCTTTATGGACATGGCTCCAGATCAGCTGACTGTCCATGAGCATGTGTGGCCTCATCGTCTCGTCCCTGCAGGTGTTGCTGGAGGACGACCAGGCCGTGGGGGTGCAGTACATCCAGGACGACCGCGTGAGGACAGTGAGGGCCAGAAAGGAGGTCATACTGTCTGCCGGAGCTGTGGGGTCGGCACATCTACTCATGCTTTCGGGAATAGGCCCACGTAGACATCTGGAAGCAAATAAGGTATTCTGAAGGTGACATACTCGTATTTAGGATGGATGCAGCTACTAAGTAAAAGACCCTTGCAGATCCGGGATAGAACTGATTTTCAGCAACTCATGATAATTTGATAGTGTGTGTGTGTGTGTGTGTGTGTGTGTTATTTTTTATTGAGACCAGATAACAGATAACTACAGCTGCAATACCAGACAAAAAGTTAATTAGGAGCCAACACATCGCTTCACTTCAAGTTTGGTGGCAGGCAATATATTTTCTTTCAACCGTATGAAGCATAATGTTTGTATCAAGACCCTTCAGGAACAAGAACATCAAATGGTCGGCCCCTAAGATGTGATTAACGGGATCAGGAGGTCAGGTTCGCTGACTTTCCTTTGATGCTATGTCATCTTATGATCCCAATGGCGTAGATCGATGCTCTTGATGTCAATCACATGATTGTCGGTTATTTACACACCGCCGTCATATACTGGACTATTGGTGAGTGTGGCGTTTAACTACAAACATGTTTTAGTATTTAAGACATGCTTTCTACAGTTGCACGAATATACCTTTCTTCAGTCTGATCCTCCTTCACCCCACGAAGCAGAACAGGTTAGCCGCATGTTCTAGGTTTCGTCTCCACTTTTCAGATTCACGTGCACGCTGACCTCCCTGTTGGGGCCAATCTACAGGATCACGTGACCATACCGCTAAGGATATTAACCAAGCGTAAAGTGTCGATCTCACAGGCTCAAACTGACTCGCTAATGACATGGATGAAATATTTCATTTTCAAAACAGGTGAGATTTAAAATTTGTACTACTGCGCCTATAAATGTGTGTGTTGGCAGAGTTACGTCCCCTTTTCAGACACTGTGTTACATCCCTACCACGTGTTTTTGTTTACTTCGAGTGAGTGAGTATGATTTTACGCCGCTTTAAACAATATTCCAGCAATATCACGGCGGGGGACACCAGAAATGGCCCTTAAACATTGTACCCATGTCGGGAATCGAACCCTGGTCTTCGGCGTGACGGGCGAACGGTTGAACCAGCAGGCTACCCGACCGCCCCTTTCTTAACTTCGATACTTTTGACGGTAGAGGTGTGTGGCAGTATGTTACTTTGGTAACCAAGTATTTATATAGGGGTATTTACGTAGCGAGACAGACACATCAACAAGAGAAAACTAGCAAACTTATCCTTGAAATAACAACCCTTATAAAGGAGGGGGGCACGGGTGGCCCAGTCGTCTAAAGCGCCGCGATTCGCTGTGCAGAGTTGCGTCCCTTGGGCATGCCAGAAACCTATGATTGTGGGTTCGAATCTCGGTTCGCCCCGATAATGTTTCTAGATTTGTCAGCACCATACCCGTGCTCGTGGGTTTCACCGAAGTGGTAAACGTCTGAGACCTGCATAACTTCGGGCTTTCCTCCCACATTAAGCTGACACGACCGGCGATATAACTGGAATACTGTTAAAAGCGGCTTTAAACCCAACTCACTCACTCACTCACTCACCTTATAAAGGAACAATACAATATGAAACGTCAAAGCTAGAGAATAACCAGTCTCGATAAAATGACACTGAGCGGAAAGGGCAAACTAGTTTTGATATAAATATGAATGGATCACTAAAAATCAGTGATGACACCAGGTGTTTGCGAAAAGGGGAAGTATATTCCGCTCTACTTGTAGCACCCACCACTCACGCCATTTGCATAAAAAAGTACGTTTTTGTTTGTTGCCTAACGCCGCACAGCAGAACTGCTGCCACACAACGGCGGCCTGTAAACAATGGAGCCTCGCCTTCATATGGAAAGACACTATGGCACTTGGGAACAATAGGTTCTTAGTGCCCTACCAACGAGGATCAGATTGTTCATATATGTAGTTTTGCCAGTTATGTGTAATCGTGCCGACGTTGTGGATCGTTGTTTATGACGTCAACCACTGGATTGCATGGCCGAGACTCATATATTTGCTTAGGTGTAAAATCCTACTCGCCCATTCATTCTCTCACTCATACCCGTATATTTGTAGGTTATATGACAGCAAATGGTATAGAAGCAGCAGCATTTGTACGGACTATTCCTGACCTGCCAACCCCGGATCTTGGTATTGAAATGTCGGTGATGTGGCTTCAGCCGTCGACTATGAGGACGCTGTTCAACGTTGATGATCAGGTAAAGTTATAAATATGTTCTTGTATGCTTGCAATGCGAGGCGACTCATTGGATCCTGTGGTCAGGCTCGGTAACTTGGCTGATTGCGGGTCATAGCCCCCCGACAGCATGGAACGTTGCTCATGATATCAATCACTAGTTTGGCTGGTCCAGATGCGATTATTCATATACATGTTTCTGGCACATGTTTTGAGTGTTGAAACAACAAATAAATAAAGCAAATCCAAACCAGGTTTTCGCAGATGACGGGGTAGTCCAACTGAAATCTGCTGGTAAGTATGTTGCTTCGTACGACACTCATAGTTTGCTCGTAAGCCAGGATTCCTAAAGAAATCATATGTTTGCTGAGTTTGGGGTTAGCCAACAAGTAAATCAAACTATTTTTTTATTGAAACAGGTAATCCGGGAAACGGGGTGGAAGAAGGAAGAAGGATTTTTGATGTTTCCAATGTTGCTGAAACCACGAAGTTTTGGCAGTACCCGACTCCGTGACTCAAACCCCCTTGAATACCCGCTGATAGACCCAAACTACCTCTCACACCCAGAGGAAATCAAGATTCTCATTAAAGGTGAGATCTTTTATTTTTTCATCTTCTATATTCATTTATATTTTGCAATGAAAAGTCGAAGCAAGTCCTGAAGGTTTCTTTAAGGTCAGGGGGTAGGGTAGCTTACTGGATAGAGCGGTCACTCGTCACGCCGACGGTTTGATTCCCCACATGGGTACAGTGTGTGAAGCCCATTTCTGTCCCCCGCCGTAATTATGATGGAACATTGCCGATCTCATTAAAATCAGATCTTTGGTCTCCCTAGCATTGGACATCCTATTACGAGTCATGTCGGAACGACCTTTCTTCCGACCAATCAGAGCACCGCTTACCAGATCAGGAAACTGACAGACGGAATGTGTTTCCTAATCAGACGACATCGAAAAGGTTAACTCGGGTCGGAATAACAGTTACGGGCTTTACGCCCGACTCCGTCAAATCCATCGTCCATCTCTCGCTTCAGTGGGATAAACATTTGAACAGAAGATATTTTGCATTGCCCGTGGGACGTACCGCCATACAATCTCGGCCATCTATATGACAATCCAGAATGTCCTACTGTTCAGTTTTCAAATTCAGAATCGAGAACTTTGTCAAATATTTTTCAAAGCGTACTCGCCAGTTTGAAACTAGTGCCGTATAGCTCGAGAAAGCTACTTTTTGATTGGTGAATGGCGTCTTCTTGTTAGTCATTTCATTGGTCGGTCAAAGTTCGCGAAAGGTCGTTCTGACATGACACGTAATGGAATGTCCACATATCTTTGTTTAGCGGTAGCGGGAACTAAGATCTCATTTTAATGAGATTGCAAAATTGCTGCAAGCGACGTACAACCATACACTCACTCTTTCAAGATCGTTTGTAATCGCATTGCATTTCGATTGATGCAGGAATTCGCACTATTCAAAAACTCCTGAAGACAAATGCCTTTCGCCAAATTGGCGCCAAGCTGGAGAACGCCCCTTTGTCTGTCTGCATCCATCTAAAGTTCGACTCCGATGCGTACTGGGAGTGCTACATCCGGGGACTGACGGTGTCAGCCTCTCACCCGAGCGGCACGTGCAAGATGGGCACAGCAGACGACCCAACGTCTGTGGTAGATCCACTGCTGAGGTGAGAATATTGTATAAACTTTTCAAATAAACACACGTTGATCGCAGAAATCAGTATAACTGGTGAAACCTGACTGGTGGTTGGGCATAAAATCAGGGGTACTGTTGCCTGTAAAGATTTGCTCTAAGTACCTCTGCAACAGGCAAGCGATTCGTCACATCTTTGAAAAGTCTACACAGTTAGATACACATATGTCATGGTAATTGTATTTAGAAAATGCCCTAAACCTGAAATGCTATTTTCATTGGCTCTTTATCCTTTGTTTAAAATGGTTGTACGCTTCCACGTGCTTACACCGAAGAATAGTTAGCGATACCTTCATTTTGATGTGAAAAGATATATTGTCATATTCCTCACTGTCGCAGTGGTAGTGGCACATCTTTATAACTATGCAAACAAACCAATCTGTAAATCGCACTGAAAAGGTTTCCACTGGGCAAGACTGCGCTGATTTCTGAATAACCGCAATTGTTTACAAACGAGAAAAGTCTGTGGTCACGTGATATGCAAATTAGCTTGTTGGCGTGGTGTAATGCAAGTCACCACTGTGCAGGATTATGACATTTTAGCGTTCCTCAAAGTGAATGTCTATAGTCTCGTCTCCACTGATACGAGTACCCTGTATGATCAGGAAATGTTAACTCCCACTATAAAGAATTCGGCGAAACATCGTCTATAACAACTCTGAAACCCATACAAGGATAGCAAATGTCGGACATCACAGATTTATTTAAGAGGTTTCTTTGAAATATTTATATTTTAAATTGGTTCTGTTAATCAACTGCTGTATTTCCATGCCTAGAAAATAACAGACGATGCTCATAATATTAATCACAGGTTTGTCTAGTCCAGACTCAATTATCTACTGCTGTCATAAAACTGGTATTTTGCCGAGTGCGGCGTTGAACGACAAACAAGAAAGTAACACTGATGGTCTGTTTGTAGGGTGAAGGGCGTGTCAGGCCTCCGGGTCGTCGACGCTTCAATCATGCCCACCATCGTATCCGGCAACACCCACGCTGCCACCGTCATGATTGCTGAGAAGGCCGCGGACATCATTAAAGAAACTTTGTGACGTACAACATTGACACATACGAAACTGAAACTTTAACAAGAACTACTCTTTTCTATGACTCCATTATCTTTGATTTTGTAAATTGAACAATGGTCTGCACTTTATGCAAAAAAACAATAATTTCTTTGTACAATTATGCACTGCTACATATACTGATTGATAAGGGCCGTCTACTGTTGCGTTTAAAACCAATACTTCATTTCAAAAAGAGAAGGTAAATCAGTTCTGGAACCACTTACTCAAAGCGACCTTACCGATAAGACGGTCGCATCTGCTATTCTTTTAACATTGACTTAATTGATTCAAAGCATTTCGAATGGTATGGCTCCCGTTGATTGTGTTATTCAAGTATCCGAATGCTTACATACTTTGTTTGTGGACGGTGTTTGGATATTTGAGCCCTTCCGCACCCTTTCGCTACAACACAGTCTATAAGGAGGAGCGCATCCTCCCGGGGTAAGGGAGTTAACTGACTGGACGTTTATTGACAGTAAACTCCCGTGCCTCGGGACAAAGGGAGGAGCGCTGATACGACTCCTTTAGATCTATTCAATAATACCCTTGAATGTACTTTTAACGAGGTGCGGTGTGGTAACCTTGTGGTTAAAGCGTTCGCTTGTCATACCGAAGAACTGGTTTGATTTCCCATATGGGAATAATGTGTAGTGCCCATTTCCGGTGTCCCCGCCGACAAATGGCTGAAATAATGCTCACAGCGGTGTAAATCCATACTCAATCACTCACCAACTACCTGACCTCGCATCTCCCCAATGGAGAAAAAACATAGAGGCTGATGTTCAAAGAGGCTGTCGCCTTATCACCTTTGTTTTATCCTGCACCTCCACACAGGGGACCTCTGACCTTCTCTGGCTGATAAATTAAGCAACATTTCTATGCAAAGGGTGAATGATGCGAGAGACTTCATGTTATGTGTGATGGTTATAAGTGTACATATAGAATGGCTGTCAGTAGAAATATTCTAATTTGTAAATATCTTGTTTCATGTAAATAAACAAATCAATAAACCGTAATACCAGTTATAAGCGTGCTTGTAATCGATTGTCAAAGACTAAGATATGCAAAGATATAGCAAATGTGACATCTTCGTGCCATACACCTATGATTGTGGGTTCGGATCCCAGATATCTTGGTTTGTCAGCACTCCACCCCTGCGAGTTTCTCCAAAGAGGTTAATATCTAAGACCTGCACCACCCAAGATTTTCCTTTATATCAAGCTGACATACAATGATGTAACTGAAATATTGTTGAAATAAACAAAATTCATACACTTTTGTGTGTGGTTCAAACCAGAATAGGACTTCAGCAACCCATGCTTGCTGTAAAAGGCAACTCTGTTTATCGTGAGGGGCGACTAACAGGATCGGGTTGTCAGGCTGGCTGACTTGGTTTATGCATTTCATCGTACCCCATTTGCGTGGATCGATGCTCATGATGTCAATCACTGGATTGTCTGATCCAGACTCGATTATTTGCAGACCGCCTTCATATGGCTGAAATATTGCTGAGTGTGGTGTTAAACAACAGTCAAATAAAACAAAACCATGGATCTACAGAGCTACATACTTCTCTGGCATATGTTGAAGCTTGCGCTACACGCGTCAGGTTTACCCAGGCACATTAATGCAGTACAACCTTACAACAGAAAGTCCAATGCCTGTATCTACCTTAATGACATAGCCATGGGCACTTCCGGTTTAATGACATCACTCTCGGTTAGGGAAATACACGACAACGTAATGACAGACACTCCCACGCCTCAAGCTACCCATAACAAGAACGAAGTGTGCACTCCCGCTGTAATTACCTTGATCTGAAGAATCCTGTAGGCCATGGATGGGCTGAGAGAAGATGGAACCCAACAGTAGAGAATGAACCCACCTCAACTGTAGCGATATTTTTTGCAACGGATCACGGAAATGTCCCTGTCTCTTAGCAGGTCTTCCTTGCATGGAATAATGTTTCTGTACAAAGAGTACAACATCAGGAATATATAGATATGGATCTTGACATCAGAAATGTTATCACTGATAACCTATGACCTATCGTTGTGTTCCCAGTAAATTCAGTTTTTCGTGATGTTATAATAATTCTTATGAATCAAATGGACTGAAAATCTAAACAATAAAAACAAAACAAGATTTGGGTCATCTTGGAAACGGTTTTGTACAATAACCCTACCACCAAATGAAACACCCACAACCACCCCTTTTCAGCAGTTCATTTAAGAATTGAACGTCAGTTTGAACCAATCCAAACTGACGTTCAATTCTTATAATTTCGGAGTCGAGAAAATATCCGTAGACGGAATTAGAAATGTACTATTCCGGTTTCTGAGTTGGTCGACCTTCTCCGTGCATTCTAGGCCGAGAAGCGGTGGCACATGAGGAGTGACGGGGCACAGTAATGAAGCTGGCATCAGGTCATACAGTAGGTCCATCTCAGGTGACAAGAAACACCAGCTAAGCAAAGTATTACAGCACACGCGACAAATCCCAAACTCCAAATATAACACACCCTGACGTTGAAAATTCACACAAAAACACACAAGTGTCAGAGCACTCGGTTCAATCCCCACCAGTCCATTCCGCATCGTCCGAATTGGTTTGGGATTATCCAAACACAAGCAACACATTCATAAATCGGTGATATTCCCAATTTGCTAGTGCCATGAGAGGGTTCACGCGTCGGGGTGTTTTCCATAACTGCTCCATAAACGTCATTTTCAACTGCAGTAAGTATAAATTTCATCCTCAAGCTCCCGTTCGACTCGAAATACACCTCTTTACAAACTTATGTGACGTCATGTATAAATCCGCGCTTGAAAATTGACCTCACCTCGGTGCATCGAGGTCATGTTTATATTTTTGTTCAACTTCCTGTAACCTATTTTTAAGATTTGATTAATCCCATATATTGTTTGTAAATTTGTTCAGAGAATGAAATTATGTTGACATATTCCTAGATTATGTTGTATATATTCAAAGAACTATTTTTCTTTGCGTAACTGAGTATGAGTGGGGAAACGTATGTGACCGAGAGCCGGCAAATACCGACAAAATAACATTGTTGTAATGTTCTTCGGCGAAACCAGAGGACTTCAAATTTAAGCAAACATTGTTACAATATTATTCGGCGAAACTACAAAGTATGAAATTATAAGAATTTCGCAAGCTCGGAGGTTCACACAGTTTAACCAGCGCTTTTAAATCGTTCACACTTCAATCAACCCATCCAAACTGACGTTCAATTCTTAAGTGGACGACATTAATACATTAAACGTGTGTCTAGAAGCATAGGTATAATATGTTTGCACTGTTAATTAGGCACTAAGATCATCATAACCTGAACATAATACAAGCTGTCTAACTTTAGAGGCCCAGTTTGATTTACCGTTGTGCGAAGCAGTAAGTAACAAAATATTGGATTTTCTTACAAACCTTGAGTCAGGCATATCTAAACTTTTACACCAATATTTGAAATGGTAATGGTTTTAGTATTGACAAACATTTAAAAGCACCATATAGAATCTTCTTAGCTTGCAAGGAAGCATCTTTTACGTGTTTTGACCATGATAGAAATTTAGTAAACGTTAATCCTCAGTATTTATATCAAGGTACACATACAAGCGGTTGTCCATCATACTTCCATTTCTCATAGTTAGATAACATTCCTCCATCCTTAAAACAATAACCTTGGTCTTTTCCAAATTAACACATAAATGGTAATTTTCACAAAAAGATTTTAAAGCATCTATGCTTCTTTGTAGTCCATACACTGTATCAGAAATCAAAATAACATCGTCTGCAAATAATAATAAAAACAACTGTACAAGTTCAGGTTGGAACTGGATACCTGGTCCGCAGGGGGCCTCTACTTCAATTACTTATTCATTTATAAGAAAAAGTGAACAAAAGCAGACTTAAAACACTGCCTTTTCTAGCCCGAAGTACACTCAAAAGCATGGGAAGTAGTAGTATTAGCCCTAACACAGGCTTTAACACATTTGTAAATAGATTGTAAAGCTTGGAGATATTTTAAAGATGTGTACTTTTTAACACATGCCATAATTTAGGTCTAAATACCAGGTCAAATGCCTTCTTAAAATCAACAAAAACTGCATATATTTTTTCATCTTTTTTAGACAGGTAAGTTTGGACGACTGCCTGTAAAGATTATTGTCGATAGAACTATAACCGTTTGGAAAACCTGCTTTTGACTCCAAAATATTATCACAAGTGTACGTTGGACCAATAAGTTAACCTATTGTTTAGTACTGCTGTATATACCTTACTAAAAATACTTAACAATGTAATTCCTCTGTAATTGTTCGGGGAGTGAGTATCATCTTATATTTAGGCCTGTACACCATGAAGCTGGAAGGTAGCCTGTACGAAACAGTATATTAAATACAAGTTCCATATGTGGTACAAAAATGTCTTGTAAAGCATATCAATACCCGAGGAATTATTACATTTGATATCCCCAATGACTTTAAATATTTCCTCCTTAGTTATTGCAGAGTCTATTATATCTTTAGTTATGTCTGCATTGTGACTGCATGATTCAGTTCCACTGGCAAAGGCACCTTCGCCGTCATCCTCATTCAAGTCATGTTCAGGAGTGTCAAATAAATTTTAAAAATGTTCAAACCACTTTTCAGTCGTTACTGGCGATTTATATAAATCTGAAACCTTAAGCTGTTTTAGAGTCCACCGAAACCTTTTGGCATCATGCGTGCTAGATAATAATTTATCTTTCATTTTATCAGAATATAGACGTTTCTTATCACGTACAATACTGGTATATATATTCCGAGATGTGATGTACAGTTGTAATGAGACATTTTCCTTGCAACGTCTAAAACATGTAAGTAGCCTGTCTCTTTCCATCCTATAAAATGTTATTGTTTTTTTAGTCTGTAAGATAATTTCTTCATGGATTCCCCAGCGTTACAGTTAGGATGATCAGGTGACTGCAACGTGTACGAGATCGGCAAATGAACGGACTCCGCACGGGAAACGATCAATCAAATCAATAACGTAATCAATAAGGCATGTTCCTGAAGAACTGATCGTAAGATCGGCAATTCCTGCATCTGAACCGGATCTACCATTTAATATATTTAAGTTTAAGGAAGAGAATATATGGATGTCAACTTCTTTATTATGAGGAACACAACGTTTCAGAGCACATACTTACTCCTTCATCAGGTTTAAGGTCGCACATAATTCTAAAAGTCTTCTTCCAAACTTATTATTTATCTTATTACATGAATATCTGGTTAAGTTAAGGAATCAGCAAGAAAGTCAAATTGACCTACGCCTAGTTGTTCAGCAATATATGTCACCGACATCTACTCCAATGCAGGCGTTAAAATCTCCACCGAGGTGAAATTCGACATCCCCAACATCTAGCAGGAGTCCAACAAACCCTCTTGGAGCAATGTAATTACACACTTTGATCCACAGTGAATTACCCTATGGTCATACCAAATCATCTTCCCGAGGCAAGAGAGTGAACTGAGTCAACAGACAGTATAAATATTTAAATTATTTCGAGTATTAGCCGCCACCCTACTTGAGAGAACTTCCCACGTGCAATCTAGAATATAAACCAAATGTGATTTCCAAGGTGGAATTTACTGTAAAAACAAACTATGGTATACGCTATTCATGTATCTATAAATAAGAACAAGGCGTTAAAGATGGACAGGATGTTACGAGAAACAAAGCAGTAATTCGCAATCACGATCAAGCATTGACCGGAAGAGTATATTTTTTGCACATGGGTAGGTTTCCATCGGTTTTTCTTGAGTCAGATAGTAATAATTGCAGACCTCTCTGATTTTCTGAAAAAACACAAAAATACCATAATTAATTTACTGATGCTAAATAACTTATGACAAGATAGTATGGATGATCAACTTATTATCACAATTGCAGCGATGTTTCACCACTTGCTTGATAACAGTGTTAGCATCTACATCCAACATTGCCACAACTCAAATATCTTATACGAACCAGCAAATACAAGAAGCATTTGCTATTTTATTTGAAGAAAGGGGAGAAATATGTAAGTCCAAAGACTCAAACCACTTTACCCTCTCACCTAATTTGCCTTTTCCCATTAAGCTGGTTGGTTTGTTGTTTAACGCCGCACTCAGCAATATTCCAGCTATATGACGGCGGTCTGTAAATAATCGAGTCTGGACCAGACAATCCAGTGATTGACATCATGAGCATCGATCCACCCAATTGGGATCGATGACATGCATCAACCAAGTCAGCGAGCCTGACCACCCGATCCCGTTAGTCGCCTTTTACGACAAGCATAGTCACCTTTTACGGCAAGCATGGGTTGCTGAAGACCTATTCTACCCCGGAATCTTCACGGGTCTTTCCCATTAAGAAACAAATATGATTATATTTAGCAGTTTTAACCCATGACACAGTCGCTTAAAGGCTCTCCATCAAGAAACTGAAGAGGTTTCTCTGCTAAATAATTGCAAGGTGATTTAATCATTCATTCCTTCACTTTTAAAAAAACATTAATTTGCATCACTAATCGTTCTTTACAATTTTCTCTAGTTTTGCATGCGAATGTTTGTTTGGCTCGCTCCTCCAGGTGTTGGTCCACGCTGTAGCAAGTGTGTGGGAGTGCGTTGGGTTTAACACCGCTTTTTGCAATATTATGCCTTCGAACAGGGTACCAATGAGGAAATCGAAACCTGGTGTTGGACAAATTAATCCAGTGAGGGAAACAACCGTAAAAATATGGATTTGACAATTTACCTCCCGAAACTTCACCTGCGGATCTTAGTCGTAGAGGTTGCCTGTGAAAAGCAAACATGATCAGTTAATTTATTTTCATATCAATAAATATTTTTTAATAACAGAGTTGAACATATAGAAGCAATTGAAGCATTATCATTCAGGATATGCCTTGGTAATTGTGAAGATTCATTTTGCGCTTTTATATGACGTAGGTAAGTCTGTGAGAGATGAATTGAGAATGAGAACTGACAGTGTGAATCTGATTATCCATACAAAATACATACAAGAGTCATAACATATACACTTCTCAGTATGGGTTTCACTTTCCTGACACAACCGGGTATTACCACATTTGTTCCGATCAAAGATTAATACGTTCATTATTCTACAATTAAAATACTCCAAAGCATGAAATGTAAACAGGGGTTCCAAGAAGTGATAATGAGTGCTAAAAACTGGAGAACATTCGCAACCAAGATCGGCCGAAGTGCATTTTATACCTCCCGAACTGGACCCCGTCCTCGATAGTTTCCGGCAAGTCTCTGTCGAGTGTCTCCGGCAGGAAGAGGGCCAACAAACCTACCAGGACGGCCAGACTGCCAAACATCAATAACGGTAGGACACGACCGAAGTCCCCACCAACAAACTTGCCCTTTATAAGAAAGTGGTTGTAATAAGAGGTATGTCATTGGTCAATTTCAAAACAGTGACTTTGATTTAGGATCGCTTGACCAGTAAATCAGTTATATAAGTATATTTGATGTGGAATGAGAGCCCGAAGTAATGCAGGTCTTACAATGACACCAGTGAGGAAACAACCTGGGAAGCTAAGGAAACTGTACCTCTCAGTTGATTTTATTATCTGTTTGATTTTCAATTGAAGTTAGCCACATTACATCTTAAATATGAACTCTACTGTTGCTTAGTCAGCAATCAATGAATACTTCTGCATGGCTTTAGATTTTTAAAATTATAATTTGATTTAAAACTTTTAAAAGTTAGTATTTAAAAATATAATACGAATAAAACATAATATAATCGCATAATACACAGTAGGGTAGGGAGCCATGTGGTTGCTAATTCATTTCTTACTCCAGTCTTCATTGAACCAATTAATTTTTTTTTAAATTATCCAGCTACATGTTACTTTTTACAAACTGTTGCTGGATTGAGTAATTGTTAAATAGACATAAATATATAATAAAATTTAACCACAGTTCTTTCAATTACAAAAAAAACTCGGTATACTGTCCTTTGTTCCTGAGTGTACAAAATGGCACTGTTTGTACATGTCTTAGTTATGTTGCTATCCCGCTATGTATGTCCTGACCTAAATTGTCCATTAACAGTACACATCTCAGCGAACCCGTCACCACCCCTCCTACAAATGACCCCGTGTCTCCCTCGCTCAGGGTTCAATGAATATATATCATATATTCCATAAGTGACAAAATCGCATCTCAACACCAGATACACATCAGGAACAAAATGCAAATTAAGAAAGACTTCACCAATCCTAAAGGACAAACCCCTTACCATGTCGACAACATAAGGAGCGACCATGGCCCCTGCCCGTGCACAAGAGGAGCTTGCCCCGGTGGCAGAGTGGCGGATGACAGTGGGGAACAGTTCTGAGGAGAAGATGTAGATGATCAGAAAGCCTCCCGTGGACCCCAGCTTTCCTACCATAGCGAGCAGGACCGTGACCCACTGTAATGCTGAAGAAGAAATACGTTTCTGTTTACATTATTCGGTTGGTACCAGTGAGTGAGTGAGTTAAAGCTTTACGTCACATCGGCAATATTTCAGCCATATCGTGGTTGGTACCAACACACATATAACGTGTTATCTCAAAAGGACCTAAAGTCCAAGTGAGCTATTACTAGGTGCGTTTTCCGTTGTCCTTAATTAGACCTTTGCTCTTTGCACGGTCTCCCCTGAACAGCTGGCCTGATGAAGGGGACGTGCGTGTTCCTTCTTATAAATATACTCAACAACAAAAGTTCCCGTGACATCAATATGTTACTGTAATTTTCAAACAAGTAAAGTTTGGTTTTCAATATTGTAGTACATGTATGGAATCAAGTCACAAAAACGCAACTGCTACAGAAAAGCATGCATTCCATTCAAAACATTTATGCAAGCCCCAGGCATTTCACTGCCTAACAATGGGTATAAAAACATGTGAGTTAACGGGATTCCATATGCATTGTTTAGCATCGTGATGACAACAACCACTCAGAAAAACAACAAAATTACGCAATTATTCAACATTACGAAATGCCACGCCTGTCCGAAAATGAGCGTCTGCGAGCCATTGGTATGCTTGAAGCAGGATCGAGTCAACTTGATGTTGTAAGACAATTTAACGTCCATAGAAACACCATTTGGTGCTTATGGCAACGTTGGCAACAGGCGCATACAGTCAGAGACCATCCTCGGAGTGGCAGGCCACGCGTAACCAATAATCGACAAGACAACTGGATTCGAACAACACACCTACGAAATCGATTCCAGCCAGAAACAGAGACTGCAAGAAGCATCCCTGGCCTTCGACGAATATCTTCACAACCCTTACGTCGCCGCCTCAGATGTGCAGGGATTGTCGCCAGAAGACCCGCCAGACGTCCCATTTTGACAGGAAACCACCGTCAAGCACGCCTACAGTGGTGCAGACAGCGTCTACGCTGGACGGCCATGCATTGGGGACAAGTTCTATTCACTGACGAGTCTCGTTTTCACCTCAGCCACAGCGATGGACGGATTCGAGTGTACCGACGTCGAGGTGAACGTTACATAAATCATTGTGTCATGGAAGAAGATCGGTTCGGGGGCGGCAGCGTTATGGTATTGGGTGGGGTTACAGCAAGACAGAGGACCCGTTTGATAGTGGTAGAGGGAAATCTCAAAGGACAGCGCTACCGCGACGAGATCATCGTCCCTGTTGTTCTACCGCCTTTGCGTCGTCATGGCCCAGGCATTACCTTTCAACATGACAACGCCCGGCCTCATATTGCTCGACTTGTTCAGGATTCACTTCAACAAAACAACGTCAATGTCATCCCCTGGCCGGATCGCTCCCCTGATCTCTCACCAATCGAGCACATGTGGGATGAGATGGATCGGCGCCTTCGACGTCAGCCACGTGTTCCACAGACACTCCAGGAACTTCGAAACATGCTCCAGCAGATATGGACATATATCCCACAGGACTTTGTGCGACGCCTGGTCCATTCCACGACACGAAGATGTGTTGCTTGCATCGCAACCAGAGGGGGAAACACACGCTATTGATTTGTAAATTGACATTTTGGCATGTTCATGTTTGTTTATGAAATCACGCATTTTCTGAAGTCCGTATGGCAAATTAAACCATTTGAACACTTACAGGAGTCTTTTATCTGTTGCAAACCGAAATTGTTTCAGATTTGGTAAAAAACATATCTGTGCATTAAATCTTATTCAATGTCACAGGAACTTTTGTTGTTCAGTATACTTTATATTTTGTTCAGATAGTTCTGACATCAGGTGTTTTTTAAGTTTAATAATTTTAGGAAAGTCCGCTTTGTGTAAGGACTTTTGTAAGGAATCGATTAGGAGGGCATAACATCCGACCACAGCGTCCAGCTGTACATCCAATTTCGTAATCGAACTGCACTCCTGACATGGTTAAGAGGTTCAGGACCCGCGAAGGATCCGAGTTAGAAAAGGTCATCAGCAACCCATGCTTGTCGTAAAAGGCGACTAACGGGATCGGGTGGTCAGGTTCACTGACTTGGTTGATGCATGTCATCGTATACAATTGCGTGGATGGATGCTGTTGATGTCAATCACTGGATTGTCTGGTCCAGACGCGATTTTTTTAGACCGCCGTCATATAGCTGGAATATTGCTGAGCGCGGCGTTAAACAACAAACAGACAAATAAAACAAATTCAGACAAAAACAGGTTCAGGTTATAGAACTGGAGATTACTCCTCTCCACAGATGAGTCCAGGTTTCATCTTGTCAGCAGTGATGGCCGTCAGCGTGTTTATCGACGTCGGATGGAACGTTACGCTGACGTAATGGTGTGGGGAGGCGTCACTGCACATCACAGGACCCCTCTAGTGGTCATCGATGGCAATTTGACCGGCGTTCCTCCCGTTCCTTCATACTTTACTTTACAGCATAAACGTGCCCGCCCTTATGTTACACGTGTGGTCACAGATTTCATTGGACAACAGAACGCTTCCTTGGTCTGGTATTTATCTAGATCTGTCGCCAATCGCATCGCACATGTGTAGGATGAAAATGAAACGTTTTCGCCGACTTCCAACATGTGACATTGGTCCAGCCGCTACACGCCTTGGTCCAGACTTGGAATGACACCCCACAAGCCTTTCTAGGCCATCTTGAGTTGTCAGAAAGCGCCATTGGCAAGTTTGTTTCACTGCTAATGGTGGTCACACCCGATAATGACCACACAATTGTCGCTACATTCTGCCTGAGATGATTTTACAGAGGACTTATTCTTCAAATGTTTGAATATCATTATTATCAGTATAAACTTATGACTACGTATCCAAGCGTTATTGCGGTGAATAAACATTTATATAATTATAAAGTAAAAAGACATACATACTAAAGGGGCGGTGGGATAGCCTAGTAAAAAGCGTTCGTTCGTCACGCCGAATATCCGGGTTCGATTCCTCACACGGGTACAATGTGTGAAGCCAATTTCTGGTGTCCCTAGCAGTCATATTGCTTGAATATTGCTAAAAGCGGCGTAAAATACAACGCACTAGCTCACAAGCTAAACATGCTCGAATCCCTTGACCTGAATTTTACATGTACGACAGTTCGTTGTGAAACCTGCATCAACCAAGTCAGCGAACCTGACAACCGATCTATTTAGTCGCCTCTTACGACAAGCATAGTCGGCTTTTACGGCAAGCATTGGTTGCTGTAGACCTATTCTACCCTGGATCTCCATGGGTGTGTCGTATCGAGTAGTTGTGATTGTAATTAGACTGGCCTACTTCCAGGTATCACTGTGGAAGGTTTCTGCTTACTCTGGTCTGCATAGAGGATGGTGAAGATGGTGAGGATGCAGGACACGCCTCCTACTAACACTGAAGCACAGTACATGACCTTCCTTCCCAGTTTGTTGAGCAGTAATATAACGAAGACAAACGCAGGGAACTCCACCAGTCCCACCAGCAGGAAGTTGAGGTGGAGGCTGCCTGCCCCAAGGTTGTCTGAGTGGAGGGATAGGCCGTAGTACACCATGCTGACCACAAACCTAAAACACAAAAGGACACAACGCTGACCATAGACCAATGTTATACTAGAATTGACAAAACATACGTCACACACAATACTGATCTGAAATATAAATGTGACAATTATAGATCACGAATCTCCTTAAAAACGTAGCTTTGAAACAGATCTTACAGATTCTCCTCTGTTGTTCAACGCTGCACTCCAATCCAGATCTATGACAAGAACCAGTGGACTGTAAAAAACAAATCTGAAACAGACCGTCCAGTGACTAAGGCGATGACCAACGTCCACCACGTCACAATCAACAAGGTCGCCGAGCCTGACCACCCAAACCAATAAGTCGCCACGGTGGCATTGGCTGCTGGGGAACTTTTCTAACCAAGAATCCCCACGGGGCTACAAACTAAGACATTATACAACCTTAGGCGCCTTACCAGTTCAAAAATATGATAAGAGTTCGTATACACATGACTGGAGTGGTGAATAGATCGAAGAAGCTGCCCTTGGGTGTGTCGTCATCGTGTGTTCCAGTCTCTGTCTCGTGTTCCTCAAACAGGTTGTCAGGTAACTTGACTCTATTCACGTCAGCCATACGGCGTATGATCACTTCCGCTTCCTCTTGTCGGCGCTGCTTCAGCAGCCACCGAGGAGATTCTGGAATGATCCTGTGAAGCAAATGTTTGAAGTATGATACAAAATAATTGAAATAATTGAATCGAAATTATAGAATGCGTTTTCCATGATATGCCTGAATTTTGAATGAATAAAAAAATATTCAAAATTCAATTGTATGTTTGCAGGTTAGGTTCACCACTTCGCGAACACCTTATTTGATAGTGATTCATAAACACAGTCATGCTCATGATAAAGTCGGAATCGTACATTCGACTAGGCTTTCAGCATAGATTTCTTATGAATATGGAAAAGGTTTTTTAGCTTTTATTTTTTATTTAGAAGACAAAGAGGTCAAATTATTGATGCTATATTGTTTGAGAAAAATGTTAACATGACTGATATAACTGAGTGCGGCGTTAAACAGCAGACAAACAAACAAACATGACTTCAACAGTCCTATGTCAGGAAGTCGGACGGTCTCAACGTGCATGGAGTAGCCTAGTGGTTAAAGCGATTGTTCGTCAAGCCGAAGGCCGGGTTCGATTCCCGAGGTACAATATTTAAAGCGCATTTCTAGTGTCACCCAACGCGATATTGCTGGAATATTGTTAAAAGCGGCGTAAAATCATACTCACTCATTCACTGATTCTAAACGTACATAAAAAGCCAGTCAAAACCATGATACACATTCACTAAAATAACATCGCTTCAGTACCCATTTATATAACGAAATGCCCTTCCTCTGAAGAGTTTGGATGATCAACGGCAATGAATCGCAAATTCAAAACTAAAGAAATACGCTGTCTGTGGAATTTGGACGATAAACAAGAATGAATCGCGCATTCTTTTGTTTTAGTTTGCTAATGTTGTGCCAGTGTATGGAAGTGTAGGGTTTACAACTGACCACCAGTAGACAAGACACGCAGCAACCGGGATGGCCGTGGCTAGCTCCAGAGTGTGCCAGTCCCGGATGAAGTAGGCCAGTCCAGACAACACTACCATGCCGATGGCGAAGAATGTCTCCAGCAATGCTCCAAACCGTACACGTTTTGAGGAACCTACCATTTCAATACCTGTTTATTAATAAAAAAACAAACAATGTTACGGATTCATTTCGGATTTATGATGCATAATTCATCACGGAAATATCTCCTAAAAGGTATTCTTCGTTAACAAAAGCATGGTACAGTGTCCTATATCATACACTGAAAGCAAATATGCCAAGATTCGTTACATCATTGTAATACCGGTTTTAATTACATTTAAACATTTTTTTCAACATTAAGTTTTATTTGTTTTCATTTGTCTTAAAAATATTTCTTTAAAAAAAAATCATTTTTCACATGATTTCTGGTTCCATCCTCTTTAAATGACGTTGTCCTAACATCCACTTTTTTAGCATGGCCCCGAAAAATTCTGTTAAAACCATGTCCTAAGATTGTGAAGTCGAGAATACTAACATTAATACTAATACTACTTTCTAATACTTAGGGGCGGTCGCGTAGCCTAGTGGTTGAAGCGTTCGCTCGTCACGCCAAAGACCCGGGTGCGATTCCCGACATGGGTACAATGTGTGAAGCCCATTTCTGGTGTCCCCCGCCGTGATATTGCTGGAATATTGCTAAAAACGGCGTAAAACAATACTTATTCACTCTAATACTACTTCAGCCGGATGCACTGGACGTTTAGTAGAAAACGTTCATTTCCCATAGCCGAATGCAAGTGATCGAATATGACTTTCTTAATAGTCAACTATAGGTGATACCAAATTTTGTTCGAACTATTTAGTGTTTTTAAGTCGTCAGTATATATGCAAACATTTTGAATATCTTTGCTGACATAAACTTCAGTTAATAGTTTTTTGTTGATATTTTATTCCCAGACAAGCTACAGTATCATGGCGCTATTTTATATAGTTTGCAGTATTGCTGCCGACCAGGTCACGTGAGCCAAGAACTATGTATCACACTGACAGACACACATGTGTAACGGGACAGCCTCCGTGGTCTAGTGGTAGAGCGTCTGCCCGGAAAACGGAAGGTCGGGGGTTCGATCCCAGGCCGCGTTATACCAAAAGACGTTAAATGGAACTTGTTGTTGCCCTGTCTGGTCCTTGGCATTAAGGGGCTAAAACCAGAACTGGTTAGCACGGAGTCTGTATACTGTGTCTGAGTGGGGTATTCATGTTAAAAAGCAGCATGGTGTCTGTATCACTATAAAATCGTCATAAGCCCGGAATAGTACAAGCAGCCACAAACACACACACGTACATGCACGTCGCTATATAAGTGCAATAATCTTGAACGCGACGTTAAACCCCATCACCTCACCTCGCATGTGTACACATCTCTACGGAAGATAAGCACGACATACCAATTACAAAGCACGACACAAAGACCCCGACCGCTGAGGCGCCGTTGAAGAAGCGGAGGATGACGAACATGACAAAGTTGCTGGACCAGTTGAGGATGACGCCGCCGGTGATGAGGAGCAGGAGGCACAGATAAAGAGCCTTCTTCCGCCCAATCCTTGGGAAATGACACAAATAAGTGTAGTGTAATCATTACGTCATGTTTAACAACGAAAGAAATATTCATCATTAAAGGATGCTTTGGTCGTATGGACATCCTCGGTTGGGCTAGGTTCCTATTATCTCACTTAAATTTGGTGTGATGCTTTTGCCAACTAACATTATTGAAGGCTCTGTCCAGGAGGTTAAAGTACCGTAAATGATTGTCCCCCTGTGTGACATGTAATTTCTATTCTAATCGATGTAACTATCATCAACCAGTGTTTTGAGCCAACTCATTGCTGAGCATTTTTTTTAATATTGGCTAGTATTGTGCACAACCACCAGTAGCTAAAGTGATGACATACATGTAAATCCTGCTGGAGTATCGTGCAGGAAGCTTAGGCAGCGTAAATCCCCATGATCCCCAGCGAGGACAACAACAACAACAACAACAACAACAACAATACTATGTCGCTCTGCCCTCAATCGCTTTTTTCCACCAATCATGGTTTAATTAACGTGGAGGCTGTTCGTGATAAAATTGTATTGAGCACTTTTGCACACATCTATTTGTCCGATGATCCCCTTGTGAAGCATGTCAAGACTCATGATGAAAACAAGGCATTCCCCAGTTTTCTTAAACGAACCATGCATGTGGGACATAATCTCAATGTGTTGATTTTGTTGACGGGTCTGTACCGCTGGACGGTACAGAAATGAGTGTCAACCAAACGAAGTGCCGTATCAAATCGGCCCAGACTCAGTTTTTCGACCACTGAACGACCACTGCATCGAGTTGACGTGCAGTGTGTTGAGAAGATCAACAACCCAGCAGAGTCCTTCGCTTGGCTGAAGTGGGCTGGCCTGAAAAGTGAAACAGAAGGCGTTCTGTTTGCTGCTCAGGACCAGTCAATTCCCATCCGAAACCCCAATGTGTGATTTTGCTTCAAAATGTAAATATGAAATATGCAATGAATTTAATGAAACTGTCAAACACATTGTCAGTGGATGCTCGGTTTGGGCACAAACACAGTGTCTTAAGCGACATGATGGAGTGGCTCGATCATGTTTTTACCGTGTGATTTTGACACAGATGTCCATCCATGGGACGACCCAGAATATGTATGGGGTGTCATGGAAAATGATAAATACAAAATTCTTTGGAATAGGCCCGTAAACAGCCAACAAACCTGATCTTGTCCTTTTAATAACCAACGAAATCATATATAGCATTGAATTTCCTGTCCCTTTTGACACTAATGTGATTGAAAAGGTGAGTCTTCACATTCTCCGAAAAGTTCTAGGTGGGTTCGATAAGTCAGCGTTTCCTGGGAGTAGTCCCATTCGCTGTCTGGGCTGCTTGTAGATCTTCACGGGTCTACTACTAATGATGATGATGATGTTATATTGCGCAAGCCTCCATACACTCGGTGCATGCTCAAAGCGCTTCAGTTGAAAGCGTGTATGCACGTACATGCAAGTACTTAGTAGGTTTTCAATTGCTAATACCAGGTACTCAGTCTCACTCATATTGTCACCACTTACTTGTCCCCAAGGGTTCCGGCTGCGAAGGATCCCAGGAAGCATCCTGCCATGAAGATCACCTTAGAATGTGTCGCCAGGATTGCGTTGTCACACACAAAATTCAGCTGAAATACAAACGTAAAGGCCAAGAGGCGACAATGAGTGATTGAGTGAGTATGGTTTTACGCCGCTTTTAGCAGTATTCCAGCAATATCACGGCGGGGGACACCAGAAATGGGCTTCACACATTGTACCCATGTCGGGAATCGAACCCGGGTCTTCGGCGTGACGAGCGAACGCTTTAACCACTAGGCTACCCGATCGCTCCGACAATGACCTGAGAGATGACAATAAATATTGATTCAGCAAATTTTCATTTCAACCGACATATGAAAAGGGTCCTAATTTATTTAATGATTATGTTTTATAAAAACATATAAAGACTAAAAGCCTTTAGCTGCATTAATTGGATTAATACGCTTCCTAATTATAGATTTTCCAAATGGAGCTAGTTTGATGAAAATGAATTTCAGAACATTAATAGGTTATACATATACATATATATAAATATTGAAATATAGAAAGCGATTACAAAACATGATTCAGTTAATATATTTAGTTATTATAGCTTTTAAAATTACTTCACTTTTTTACGTCGGCGGGACGATTACTGGTCAAGGTCAAGGCTGATTGTTTTCTGGCGTTGATATTATATATTTAACAACTTGTGTCGGCTACACTACCGATCCCATTACATAGGATGAGGAAACATTAGAATTCGTGTCCGACATCAGCTGATACCGATATGGTGAGGTGTTTCGATCAAATGGTGTTGTGGGAGTGAGGGCATATTGGGCGCAATCAGGTATGACATGATATATGTAGCTAAAATTATATAAAAACCTTACCTCTGATGAGACCGTGGACTCGAACACAGACTTGTCGTACACCCACTTCTTACAAGCAACCACTGTACGGTTGGCACGGTCATTGGTGCTATTGGCAACGTCGAAGTAGATGTGACAGCTGTCAAGCTGCAGTTTGCCGTCCTTAACGACGTAGGGAATGGTAGCGTTGATAACATGGGCATGATTGTCTGACTGTACATCGTAGGTGTCGTTGTCATAGCCGGGGATGGCGCACCTGTAGGACAATAGACATGAGATGAGCTAGGGTCCGATCCTGTCTAGGTGGGTAAACGGGTAAGTTTAACCACAGGGGCCTGTAAAGGAAAAACAGGCCTAGGCCAGTCAGATCATCACACCGTACCTTCATGCAGTGGATTCTTACAACAATGTCCTAGGTGAGAGTTAGTTAGTGAGGAAATTAAGGACATATTAACTTAAACACTGTTGAAACTGTGTCAAAGAAGCACTTGGGATTTTGTATGGGTAACAATGGAGAGATACGGGATATTATACATGAATGTGCCTGTCCCTTAGCAAATTTGTCCGATTCCATCGCGGTCTGGCAGGTGTCTGGAGGGTCACTGGTGGGCTGCCGGAAGATGTGTCACAGATCAATTACCGATGGGGGTGTGGACCACCGGTCGCCGCAAGAAAATAACCCAGTTAACAGTTATTTTCTTCCGATGTGTCCACCGGGGTCTTCCCGACGTCAAAAACATGGCCAATGCTCACAGATGATGGTCTAGCGCCCCGTCGGGTATCTCTCTCTCTTTTTTTGTCGATTTGCAGCCTTTTCGGGCATCGTGAACAAATCTTTCCGGGCATCGGTGGATATGTGACTCAGGCATTAACGCTAACTATATGACGGCGGTCTGTAAATAATCGAGTCTGGACCAGACAATCCACTGATTGACATTATGACCATCGATCTGCGCAATTGCGATACGATGACATGCATCAACCAAATCCCGTTAGTCGCCTTTTACGGCAAGCATGGGTTGCTGAAGACAAATGACTTAATTTATGTATTTTATGCGCTGTCCCAATGAATTGTCACTATCTCAGTCGCGGGTTTGATTCCCCACATAGGTTCAAAGTGTGAAGCCTATTTCGGGTGTCCCCCGCCGTCATATTGTCATATTGCTAGAGAAGTGCGGCGTAAACGAAATGCGGCGGAGAGACAGACAGACAGACAGACAGACAGACAGAGAGACTTCAGCAAGTGGATCATCATCAAGTGCCTGTCTAATCCTTGATACAATCAAGGAAGGGTTTTAATTATATTCACAGAAAGTATTCCGATACTTCATTCCTCGATTCATGTGGCATTTGTCACTAAACGTGACGAAAGATATAGTTACATCATTAAAATATTCAAAATAAATTCTAAAAAATAAAGCAAAAGTTTAACTTAAGCTTCAGGTATATCCATGATCTGATATCGTTCAGTAATTGTCAAATAGCCCTTTCCCTGTCCCTGTCACTGATTTACCTGAGCAAAAGATAAGAGAGAAGCGAAACCGCCCCATCTCTTTCATGTTTAGATCTGTGCATAACGATTCAGGGACAAATACTATCCACAAGATTATATGACAAAAAGGATTATTGCAACTTTCCAAAAGTCAACTTTCCCTTTATGCCGAGCAATATCCCTGCAGCACACAGCCTTTGGTGTCTACATTTCACAATGTTTGGGGGTACAATAGAGCATTTTCTACAAGTATACGAAAGAGCGTCATACGACTCTTGCTCACAAGTTGTTGATCAAGGTTCCATATTCAAGGCATTTGCAAAGCTTTCAAAGCTTTATGGTGGACATGCGGAGAACTTATCTACATTTGACGCATCGGAGACAAAAGGGATGTCCGATGCAATTAATCATTTTGACTTGTATCATATGTTCCCGTGTTGTTTGTCTCAGGTGAACAATTGACTTGCCTATGCATGTGTTTGTAACGGGTGCCACCGGTGCGGCAGGTTATGCTCACTTTTTCGCAAACACCTGGCATTATCACTATTTGGTAGTGATTATTAAATTCATGCTTATGGTATAGTCGGAATTGTACAGTTGACTCTTCCACTAAGCAGATTTCTTATGATTATGGAAAGGGGTTTCTATTTCATTATTCCTTCCATCCTATTTTCATGTCAAGTGCCAAGGTCGCTATCAGCGAAGCATAAACGGTTAATGCTAGTTTGGTTTTGGTTTTGGTTTGGTTTGTTGTTTAACGCCGCACTCAGCAATATTCCAGCTATATGACGGCGGTCTGTAAATAATCGAGTCTGGACCAGACAATCCAGTGATTAATATCATGAGCATCGATCCACGCAATTGGGATCGATGACATGCATCAACCAAGTCAGCGAGCCTGACCACCCGATCCCGTTTGTCGCCTTTTACGACAAGCATAGTCACCTTTTACGGCAAGCAGTTAATGCTAGTAAATATTCAGAAAGTATATAATTGGAGCTATGCGTGTTTGAGCTATGCGACTCGAAAACCAAACGACCCTGGCCGCTTGATCAAATTCACTCGCTTCTAAAGACAAAACGTTTGGCCCCTAAGGTCGTAACACCATCTGGGGGTTTGGGGTAAGAAGAAGTCTGACGTGTGCGTTCATGGGTTCGTGCGTGTTTTTTGTTTGTATTGAACCCTAATTATGATACATATAATCCAACAAATATATTTTGATATAGTTAAAATAATTGATCAAATAGAAAGGACAAAAATCAAATGCAACTTACACGGAGCAGTGGAGTGAAAGGTTTAGTTTAATGGCAGGAACGAGTTCCCATACAATTGCGTGCAATAAATATAAATTTGTATCCGTGATCACATTAAGGAAACGTAAAACAATGTTTAACAGAAGTTGTGATTATGGAGTCGACGGCAAAGTTATACTTAGTTAGTATCCAGTCGACTTTTTCGGCACATACAACGTATTCTGCTTTTAGTGATTATGATTATGGAAATGTTTTTTAGTTTTTTAGTCGTTTCTACATATTCTTTATACTTTCATACGGTTTAAAGTCTAGTTCCAATTCAAGTAAATGACAATTATAACATTTACCTTTGTGGATCTAGCCCAGTTTAGTATGTACTGCTTTAGAATCCGAATATTATCGCTTTAATCCCCGAACTGCGGTTTTTCGTACAAAATGTGTATGGATATGTTCACACAAGGGTATGATATAAAAAGTGTGTTTTTTTCGGATGATTTTGATTCGCTGACTCAACACATTTCCATGAATTTCCAAATACCATAGACGAAACGATAATGCACCATCCACCAAATGCATGGTTGCCGCAATCGTATCAAAATTCTAACCATGGTCGAAATACAGAATTTTGAAACTATTAAGGATTGACTTATCAAAGTATGAATCGAAAAGCATTGTGAAAACTGTGTGAATCCGCGAATCCGATGTATAATTTGAAATTTATCTAAAAACTATTATGACGAACAATAATATGTCACGAACAATAAGTAATGAACTGCTAAAATTGTAAGATACTCCGTGCAGTGTTCAGGTTTTAATATTTACTGACAGAATTGTGTGTTGGCAAACAGACATATTTTGCGCTCAGGCGGCAGCTTCTAGTCAAGCAAATCGCAACTTACGGTTAACATACAGTCACGTACCCACACTGTGAGGTATATTTCGAAAACAGTTTTGCTTCATCTTGAAATGTTACATCTTTATTGATTTTCATTAATGAATCGGAACAAATGGCATTAATAAGTGTATGTACAGGAATAGTAATGTTAAAAAATCAAATACACAACAAACCCTTCTTTGCTTGTTTTACAAGTACTCCGTGTTGCCAGCCAGTATTAGAACTACTCACCTGTGGCCAGGTATGTTGAGGAGGAACACACTGATCATCATCCTGATGCCGAAGGTGATGCCAGAGAGGGAAAGGAAAAGGGACATCCATTTCTGATAGCGTCCAAACTCCCCCAGGTGCCGCAGAACATCATCAAAACTAAGCTTCATCTTAATAAACTCACCCATTGCACCACGTTCCCTTGATACCTATTAGATATAGAAACCGATCAACTCTGAAATCACGAAAACAAAACTTCACGTTCTTATGGTTTTCTTCTATGATTTCACCTGACTCTGACTCGTGACTTTGGACTGCAAGAGTGAGACAGTTGCCTATCACACAGATTTCACCGGTCTGTTTTATCCGCTGTTTACTTACAGTTAATGAAGGTTCTACATATGATAACACTGTTACTATTGTACTGCAAGTGATGCCTGTACGCACATGTCTTGCATATATACTACAGTCAGTTGATCTCTCCAGCTGCTGCAAAGACTATCATTGTTGGATATGTGTAATCAAATTACGAACCATAAAGGTACATAAGCCATATGTAATTACATTTCTTTTAACAGAATATTTATTTCCAAAAACTTCATCTACGTAAATTCACTGTTACATTAGAATGATGCAATACAAACCTGTATAATATAGCATAGCTATTGACTTATGGAAACAAGTCAGTCGTTTTTACAGGCATTTTTAGCAGGTGTGAATCAAAATAAATAATTCGAACATAACGTATTAGAGAAAATAATAAAGCAACATTTAGTATTCAATCATTGATAACAGGCTCCTGGCATTTCTTTTGAAACAGATTGTAATCTAATCTTTTTATGACGCATATCTAATTGCAACTATAACTAGAAATTCATATCATGTTGACTGAATGTTGTATAATGGATTAATGTTGATAGTGACTGAATCATCACGACGTCATGCATATGCACAAATTTATTAGTTTAAATATATTACAAATATAATGACATTGTGTAATATCAGGTGTATTCTGTAATGTTCAACATGAATAACAATACTGACTTATGTTTCTGTGGACATTTGCCAAAACATCATGACACATGACAGTGTTGATAACTGCCTTATCGACATTTGATGACTAAAAGATATGACAAGGTAACTGAAGGCCGTCACCTATAGGACGAACCCATGCCCTGCTACATATAACTCCGTCAACAGAAGACACGAACCCATGCCCTGCTACATATAACCCCGTCAACAGAAGACACGAACCCATGCCCTGCTACATATAACCCCGTCAACAGAAGACACGAACCCATGCCCTGCTACATATTACCCCGTCAACAGAAGACACGAACCCTTGCCCTGCTACATATTACCCCGTCAACAGAAGACACGAACCCATGCCCTGCTACATATAACCCCGTCAACAGAAGACATGAACCCATGCCCTGCTACATATAACCCCGTCAACAGAAGACACGAACCCATGTCCTGCTACATATAACCCCGTCAACAGAAGACACGAACCCATGTCCTGCTACATATAACCCCGTCAACGGAAGACACGAACCCATGTCCTGCTACATATAACCCCGTCAACAGAAGACACGAACCAATGCCCTGCTACATATAACTCCGTCAACAGAAGACACGAACCCATGCCCTGCTACATGTAACCCCGTCAACAGAAGACACGAACCCATGCCCTGCTACATATTACCCCGTCAACAGAAGACATGAACCCATGCCCTGCTACATATAACCCCGTCAACAGAAGACACGAACCCATGTCCTGCTACATATAACCCCGTCAACGGAAGACACGAACCCATACCCTGCTACATATAACCCTGTCAACATAAGATACGAACCCATGCCCTGCTACATATAACCCCGTCAACAAAAGACACGAACCCATGCCCTACTAATATAACCCTGTCAACAGAAGACACGAACCCATGCCCTGCTACATATAACCCCGTCAACAGGAGACACGAACCCATGCCCTGCTACATATTACCCCGTCAACAGAAGACACGAACCCATGCCCTGCTACATATAACCCCGTCAACAAAAGACACGAACCCATGCCCTACTAATACAACCCTGTCAACAGAAGACACGAACCCATGCCCTGCTACATATAACCCCGTCAACAAAAGACACGAACCCATGCCCTACTAATATAACCCTGTCAACAGAAGACACGAACCCATGCCCTGCTACATATAACCCCGTCAACAGAAGATACGAACCCATGCCCTGCTACATATTACGCCGTCAACAGAAGACACAAACCCATGCCCTGCTACATATTACCCCGTCAACAGAAGACACGAACCCATGCCCTGCTACATATAACCCCGTCAACAGAAGACATGAACCCATGCCCTGCTACATAATACCCCGTCAACAGAAGACACGAACCCATGTCCTGCTACATATAACCCCGTCAACGGAAGACACGAACCCATACCCTGCTACATATAACCCTGTCAACATAAGATACGAACCCATGCCCTGCTACATATAACCCCGTCAACAAAAGACACGAACCCATGCCCTACTAATATAACCCTGTCAACAGAAGACACGAACCCTTGCCCTGCTACATATAACCCCGTCAACAGAAGACACGAACCCATGCCCTGCTACATATTACGCCGTCAACAGAAGACACGAACCCATGCCCTGCTACATATAACCCCGTCAACAAAAGACACGAACCCATGCCCTACTAATATAACCCTGTCAACAGAAGACACGAACCCATGCCCTGCTACATATTACCCCGTCAACAGAAGACACGAACCCATGCCCTGCTACATATTACGCCGTCAACAGAAGACACAAACCCATGCCCTGCTACAAATAACCCCTTTAACAGAAGATACGAACCCATGCCCTGCTACATATTACCCCGTCAACAGAAGACATGAACCCATGCCCTGCTACATATAACCCCGTCAACAGAAGACACGAACCCATGCCCTGCTACATATTAACCCGTCAACAGAAGACACGAACCCTTGCCCTGCTACATATTACCCCGTCAACAGAAGACACGAACCCATGCCCTGCTACATATAACCCCGTCAACAGAAGACATGAACCCATGCCCTGCTACATATAACCCCGTCAACAGAAGACACGAACCCATGTCCTGCTACATATAACCCCGTCAACAGAAGACACGAACCCATGTCCTGCTACATATAACCCCGTCAACGGAAGACACGAACCCATGTCCTGCTACACATAACCCCGTCAACAGAAGACACGAACCAATGCCCTGCTACATATAACTCCGTCAACAGAAGACACGAACCCATGCCCTGCTACATATAACCCCGTCAACAGAAGACACGAACCCATGCCCTGCTACATATTAACCCGTCAACAGAAGACACGAACCCATGCCCTGCTACATATAACTCCGTCAACAGAAGACATGAACCCATGCCCTGCTACATATAACCCCGTCAACAGAAGACACGAACCCATGCCCTGCTACATATAACTCCGTCAACAGAAGACATGAACCCATGCCCTGCTACATATAACCCCGTCAACAGAAGACACGAACCCATGCCCTGCTACATATTAACCCGTCAACAGAAGACACGAACCCTTGCCCTGCTACATATTACCCCGTCAACAGAAGACACGAACCCATGCCCTGCTACATATAACCCCGTCAACAGAAGACATGAACCCATGCCCTGCTACATATAACCCCGTCAACAGAAGACACGAACCCATGTCCTGCTACATATAACCCCGTCAACAGAAGACACGAACCCATGTCCTGCTACATATAACCCCGTCAACGGAAGACACGAACCCATGTCCTGCTACACATAACCCCGTCAACAGAAGACACGAACCCATGTCCTGCTACATATAACCCCGTCAACGGAAGACACGAACCCATGTCCTGCTACACATAACCCCGTCAACAGAAGACATGAACCCATGCCCTGCTACATATTACCCCTTCAACAGAAGACATGAACCCATGCCCTGCTACATATAACCCCGTCAACAGAAGACACGAACCCATGCCCTGCTACATATTACCCCTTCAACAGAAGACATGAACCCATGCCCTGCTACATATAACCCCGTCAACAGAAGACACGAACCCATGCCCTGCTACATATTACCCCGTCAACAGAAGACACGAACCCATGCCCTGCTACATATTACCCCGTCAACAGAAGACACAAACCCATGCCCTGCTACATATAACCCCGTCAACAGAAGATACGAACCCATGCCCTGCTACATATAACCCCGTCAACAGAAGACACGAACCCATGCCCTGCTACATATAACCCCGTCAACAGAAGACACGAACCCATGCCCTGCTACATATTACCCCGTCAACAGAAGATACGAACCCATGCCCTGCTACATATAACCCCGTCAACAGAAGACACGAACCCATGCCCTGCTACATATTACCCCGTCAACAGAAGACACGAACCCATGTCCTGCTACATATAACCCTGTCAACAGAAGATACGAACCCATGCCCTGCTACATATAACCCCGTCAACAGAAGACACGAACCCATGCCCTGCTACATATTACCCCGTCAACAAAAGACACGAACCCATGCCCTGCTACATATTACCCCGTCAACAGAAGATACGAACCCATGTCCTGCTACATATAACCCCGTCAACAAAAGACACGAACCCATGCCTTGCTACATATAACCCCGTCAACAGAAGATACGAACCCATGTCCTGCTACATATTACCCCGTCAACAGAAGATACGAACCCATGCCCTGCTACATATAACCCCGTCAACAGAAGACACGAACCCATGCCCTGCTACATTACCCCGTCAACAGAAGATACGAACCCATGCCCTGCTACATATTACCCCGTCAACAGAAGACACAAACCCATGCCCTGCTACATATAACCCCGTCAACAGAAGACACGAACCCATGCCCTGCTACATATTACCCCGTCAACAGAAGACACGAACCCATGTCCTGCTACATATAACCCTGTCAACAGAAGATACGAACCCATGCCCTGCTACATATAACCCCGTCAACAGAAGATACGAACCCATGTCCTGCTACATATAACCCTGTCAACAGAAGATACGAACCCATGCCCTGCTACATATAACCCTGTCAACAGAAGATACGAATCCACGTCCTGCTACATGTAACCCTGTCAACAGAAGTTACGAACCCATGCCCTGCTACATATAACCCCGTCAACATAAGATACGAACCCATGCCCTGCTACATATTACCCCGTCAACAGAAGACACAAACCCATGCCCTGCTACATATAACCCCATCAACATAAGATACGAACCCATGCCCTTCTA